AACAATACATACCGACGCTGAAATTGTAAAAACGCATATCTTGTTTGCACTTGCGAAAAAAGTGCATTAACTCTCATCCGCTGCGGTTGTTAAAATTCAGATGACCTGCTCCGAAATGTTGCACGTCTAGGTTACTTATGTCACCTGTCCAGGTAGCTTTGTCGCTACCTTATAGGTTCACATACCATCACCAAGGCGCGTGGCAAAGCTACCTGGACGAGTGACACCGGTAACCAATAATGGACAACCGTGGTGGGCGAGAGGCAATATACTTTTTGCGTGTGGTGCATACACAGGGATGGGCGTGGGGGGTGTACTGCTGTGCTAAAGAGCGTAATGAAAAAATTAAAGGAAGAAGTGGAGGAGAAAAATTAAAGAGAAACAAAGTGTCTTCCTCCATAAACTTTGCTTGAACTTAAAGACAATGCGCAAAATTGGGAGGTCCAATCCGCTAATAATTCCAGTCCGCCTTCAATTTCGCCGTATAGGCAAAAAACATACCCGAGAGCGCGAATAGTTGCATTTGGAAAATACGCATTTGTTCCGCTCCATAAACTTTGATTAATCCGATGAATGATGTTACCCCACTTGGAATGAAACGTCCATCTGAAGTTAGCTCTCATTTTCGCAATAAAAGTACCGAATGCCAATAGTTATCTATTAAAAAATTCACAGTTACCTCCCTCAGTGAACGTCATTGCTAGAACCAATGGAAAATTCGCAAACCTGTTGGCAGATATCATCACTGGAGGTCCGCCTTCAATTTCGCCGCATAGGCAACAAACATACCGGAGAGCGCGAATAGTTATCTACTCGAATAATGCTCATTTTTATCGTTCCTTAATCATTGAAGAAACCGACGAACGATGCTGTTAACGTCTTGGAAGGTATTATTCATCTAGATGTCTTAACTCTTCCCGTTTTCTCTTGTAGAAAAGATGCAGCTCAACGTCGGAGGAGTATACACCTTATTTAGAAAAAGAAAACTAACAGCTCTGCCTTTTTTACTCATTACAGAACGAGAACAACTTGGTCTGAATCTAACCCAGAACTCGAAACCAAGTTAACATTTCTAAAACAGCAGCCCGTGACATAATGGTGATATCAAAAACATAGGAGAAAAAACGGGAAACAAGGCTAAGAATTACACATAACAATCCCGAGACGGTTCGGCCCAAAACTGAGCCATTTTCAATCGGAAAAATAAAAATAAAAATGAAAATTCCAAATAGTAACGAAACCTCTCGGGTTTGTTACGTGTAATTTTTAGCCTCGTTTCTCGTTTTTTCTCCTATGTTTTTGAACTCAAAAACTCATGATCGGAAAATTTAAAATTTGTTTGATAACATGGACGTATTCATAAGTATGTGTTGCACACTAACCCCACGCACATAGTTCCTTTTAGCATAAATACGATCACGTTATATCGTGATCCATCGGATCCATCGTGTTTCCAAAAAATGCAGAATAGTTAAATTGTACGGAAATATTTGAGAAAAATAAGATCATAACAGGGTATATAACTATGCCTATTTTGCTGGGGTTTCAAAACTCGGCTTGTGTCGCGCTGGTTCACGACAGGGTGTCAAGGGTGAAGAGGGCAAGAGGTAGAGGGGAGCAGGGTCATGCGGAGTAAAGGGTGGAAGGACCGATGGGCGAAACCGAGACCCATGTCTCTTCAATCGCACCACATGGCTCTACCGTTTAAGCCCGGCGAACAGGCTGACGATGACGATATATACATTAAAAGCAGCTTGATCAAAAATCATCGTGTCATTCTTCCCCCGCGCTCAGATTTGGGTTTTATTCCAGCATATAAATCGTTTCCTTGATCCGTCGTTTCCCTGATGAAGAAACGTAAGTCCATTCCAAGGGTGCCAAATTGACTTGAACAATTCAATGTTTAACAAGAATGTACCTGTGCAATTTTTGTTCAAAATTTCTCTGATTTTTACTTGAGATCAGAGGAGAAATCAGTGAATATTTCAGTTGGTAATGCCTACGATTCCCTTGTTAAAACTGAAATTTGCGAGGCTAAATTTGGCAACATTGAAATGGGGTTACGTTCTTTTGTGGGGGAAACAACGAATCACCCGAATGCTTTAGGTGCTTGCGATGTTTTGAAAATTTATTGAGTAAGTGAGTCGCAGTTGCATTGGGCCGCAGAAGTTTCTCCCTTTTGGCTATGGGCTAGCGATGCAAAAGTTCAAGAATCGTGAGGCAACCCTATTTCAAGTTTCAATCTATCATGTTCGGCGCTCAAAATATTCGGATTTTATGCGCTCGATTGGCATACAAATAGTGTAACTGACAGAATTTTTAGTATGAAAAATAATGTTGTCCCTCGGAAACTCTACTTCCGATTTTTCAATCCAGCTTGGCAAATGCTCTTGAAAGCTTTATCTTTTTGCACTTCAGTCCCTTTCCCAGATACATTTGCACTTTTGATCTCTTTGCGGAACGCAAATAGTCGTTTCCCGGACGAAAGAACGTAGGTAACTCCATTCGAAGGTTGCCAAATTGAATCAAACTGTACAATTTTTTTTAAGAATGTACCTACCTACGCAATTTTTGTCCAAAATTTGTCTGATTTTTATATAAGAGAAGAGAGGAAAATTCAGTGAAATTTTCAGCTAGAAATGCCCAAGATTTTCTTTGATAAAATGCAATTTGCTGGGAGAAATTTGGCAAAACTGAACTGTAGTTACGTTCTTTAGTTAGGATAACGATAAAACAAACACAAGTGGAAAAAAAAGTTACCAAAACGGTACATTTATTTTTAAGGCAAGAATCAAACAAAACACAAAAAACACTTTTCTGGTTATCTAGCGGGAGGAGGAAGAGGATAAAGGATGCGCGGAACAGAAAGAAGAAATTCGATAAAATTGAGACGCGAGGACGCGATGAAGCAAGATGAAATAACGCACCAACGGAATCGGCCGATAACTTTCACTCTCGCCGAAGACGCATGAAAAAAAGTAAACGGTCGAATAGCTGGAAACAATGATCGAGTAATAAATAAAATGTCCAGGGTGGTAATATGCGCCCGGATAATAGAAACATTCCGTAAATTGTTTAGGGTCGAGCTCAGATTGGTTTGCACCCGGGCCCGCGTTCGCTATCACTTCGTTGCCGTCATGACGCGAGGGCGTATCTCCGTCTCCACTTGAGCCTCGAAAAGAATAGAACTATACGGAGATCAGGGCTCACGTAGAAACTGAGATGCATCCTTAAGTCAGAAGGGCGACTACTTGAGAAGTGCAAAACGCTCAATTTATTTCCCCCGCCCATGGTGCTGTCTGGAAGTTGCGTCGCGCGCCCTTTTGAGTTGAGATAGTGACGTCTTGATTCAATTGCTCAAAACCAATGTTTTACCAGTCGGCCTTGCCAGTTTGCACCGTAAAAATCCACGGCTTTGCTGCGGATGCGTGATTTTAAACGAAACTCGAGGTTAATATCAGTGGCGAGGCGTGAATGATCGATTTACGATATTTCTCCGTTTGAAACTGTTGTGAAGAATCGATTACCGAGAGAATCTTGAGCTTTTCTATCTGGAAATTTTACGGAGTTTTCTTCTAATCTCGTGCAGAATCATTCGAATTTCGGACTAAAATTGCTTAAGGACATCCCAGTAAAAGAGTAAATTGTTTGAGTCAATTTTGCAACCTTAGAATGGAGTTACGTTCGTTCGTCCATCCGGGAAAAAACGAACTGAGATACCCCATCAGGTCAGAGAAGCGACGATAAGTGAAGCTATCTTTTTTGGATTTTTTTTTTTAAAAAAAGAAAGAAAAAAAACTGGCGTAAGCCATCAGAAACGTAAAAAACCATTTCAAAATATTCTGAAATTGCTCGCACAAAGACCGTCAATGAATGTATTTTCTCAAGTTGGTGAAATTCATATTTTCTCTGGCATCCATTGATGGGCATTTTGACGCCAAATTATAGAGTTTCAAAAATAAAAGTAGCATTTTGGCAAATGTAAGGAAAATGAAAGTTTAATAAATTCAGAGGAAAAAGTCAACTGTTCAGTGCATGGAACGATGCAAAGGCAATGAGGGTGCATATTTTGTGCATGCCGATTTTTAATGTACCTAAATTTCAACATTTAGGTAAATATTTTATATGCAAAAGTAATCTACCCGCAGCTGCGATGGGGAAGTTTATGAGGAAACTCTCAACTTAGGGCCTATAAAGTAGGAAATCGTATAGGTAAAATATTAGTATGTCGATCTCCAATTATCAATTCTAAAAACTTACTAATCCTCTCAACAAAATTGGAGCAACATTTCGAGCCATAATTTGCTGTCTTGTGAGCGCGGGACATGAATTGGATTGCATTTGGCAAAAAGGAACCAAGAGCATTTCAATGTTGCTAGGATTCTGCAACTTTTTTTACCTCGAAAATATACTTAAACTGATGATCTAAACAAGTTTTATCTTTACTCTCAATAAATAATGAATTAAAGACAAAATTACTTTAGAAAATTTAATTTTTTGCACGGTTTCAGTATAATTTTTGGCAAAAAACGTAAGTTGCTCTATCTTAGCAAAATTGGAATATTCCTGGTTCCTTCTCGCAAAATTCAATCTAATTGTTCCTAAAGTCAACAAAATTCAACTTTCATTAACTCTCCTCGAAAGTGCGCTTTATCGTTCTCTAATTTTGACATACTTTTAAAGGTTCGATTTTTTTGGAACGGCCTTTGTAATAAAGTCGTAAGTACGTGAAAATTTTCCGCAGAGTGAGGCACAACGCGGCCCTACAGCAAGTCAATCGGGAACGGCTGAGCGACGACGCGGGGCCGGAAGCCCGGGCCGGCCGAAAATGTATGGGATTTATCCGCGGGAGCGGGAGCCAATGGCGGGCGTTCGAGGGGGCCGGACTCCGGAGCCGCGAGCGTCGGAGCCGCGCGATTGGCCGGGCGCCTCGCGGGCTCCCGGCCGAGGTTATAAAACCCGGCGCGGCCTCCCTCGGGCGTCATTCGTGTCATCCCTCCGCAACGATGCGCGTCAGCGGTGTGCGAAGCCGCCCAGTGTTCCGCGAAGTGCAGTAATGTCCCATCCGCCGCACGCCAAATGGAAGGCTTCTACTCGTCGTTCCTCCACAGATACCCGCTGCCCTCGCTCCTCGTCGACCGCTACCACCCCTTCATCTACTACGAGCCCGAACCACCACCTTTAGATCTCTCCGTGAAAAACCGAGAGGCATCTCCGTCACCCCCGGCAACATCGCCCAAGAAACCCGCGCGCCCGGCCACACCGACAACTCCGGACAAGAAGCCGGTGTGTAGCCCGGCGGTTTGGAAGTCGGCGGCGCGTAGCCCGCTCTGTAGCCCGGTCTCGAACAGCTCGCCGGTGCCGAGTAGCCCGGCGGCGCGTAGTCCGGGGTCGCGCACTCCGGCGAAGCGGCAGAAAGCGGTGCGGAAGTTGAACTTCGACGAGGACAAGGTCTCGCCGGTGTCCGGGACGATCATACGGTCGCTGGACGAGAGCGAGTCGGTGGTGGTGCGCAAGGGTGACATCGACCCGATCTTCAACGTCGTCGAGGTGACCGAGGAGGCCAAGGCGGAGCTGGCCAAGATCGAGAACAAGATCGGGGACTACATCTGCCGGCTGTGCCGCATCACGTTCGAGGATGCCTTCTCGCTGGCCCAGCATCGGTGCTCGTGCATCGTCCACGTGGAGTACCGCTGCCCGGAGTGCGACAAGGTCTTCAACTGCCCGGCCAACCTGGCCTCCCACCGACGCTGGCACAAGCCCAAGGACGCCGCTCAGACGACCCAGGTTAGCGAATCTCATCTTTTGTAATAAGATAACAACTTAATTTGGGGAAAACGCTGCAAAAAAAAAATGAAAACAAAGGTCTGTCTCGGTCTCGCAATATCAGCGAATCGACGGTTTATTTTTATTTTTATTTTTCCGGTTGAAAATAGAAGTGTTAGTATTCTGAAACGTTCGAGGTTTATTGTTGTTTATCCTTTGTTGTTGTTGTTGTTGTTTTTTTTTTTTTTGTTTTTTTTTGCAGACTTTCCCCCAAATTTAGTTGTTATTTTACTCTGTGAATTTTGGCTGATTAAGTTGTTTTTCCTTCTTATCTTTCGTTTCAATCCATCCATTGAGAGGCCTCAAGGATAAGACCCGTAGGTGGCGTAGGTGCAGTTTTTTTAAAAATCGAGCTATGAATGATTTCAAGTAAAACTAGTTTTAACACTGGCGTAGCGTTACGAACTCGTAACAATGAATTTTTTGGGTTTTTCAAAATTGAATTTTTTTTCTGTGGCATGTTTTTGCAATTTTTTTTCGAATAAATGATTCCCAAAAATTTAAAATGTTGAAAAAAAATGTGGTACCCTAGATTTTTTATGCAAGCTACAAATTAGATTAGTGCCTTCCAGAATCTAAAATCCGAAATTAATTCATGCCCTAGGGGGTTTTAAAACATAATCTGTGAAAAATTCACAACTAAGACTAAATTGTTAATTATCAAAAAAAAAAATATTTTATAATTTCTCTCCACCATTGGGCTTCTTTTAGTTTTGAAACTTTAAATACGTCTTTGAAAAGCGAAAACTGCACTTATTTGCCTTGTCCTCCAAGCCCCTCAATTCCAACTGAATCTGTATGTGCTCTATTGGCAGTGACTATGAAAATCACTCTCCAGAGATTCGTAGAAAAAATTGGTGAAGTTTACGAAGAGGACATTCCATATTTGGTATTTCTTGAGTAAAATTTACGCCCAGTAAAATTCACGTAAAAGTGCCTTGAACAACCAAGGTTTTTAAACACTTAAAATCCACAATGAACCTTTTAATTTCTTTTTTACAACAATTTATGCCTTGGTAAATTTTGCTTCGAAAAAACACCGGAGAATGGTTTTCTTCCTCATAAAGTTTGATAATTTTTTTGAAAGACATGTTTTTAAAAGTTTTGCATAAGCTTTTCCACGGTTCTTGCCACCAGACTATCGAGATTTTCGTGGGAAAAAAGTTTGTGCCATAATTCAGGACTGGTTATGTAGTAAAACTGCGTCAATGCGATTATTTATTAATTTTAAAGATTTCTGAAGTTTTTCACCTCAAAAATTGTCAAAATTTCAGAAAATGGTCCCTCCAAAAATCGCATATAGTGAGACTTTTCTAAAATCACTATTCTTATATTCAATTATAGGTGCACATTAGGTGCTTTTCATTATAGGTGCTTTATTGTCGACACTTAGGGGGAACTTCCCTCAGAAATCATCGATATTTGCCTGAGTTTTTCGAGAAGAATTCTATTTTTTGATGGTATAAGCTTGTTGAGTGGTGTTTTCGAAAAAATGGGAGTATTGATGATTCCAATTAAATAGCATAAATTCAAATAGCATCAGAAAATTCGGTGAAGTGTCTGGTGCGAAACGTCCAACAGTTTTTTAGTGAATATACAGTGAAATTTTGCCATGTTGAAATGGACTGCATTTTGAAAAAAGGAACCAAGAGCTTTCAAATGTAGCTGAGATTGTGCAACTTTTTTACCTTGCAAACGTAAACTGATCACCTATACAAGTTGCATCTTAATTCTGAATAAACGACAATTTTGTGACGAAAATTATTACCTTTGAAATTACCGTAATGTAAATGCGCCTTTAATTTTTCGCGTGATTCGGTAATTTTATCGCAAAGAATGTGAGTTGCACAATCTCAGCAACATTGGATTGCTCTTGGTCCCTTTTCGCAAAATGCAATCCAAATATAGCTGAACTATACATAGTCCTTTCATCTTGGATATAAGAAGTTGTGAAGTTGGTGAAAATTAATTCTGAGCATTGTCGATGATGTTTACAGGTCAGCCTGCACACAAGCGATGAGTCCGAAGAAGAAGCCAAAATCCCGTGCCCTGTCTGCGGGAAGCTCTTCAGGAGACAGTCCTATCTCCGCAAGCACCTCGTCTCTCACACACACACACACGCACATGCACACACTCACACGGTGACGTCACCGCCCATGATGGGTCTTTCACATCTCGCCGTCGCCAACTGACCTTCGCGGAAAACAGAACGCAAGTTCTGGACCCCGTGGTAGCTCTAAGGGTGAGTTCACATCACTCTCGTCATGAGATCTCTAGTCACGAGTCTCTAGTCACAAGTCTCTAGTCACGAGTCTCTAGTCATGAGTCTCTAGTCATGAGTCTCTAGTCATGCTCATCAAGTCACGATTCTCTAGTCATGATCCGTTGGTTTTGATTCTCTAGTCATTAGCTTCTAGACCTGCGGGCCGATTATTGAAATTGATAGACAAAGCTATAGACAAAGGAGACAAAAGAGATATGGAGAGATCTTATTGGTGGAAGCGGATGGTTGCAATGGACAAAGGAGGTAGGTCATAGACTTACTAACGGCAACCCACGAGAGACCCGACAGTTAGTCTATCATTTTCTCCCTTTGTCTATAGGAACCACCCATTTCAACCAATAGGATCGCTCCATACTCCCTATGTCTTCTTTGTCTATAGCTTTGTCCATCACTTTCAATAATCAGTCCGCAGATCCTCTAGTCATGATCATACAGTCACAATCTTCTAGTCATTTAGCTCCTAGGTAGGATTCTCTAGTCGTGACCATCTCGTCTTAATTTTCTAGTCACGTTCATCTAGTCATAACTCTCTAATCATATAGCATCTAGGCTTGATCATAAAGTCAAGATCCTCTAGTCATTAACTTCTAGGAATGATCCTGTAACCAGGATCACTAAGTCATGAAGATCTAGTCATTAGCCCTAGGCACGATCCTGTAACAATGATCAAGTCATGAAAATCTAGTCATTAGTCCGAGGTACGATCCTGTAACTATGATCATCAAGTCATGAAGATCTAGTCATTTAGCTTGTTATCAATTCATGAAGATCTAGTCATTAGCTATTAGGTGTGATCCTTGTCATAGTCATCAGGTAACGATCCTCTAGTCATTTTAGCCTCTATTCGTGATTATCTAGTCGAAATCCTCAACACTGACGAGAAAATTAGTTCGGGAGTCCAGAAACTCTGGCACTATTTAAGAGCGAGATTTTCCAGTTGACTCAATTCTAGTCGAGTCAAAACGTTATTCTGGTGGAGTCAACCGGAAAATTTGGTACTGAAATAGAATCAGAGTCTCTGGTTGAGGACTGAGCTAATTTTTCAGTGGTAGTCGTATCTCTGTAGTCCGTCGATTGCTGAGTCCATAATCTAGTCTTGTCGTTTTGATTCTAGTCGAATCTAGTCAGCCTTTACAGGCAGGATATTTTAAGTTATAGTCAGGAGCGCGGAAAGAAGATGGAATAGATCGTGACAATAGAGCGCTCTTTTGTTTTTCACTCCAAAAACATTTCGTGTGAGATGCAGAATATGTCTCCGTCGGGGAATCTGAAATTTGGTCACAAGTACAGCACCTCGGTCGTGAGTACTGAGTGGCTTTTTTTTCTGGTGTAGTTTTCCTCACAGATAGATTTTGTGACTAGCACGAAAAATGTTTTTATATGGAAACGGAGAGTTCTGTTGCTCGCAATTTTATTATTTCTCTGAAGTCATTGCCAGCTTTCGTGCACACAAACTGTGCGTAACAAAAATATTTCAGGAATGTATACCAAAAAAAAAAAAGTCCAAAAATATTTCGAGTGAGCTATTCGTAATTCCAAATTAACATCTCACCAGTTTAGAAAATTAAAATTGAATTCAATTTAATTATTTTTGAATTATATTTATGAATTAAAATTAAATTTGGAAATTGTGTCTCGTCAAACTCATCCGTCCTCAAGTGTGAAACACTATGACGTTATAAGAAGAGGGAAAAAAATAATATTGTTTTGTAATTTTAATACCTTTATTTTACCTCGACTACGTTAAGATAGGGTTCCTTTCTATCACTGTCTTAGTGCCAACGAAGGAATATGTCGACCGTAAACTTGTATATTTCGTGGTGATATGAACCTGCTGCGCCGATATTCCCAGAGGAATTTTCTTGAACTCTCCCTCTTCTTCGTCTCGAAATAGACTTTTCCAAATCGATGGCTAAGGTCTGAAGAAAGGTACCTCCGTTTGCGACATTCCAAAGTTCCTCTTAAGTTTTATTCTTTTAAAAGAAATCCAACGGACAGTTTTTCTTTTTTTGAAATTTGTTTGTGAATTTTCTTCACTTATTCTAATATATTCACAGAAAATTCCAAGGAAATATTCAGATTGGTTTTCTTTTAGAAAACAGAACGAAGTTGGAGATTTTGAAACGTCGTAACGCAGATACGCAGTTTTTTACTTTAGCCATCGACACGAACCGTGAAAATCTTTGATAATCGTGTTAAAAAAAATTGCCAGGAAATCTTTCTCACTCAGCGTTCAAGTCTCTCATAATAATAGGCATCCACGCCACACAGTGGATCGAGTCTATAGGAGAGGTCGCACAAAATTTGGAAACTTTAAACGCATATAACTCCGTTTAAATGAAACTTTGAAGTTCTAAATGTGGTTTCATCGGTTTCCTCGTAAAATTTTCTTTCTAAAGCTTACCTTGAAATGTAAAATGTGACCAAAAAAACATCAAAATTCGCAGTTTTTGTCAAATATTTAATATCCGACCTCTCTATTTGACTCGCTCCACTGTGCGCCAACTTGTTACGTCGCTATACTTTCATCATCTGAAAATTAATTTCGACGGCATTTGCTTTATCTCACTCTGGATTGAGTCAATTTTAATTTCCAACGCGTTTAGGCTCGTGATACTTACCTCAATAGAAAACAATGGCTATATAAAGCCCCAGTGCCATGCGTGTGAACGAATGATTCCCTGTTGATGAATTAATTTGATCGTGCGTGGATGAATTCATTCACGGCATTTGTTTACAATTCGTGCGGTTGCAACTTGAATGAAAAATCTGCCACAGACAATACGAAGCGAAAGGGATTTATCCACGAGATAGTTTTGAAAAATGACGTGTATATCACTGTATTTTTGAATTTACGCGTTTTTTCTCAAAGCTATATTTATAGTTAGACCTATTGTACACAGAAAAATTCTTCGGCATAATCCGCACCACAAAAATCTTGGGTAGCTGGAACCAATATTCTCGGTCCCTGGGGGTAGATATTTCGGTGAAACTGCCAAAAGCTGAGTATATTATGCCCTCCTTTCGGCAGTTTTTTCAACTTGAAGTGCGGATATTGCCGAATTTTTTTACGGTGTATGGATGGTGGAACCAGTTGCGTGGCGTGCTTTGCGATATATCGATTGATCTGTCATTTAAACCTATGGGGAAAAGGATCGATTAACAGGGTGTTCGCAGCGAACACCTTAATAATCGATTCTTTACCACGGATTCAAATTGGAAAATATCGATAATCGATCAGTCACGCCACGCCACTGGATGAAACAATGGAACTCCGCGCGCGTTACAGATTGCCTGTCATATTTTCCATTTACGAAACTGACTCATCATCTTCATAGTGCACAGTAATCATAATTTTCACTTCTAAGTATAAAATAAATTCAGTGGCGAGGCGTGGATGTTCGATATAATCGATATTTCCCCATTTGAAGCTATGATAAAGAATCGATAGTTAAGGTATTCGTTGCGAACACTGTTTATCGATCCTTTTCCATAGGTTTAAGTGGCAGATCAATCGATATATCATCGCAAAGCACGCCACGGCACTGAATACTTATTTTCCAAGAGATCAGGAAGAACAGGGATTTAAGGGAACTTTTCCTCTGGAAATTTAAATCGCATCATCAGAACCTCGAGTATTTTTAGTCGATACTTGCCGAAGTAATAACTAATAAACTCGGCGAGAATTTTCGATAAGAGTCAAGTATTAAACCAAAAAACGCTAGCGAACCAAAGTTTTTGAAAAATTGAGATTTTATTTATGAAGACCCTTCAGTATGGGATTTAAATGTTATTTTGTATGTTGATATTTTTAAATGAATTATTTATGTTTACAATTTGGAAACGCTTGTTTCGTTGTTGTTATTAATGGCTGTAAATGCGTCTATTCGTTAAGGATAATTTATTTATAAGGGCGCCATCCTCTGAGAGGAGGCAGAGTGGAACTCTAGTCAAGGGTGAATGCAGACTAACCGAGGAAACCGAAACGGAGTCTATAAATAAGTAATTTGCTTGTAAGTAGATTTAAGTCGGTCTTCTACCATGGATTCACCATTTACCTAGCTGTAATCATTTAACCTACCACTTGTAAATATTTGTCGTGATTAATTGAGTTAACCAACTGATATTGCAGATGATGATTCTATTGCTATGGCTCCTTTACACTGGAAAAAAACACATTGGATCTAGAGTCCAGACTCTTAAAAACATCAACAAGAAAAAATACTCTTGATTCAATCGGATTTTTGCTTAAATCAAGAACCAAGTCTCTTAATTTGAGCGGATTTCCTTTTGATTCAAGAAAAAATCTGATTGAATCAAGAGTATTTTTCCTTGTCAATGTTTTCAAGAGTCAAGACTCTAGATCCAATGTGTTTTTTTTCCAGTGAAAGGTAGTTCTCAAACTTACTAATAATACACAATTTTACAATTTCCGACATCGCAGTATCGAAGAGCGATCTTGAACTGAAATCATCGTTAAAGGCATGTGCTTTTTAATGAAATAATACATCTCCACAATTTTACTTTAGTCATGTGTCAGCAATATCACTAGCTTTTTACAAAGAATATGAGAAAACAATTTTCGAGCCAAATGCTATGCTCTAGTCTACAGTTTTATGACCATTGACATATTGTTTAAAAAAGTACTTACTTGCTTTAGTCGTTCGCGGAAAATTTACAGTCAACACGATCAAAAATAATTCCAAGAGTCTTTCCCGCCTTGTTGTAGTTTAGTTTGGTAATCACACATGTGATTGGTAAATGAACCTATAACAAGTATAATAATATGAATTAGTATACTCTACACGTAATTATAGTTGTAGGCATAGTTTTAATTTGTATTAGTTCTGAAGGCGAGGCGTGAATGATCGACTATCGATATTTCCCCATTTGAAGCTATGATAAAGAATCGATAATTAAGGTATTCGTTGCGAACACCCTGTTTATCGATCCTTTTCCATAGGTTTAAGTGTCAGATCAATCGAGTATATCGCCACGCCACTAATTAGTTCTCTAGTCTACTTGTTTATAATGACTCCAAAACGGTCCTCATTTCTGATCTCAAGTCTGCATTTTTTAGGTCTAGTCTATGAATAAATGTAAAAATCATATCTAGTCTCGGATTTTTTTATACATAAAATGTAATTTTGTATGTTTTAATTATGCTTATTAGGTATGTACAGATAAAATAATACTCTAGTTATAGCTGAGGTTGTCAAAATAGACAAGATAAGTACGAGGTAGGGTGGAATAAAAGATTGATAGAATTCTACCGTGTTATTACACGGGAACATACCTTTTTCACTTCGAAATTTTCTATGTCGTCAATTTTTACTTATAGCTACAGAAGTTATTCAATTTTGAGTCTAAAAGTAGGTACCTTCACGGATGACAGCCTTCTTTTATTCCGCACCCTTGCAAGTCCAACTCTAATGCTTAAATGTATTCCCATATCACAGCCCTGAATGTTTTTCGACAGGGGAAAAACACTAAGGAGCGTTAAAATTTCAATGGGTTCTCTTATTTATTCTGTTATGACATGTAAATGATAATGTAAAAAGGAATATATGATACGATAAGTTTATCTGCATGTATTTTTCGTGTATAATCCGCCAAAAATTGTTACTCAGTAAGATAGGTTTTTACACACTTTCTCATTTTGTACCCACATTGATGTACGCATCGTTTTTTATGATTTAGTTTCATTGGTTTTATCACATTCCTTCTAATTCAACAAATATTGCTTTTAAGTATCCTCTCATTTTATTTCAGCCATTTTTTTTTATTTTTTCATACAATAACGTTTGCTTTTTATTTTATTTATTCTATTATTTTTTATCCGGATTCCTATATTTAGTGCACATGTACATTACAGAATCTCAGTGGCACTGTCGTAACTCTCGAGAGCTATAGAGTAAACTATACTTCCATTCCAGCTTAAATCATTTGTCCATAGCTTGATTTTGTATAAACTAATCTCTAGCCTTCCCTTTCTTCAAAAATCTGAGTGTACCTACATTACAAAGAAGAAAAAATCTATAATTAAAAGAGAAAAAAAACTAAGACTGTTATTTTAATCTCAAATGAGCAAGCAGAGGAATTTTAGAGTTAAACATCTCTGATGTAAATATACTTGTAAAAACCCTGTGTTGAATAGTATTAATTTTGTTTGTTTGGTTGTTTCAATAATTTACTTTCAAATAAACTTGAAGTTTCATGAAAATAAATTCGCTTTTGTGTCTTTATTTATAGGCATCCTTCTCAAAATTCAATACTAATTTCAAAAACATAAATCCTCACAATTTATATAGCCAGAAACTTGATGGTTTGTACGATTCATTCCTATGTTCTCTCTCTCAGGTGAGTCGGTGGATTACAAACTTTTAAAAACTTCCACAGTTTCACTGGAGAAAATACACATTGGATCTAGAGCCCAGACTCTTGAAAACATTGACAAGAAAAAATACTCTTGATTCAATCGGATTCTTGCTTTAATCAAAACGAAATCCGCTTAAATTAAGAGGTCTGGTTCTTGATTTAAGCTAGATTCTGATTGAATCAAGAGTACTTACTTTTTCTTGTCGATGTTTTTAAGAGTCTAGACTCTAGATCCAATGTGTTTTTTTTCCAGTGTTGCATCCGATTCCCAGAGTATTATTAATGATTTGTATAGATATTTTTTCTCGAGTACATTAGTTTTAATACATAAGTAAAATTCTTTTAATTATGAAAAATAGGCTAAAATTGAGGAAAGTGAATAGAAGGATTACTTCTTTCATAAGGTGAATCGATAGTTTCTCTTATCAATAGAAAAAAAATATTCTTTTTATAGCGCATCATGATTCAATAGCCCTTAAAAATCTATATTGTAGTCTACTAACCTACAACACTATCAGATCTTTCATGCGCATGAAACATTGAAGAAGAAAATATACGTAATTAATTTGTTTCTCTTTCTCAGAATTTGCCGTAGGAATCTGGCAGGATGTGAGAGAGTCGATTGAGTTTTCTCAGAAACACAAATATGGCAAGAACGTAATTTCAGGAATCTATTTCATTTGACCGATCATCTATGCAATTGGAAATAGCATTTTCTGGCAAGCAATATATTCAGAATTTGTAGTCAGCATTGTTGCCGCTCTAAATTTCTAGTAATTTTGTGCAAACGAAACATTTAATTAAAATACGGTAAATTCAAGCTTCAGGTCGTTAAAAGTGGCAAGGCACGCCTTGTAGTATTTTTCATTGATCCACAGCAGTATTGCTTTGATATTACTTACAATGAGGCTTAAAAGTTACGTTATATCAACTTAATTCCGATATTTTGCTTCAGCGTTGGCATTAAGTTTTCCTAGAAAGTCCGCCGTTGGCGCCGCGACAAGGACTGCAGGTGACTGAAGCGGTGCGTGCCTGGACAGTGAAAACGCCTTCTTTTCCGTGCGTATGCAACACGGACATCCGGAGAGCCCGAATAGTCGCATCCAAGCGTTGCAAGGAAACTCGCTTGGTGTTCGTTGCATTGCTTGTTTCTCTCTCACCTTAACTTGATTCCGGCGTCGCCCATTGCACCATTGAAGTAAACTATTACTGATTTGTATCGTATATTGTCAATTTTCTGAAAAATACTTTAATTGTGTAAATTAAAGGTACTACAACATTGCCTCTCTAAAATTGGACTGCGATCCTGCACCTCCGGACTCTTTCAAGAAAAAAATTTTGAGCGCGTATCCTAGGATATTTGTTTCGGCCGAAATGTCTAAAAGTAGTCCAGTCAGAAAAAGACCTATAGTTTGTTCAGAACTCGGTGAGGTAAGACTCAAAGTTTGTATAAAACATGTCATTATGTCAAATCAATGTTCGCGCTTTAGGGGTTTTACGACTTTTGACCCATAAAGTTCTACGGATAATTTTTAACTGTGATAGTTATTTTTTTTTCTAAAATCATATTTTTTCGTCCTTAACACCCTTTATCCATTAAATGCGCTACCAGTACTAAAGAGGCTGGGGCTTTTGGAAAGAATACAAGACGATAAAATGTACGCTGGCAGTAGTTCCAAAAAACTCTGATTTAGACGTCAGCCTTTTTTTGTCACGCCCAGGCCTGCCACATCCCAACTCGGGCCCTGATACCAGCTTTAAGGTCCGGTCCCCACGACTGCCACCAAATCCTTCCCCCTCCCCACCAGCTCATTTATTAATTTTCGGATCTTTTCGCACGTACAGAAATCACCACTCCAGCACTTTCGTCCCCACGACAGGGCCCGGGCCTCAACTGAAAAAAATTTTGAGGCCCCATAGGACCCCACAAGTGGGCTTAATTAATTTCCAAAGAGCGATCAATTACTTTTGAGCAGTTTTCACGAAAAATTGATCGCATTTCGATTTCAAAGAAGAAAAAAACACATATCATCAGCATAATTCCTTAGATACTGGAAAAAAAAAATTCATTGGATCTAGAGTCGAGAATCTTGAAAACATTGACGAGAAAAAATACCTACCTTGATTCAATCGAATTTTTGCTTGAATCAAAAGGAAATCCGCTTAAATTAAGAGGCTTGGTTCTTCATTTAAGCTAGATTCTGATTGAATCGAGAGTACTTTTTCTTGTCGATTTTTTTAAGAGTCTGACTCTAGATCCAATGTTATTTTTTTTTCACTGCTCATCTTTCATGGGATGGGCCAAGGAGATTTCTGGAGGCGCGAAGGGGGAGGAGGTGTTGGCCCTGCGACCTCCTTTTTGCTAACGCCAAAGAATAGGTATATTTGCTTCTTTGCTCTCTCTGCAAGCCTCAATCTCCTGATAAAACCTCAATCCTGATCCTGACGAAAGTGAACGAATACCCAAGTCCCGCAGATCACTCCGACCACAGGACAAAATTGTTGATTTCTCGTCGACCAAACGCTCGCCAGGTGAAGTATCTGGGTCAACATTTTGGAAGCTTGCAACTGTTCACAATAAAAGTAAATAAACTCCCTACGGTGTCACAAAGCTTTCCACGTTTCAGTTTTTTTCAGAATATTGGCCAGCTGTGCGCCGATTTTTAGAGCACGCAACGCGCTCTCTCGAGTGCCGGCTGTACTACTACGCGAGCCCCAGTTGACCAATAGTGCAGCGCATAACACTTATACAAACAAAACAACATAACCTAAGTTTTCAATGTGGAAGTCATAGTCCCGTGTCAAGTGGACGAAAATTAATTAGCAGTTTTACGTCTTTACATTCACCGACCGCGGTCTATTTTTTGACTCTAGTCTTATCTCATGTCCGAATATTTGCTGAATAGGTTTTTACACAGTGTTCCATGTTCATACGAATTGTAATTTCATCATTCGGGATCGCAACTTTTTCACGTCAAGTCGCAGGGTGACGTGTTTTTAAATCCATGAAGGGACCTCGACGCAAAACTTACCCAGCGTAAATTCATACCGTCTCGCTCAACTTTCATTCTTCGTATTTCGAACTTTTCATTGTTCTTCTCTGTATTTCTCTGACTGTCTTTGTAATGCAATGTCTCTCTGGGACCATCCGCTGTCACATATATGGAATTTTGATTCTCATCCCCTCTTTCCTGATACTTGGTAAATCAAATTCTTGTCATAATTTCTTAGTATATAAGTCTAAAGAAATGTTTCATGGGTTCACATCTTGCCTTACCTGCACATTGCTGTTAAGACAAAATAATCAAAGAGTCAGTGCTAATTGAAGCGGAAGTTAATTAGGAAGGGATGACGTACACGTCTATGATTTCTTTTGTTTCTTGTAAAATTAGTTTATGTTTTACTACTTTTGCCGCTTGAGGCTAGACCTCTTGGCATTTTTTATTTTGTAGTGGCCTTAACTTAATTTGTATTATGTTTTTTCTTTTATTAATAAATGAAAATCTGAATCTGATTCTGACACAATTTTCATGGCCCTGATTTTTACTCAAGGTGATGAGCTGCCGTATCACATTCAATGCCTTCTCAGTGGAGTTACGGCTTAAATGGCTTGATATTGTCAAAATAAGATTTTTAAACTTCTGAGAAAGTCAAATAAGAATTCCGTTGCAGGAATTCAAAGATAGCATTGAAGACAAAGAGTCAGGAACGTCTTTATCAACCCATGCAAACAATCAGTAGCCGTAAGCTAAAAGCTGATGTTATAGGCACCGGTGGTCTGTTTTCCTTACTGTAGATCAGGTTATATGGAGTCAACATGAAGTGCATCGTCAACGTAAATTTTTCAAGACAAGTTAGAAACAGAGTTACCTGAAACCACGCGGTCAAGGTTACCTTACTTCTCTTGAAATACCAAATGAGCTGCTTGTCCTCATATGAATGTGTAACATTTTAAATCATTGCTGCATGATCTTAAGAAGTTGATGCGACCATTCAATTGCACCTAGCGAATAGAACAACTAAATGATATTGGCTAAGCGTGTTTCAACAAGGCAGCTATCCATTCAAGAATGTCTAGGTACTTCAAGCAAAGAAAGTGTATAATATACTTGACATTGCATGGTAGAACAAAGTTGTCAGTTACTTAAGATAGGTTCTTTTACCTTTTTACAGCTGTTACAAGAATATTTTTTGGAGGAAAATGACAGCATTCATGTCACTAGCAGTAAATGTATCTAAGTATGGACATTATTTTTAAAATGAACAGACTCACTACACATAGTACCATCAAATATCGTAGCACATCCATGTGGGTAAAGATATTGACTCTCCAGAATTGAGGTTCTCACTCAGAAGCATCAGTATTAGAAGAAACCGCTTCCAAAACAGTTGCTGTTGATTTCCCTCGTCCAGCATCAGAGAGTTGTCATATCAGAAAAAGTTGTGCCTTAAATGCTGCAAAAAATAGATTACCAGCTGTCTTGGATACTCATGAAGTACAGTATCAGGGCCAGTGCTTCTAGAACAGCGTATTTTAGGTATATCCGTTTGAATTAACAAGTGTCTTTTTTTTTTCCATTGCAGTTTTGTCTCTTATGCAATATGATGATGAAGTTGTGCACAGTTTTGCCTGGAATGATGTCTTCTTTGAAATTGTCAAACCAGAAGCTCTCAGTTACACATACAGAATGAGGCCTGCCAAAGACTTTGGAGTACCTTTTGTAAGTCTTTTTTTAATCTTAAGTCATTGTTTTATCCTTAATTAGCTCTGATCCAGTGTCAGATGCACCACTATGCACAAAGGGTAGGTACGTTAATAAAGACTGAATCAATCCTCTCTGCGGTGAATTCATAATGTTAGCCGTAAAGTTGAGAAAAGGGAAAAAGATAATTTTGGAACACTGCAAAGATATCTGATTTTGGAGTTTAGTTATTGATTAGCTTTAGCTAGTTAAATTAGTTAGTGACGGAATTTACAAGATCGAAGAGGAAAGGATCCATCTAATGGAGCAAACTCAGAAGGTGTAAACCAACATAGTCATCTGTTGTTTCTTTTTCAGAATCAAACCTTTTCTTGGACTGAAATCCCACTTGTGCCTGTCCACCCACCGTACTGCTGCAATTGGCCTGATAATGCTGAAGAACTGAAGGACAGTGTTGCACTTGTGGAAAGAGGGTAATTTACTCTTTAGTTTCCAATTTATAGATAAGCAGTAGTCATATCGACGGCGTAAGTCCGCAATCACATATCTCGTTTGCGGTGTTTGAAAATCTCCGCCTCTATGTTTTTTTTTTAATGGAGAACAAATTGACATCATTCCTTGAAGTTTTTGCGAAATTTTCTTCCCACAGAGAAGAAAAATCATGGTAGTTTTAAAGAATTACTGTTGAGTAGTTTTCCGCTTCAAAAATAATGTATGACAGTAAGTCTGCGATATTGCAAACCGAGTTATGTGAGTGCCGACTTACACCGTCGATATGCATTTTCAACGATTAATTTGATCAAGAATTGTTATATCGTTCGATTCTAATTCTCAGCTGGACAGAATCTGATCTCTTTAAACTAAGATTGGCAGCTGAACATAATTTTAAAGGATGATTCTTGAGGTGACTCTAGGGCAGATATCCGCTTCTACATTGCACTGCTGCAAAGTCTGCACATTTGAGAAACAACAATCTTCATAATTTACAAATTTATCGGAGAAACTTATTCATAATGTATAGCAGCATTAAGACTCAGTACTATGACATCAAAGTGAAAACTCATTGAAAATGTAGATCAAAAATTGCGAAAATGGACTTCGTTCAATGACTCAATGTATGAGAGAGAGATGCCATTGCCATTACTCTGTGTATCAAAGGGATAGCGTTTATTTTACTCAAGTGCCTCTGCGCTTTTAACTGTTTTTTAAAGGGACTTTAAAGTTGGAGGAGACTTTTCTGGCTTCAGAATTTCAAAGATTTAAGGAATGGAATTTTCACCATGAAAGAGCAAACTTGATTTTTTATCTTTCACTTTGTAAAATATTTGTAGCATGATTGATCGTATCAGTGTACTGTGTAAAAATATTTTGAGCCTAACGACCAAACAAACTCAACGCTTATACATTATCTTTTTTGTAGACACTAAACTCGTATGCATGGATTCAAATACTGGTTTCATTGAATTGGAGAAAAGTATATCAACCTTTTTAGTTGTGTGAGTTTGGGTGTGAGTGGTGCATGTCAATCTGTTAATTTACCGATTCTATGTTAAGACCATGCCTTTTTATTTTAATTTTACTCATTATTTTGAATTTGATTGTCTTTGCTTTTAGAGAATGCTCATTTCTAAGTAAAGCTGTGAGAGCTGAAGAGCTCGGAGCCAAAGCAATAATTATTAGTGATAATGACGCTGAAAGTGATGATTACTACATTGAAATGGTCGATGACAACACTCTACGTGAAGTTCACATTCCTGCCGCATTTCTCTTGGGAAAAAATGGGTAAGACTTTTTTTCTTAATCTTTTGATCAATCCAAAAAGGAACTCCTGCTCTGCCAGGAACTGTGAATGCGTCTGTTGCGCACAAAAGATGCAGCAAACCGAGTGGATTATCTATTCATCTATCAAATGCAAGAAGATTATATTGAACTTAGTTTGTATTATGAACTCACAATTTTCCTGCATGCACAGGTATTTTTTTCTTAGCTCCCAGCAATCAGGTTTGCTGCAAATGAGGTATAAAAAACCAAATCTAATTAATGAGCAATTTTGCAAGCTCTGCATATCTTTCTCATATGAAGGGCTTAGAGGACAAGGCGCATAAGTGCAGTTTTTTTAAGAAAAACTGAGATATTAATGATTTCAAATAAAACTAGTCTCAATGCATATTCTGTTAAAAATTCGCTCCCAAATTCCAATTTTATGCCTCAGAAAGTCAGTTTGAACTTTCTTTCCGCCACAAAGATTCATGTAATTTCGAAACTTCAAACATGTATTTCTCAAAATAGCAAAAACTGCACTTATGCGCCTTGCCCTCCAAGCCCCTCATGTAAGGCTGCAATTTTTCTAAAGCATTTTTGCTTTTTTCTAGTCAAAGAGGATACAGACACTTTAAAACAATTGAAATCACATGTGAGAAAGGATGATAACTTTTTAGAAGATATTTTGCTACTTCTTTCAGGGTTTTTTATATCTATTTTAAGGTAAATCTGGTGATCTGTGGCTGAAATAGAAGTGCCCACAAATATGGAAAATTCGAAACTGCAGGATACTTTTTTGTGGGTGAAAGAGTAATAATTGTTACACTTTTCGGAAGTGTTCATTGTGATTCTCAGGCGAATTTACTTTTATCTAGTCTTCTCAGTTAGCTGTGTTTTACGTGGAACAGACCTCTCATCAGGAAAGACCGTACTAAATGTATGACATTTTGTGATGGAATTCATATTATCATATTATTCAAATAAAGCTGCTATTTCTCTGTCTAGTGGTTTGTAATAGTGCAGATTTCCTGTAATATTGAACTTTTCTTGACAACTGAATTCTTATCTCACAAACTTTATTTGTTTTTTCTCTTCTCCTCCAAGAATGACTTATAAACGTTTTAAACTCAAATGCTTGAAAGAAAAATTGAGTTGAAGCAGAGATTTTGAAACATCGCAATCATAATACAATTTTTCAGAAACATATTTTCAATGGATAGTGTTGACTCTTGGGGGACCAAGCCCAAACCATGGAAACTCTGAGGAATGTAGCGTGGTTAAATATTAACAGACGTTTGAAACACTAATACTAATATACAAACAGAGAGCATGGTAAAATCTTAATACGTAACTGTAAAAAAATTATTTTATAAAGACTTTCAGCTTGTTCTCAACACACTCTCTTCTCTCGGTGCTCTCAATGGTCATTAAAATCAAATTATTTCTGGTGAAAAACTCTCTGTAGTAATTTTCTCAGTACTAAAAGTTACACCTCATCTTGGTTCATTTTCATCATCACAGAGGATCTCAAAAATTTCTGATTAAAGTATTCTCTCTCTAGTATTAAGTATTATTTAATATTATTATAAAGTATTCTATTCTATATTCATAACTCTCATTGCACTATTTGAAGACCAAGATTCTTCAGAACTGAATGTCAGTTTTCATTTTTATTGTCAACTTTATGTCAGATTTCCCCCGACTTCTAAGCAATCACTCCAACAATTAAATATTAAATTTTGAAAGGTGAGGAATTGTCCTCTATCATTAACCAGTCACAGTGAGAAGTCCAAGTGGCTCTCGTATTAAAATCAAGGGAGCCTTTGCTGCAATTGATATATTTCACTCGAGGATTAAAATTATTCCACCGAGCATCACATTGATTGATACCTAATTCACTGATCACACTCTAAAATTTGTTTTTCCAGATATATGATTAGGAGAACACTTCAAAAGCTTGACCTACCCCACGCAATAATCAACATTCCAGTGAATCTTACATTTGTTCCAATGCATAAAATCAACCAACCTCCATGGCTCAGTTGGTGATATTCACCATAAATGCAGTGTTTATTTGCTCAGTTTGCAGACTATGTTTATTCCAAACGTGATGTATTTTCTATATTTTTTTGTCATGTTTTTGCATTTTAATTGTATTCTTACGATGATCACTTAGATTTTAGAAACTTGACGATACATACATCCTTACATTAATTCCTTTTATGATTGTCCTACCGTTGTTAACCTCAGTTTTGTTAAGTAGTTTTTAGAGACGTTCTCCTATTTTCTAATATATTTGACACTTTTAAAATGTTTGATAATAATTTGAAGTTGAATTGTTGATTCTTAGAATGTTTTTCTAAACAATAAATGATCTCTCTTAAAACTTGGTCCTTCTATTTTTACGTGTTTCAAAATAATACTTACCACTTTTCTTTGTGTCCTCATTTTTTGCAAAAATATCTAACACCTGGATCATCTAACTTTTATTTTCATTTTCATTGAAGAATGATGTTTCACTTTCTGATCATTGTAAATGATTTTTATCAATTAATTGGCTAAAATTTCTCACTTCAAGCAACTTAGAAGTCAGAGTCGTGGGGAGGCTGGCAAAAATCTAGGCACTTTCCTCATATTTGTTACCTACTTCTTTCTTTTTACTTCAAACCTAATATTGTAAAGTCACTGATCTAGCCCTTGGACTGAAACGCCTTATCAGGACAAGTGCGATGTCCTCTAGTAACGCAGGTTGCAATAAATAGCAATTAGGTTAATGATACAATCATTGCTATTGTATCAGTGTGTTGTGTGTGTTGTCTATTCACCAATTGAAGGGGCTCCACTTAGGAGGATAATTCGGTAGCCGATAAATCGATTGATGTCTGGGTTTTAGAGCATTTCTACAAAAATCTCCCACTTCATCACACTGCAGTTCTAAGGTACTACTCAAAATTTGACTGAGACTTCGAACCGACCCCAAAAAAGGCAAACCTTGATGTATATGTTTGCAGAGGAATACCTACTCTTCTTCTATTAGTTTCATCCAGCGGCGAAGAAAGAATGATCGATTATCGACATTTCCTCATTTGAAGCTATGGTGCTCGCTGCGAACACCTGTTTATTGATCTCCTTCCATAGGTTAAAACTAGGGAGCTATGCCCCCTGGCCGCTACGCGGCCCGACCCTTAAAGAGCTCTACGCGTTCTCTCAGATCAGCGTCGACAATAGAACGACCGAAAAAATTGGAAAGATTTTCATACCCGACTCTCATTCATCCAATCTCCCTCTTGCCCGGAGCAATTGGACCAGTAAGAATCGAATGAAAAAATCTGTATTAATTTCAAACTTCACACCAAGACTGAAACGAAACGGATCGGAGCGTTTCGTCGCTTTTGGATAGTCTGTAGCAAAGAGGCATACCCTCGACTCACTTACCCTAACAGACCAAGATTCAACATTTCTCGCTAACTTCGACAGAGCACAGAGGAGAATTTCATGAGCCGTCCGCAGCGCGCAAGACGCACGACCCGCCTTTCATTATTATTATCTATCTTTGTGAGTTCACTTATTACTTCACACGACCAGTGTGTAATTTTAATAGTCGAAAATTTGAAAAAAAAAAATTAACACGATGCACGAGTTTCTCCGCCAGGGAGCTCTCCCCGCAAGAAATCGGTCACCACCCGCCGGGAGAGCCGCGGCGTACTACCAGCGCGAAACGCGCACAGACGCCTTCAAACCTAAGGGGCTACTTCACGCATTGCGCAATGCTTGAAGTATCCCCTTAGGTTTGTAGGCGTTTGTGGACGCATTGCGCAATACTTGAAGTATCCCCTTAGGTTTGTAGGCGTTTGTGGACGCATTGCGCAATGCTTGAAGCATCCCCTTAGGTTTGTAGGCGTTTTTGGACGCATTGCGCAATGCTTGAAGCATCCCCTTAGGTTTGTAGGCGTCGGTACGCGATTCAAACTGACAGTACGCCGCGCCCGCAGCGTGCCATGAACTTGCCACAATTCCTAGGTCAGGATGTTAAAATGTAGGCAATTGGACATCAAATTCGAAATTAGCGACTCAAAAAACATCCGTCACGAAAATTTGGTGATCTATCAGTCAATATTCGACTTATTTCTTCCTATTCTTGAGCTCAGGATCATAGTGCGCCGCGGGTGGGCGGCAGCTCATGAAATTTTCCCATGTGCTCAACCGCGCTTCCTTCAATTTTGCCCCCCTTTCTAAGCTTTCTGGTCTCCTCTAATATAAAAAAACCTGGGTCATATTTTCAATTTTTGATTACAGCGAGCTCATCTATAGGGACTAGCACCTGTCAATAACCACAAAAATCATGGAAATTGGCCCAGTGCTCTGCTCAAACGAACTGTGACAAAAAAATAAAAAATTACTTTGTTTCAATGCTGGTATGGACATGTGCAAAGAATGTCGGAGGAGAGGTTGCCCAAACAAGTTTTGGATTGGGTACCACCTGGGAAGAGGCGACGGGGACGTCCCGTAAAGGGTTGGCGGCAGGGCGTTGACGAAGAGATGTTGCGGTGTCAGTTGCCCGATAACCTCTGGGAAGACAGGCATATGTGGCGTTTGGGGGTCGTAGAACGCCAGAGTGCGTTGTAAAGCGACTTTAATAATAATAATACTTTGTTTCAATGGGAGAATTCGCAACTTTACTACGTAATATGAAAAGAACCTGGGTCATATTTTCAAAATCTGAATAAAACGGGCTCATTTAGAGACAATTGCCCGTTGAAAGCCGCAAAAATCATAAAAATCGGCGCGGTAGAACGCTGGAGCTAAGCATTACCAGATACGCAAATTTAGGAGGTCTCGGAGCTTATAGAATTGATGGCAGGGCAATCGATGTATCGCAAAGCACGCCCCGCCACTGTTTTCATTCATCTCTCCTTCGATAATTCACTGATCAGATTCGTTCACCAGGATACCGAGTCTGTCGGGGGGAAAAAAAGAAATAAAAAAAACTGCAGGAGAAGAGGATGGTGAAGATACAGGAAGGAGACCAAAGAATAAAGACAGGAAAAAGAAGGGAAATAACTGGTGATAGGCAGTGCCGTATTTAGGATGGTGGAAACCTCCCGGAGCAAACTGAAGGTCTGAGGGCCCCCAGAAATCCTCCTTAAAATGATGCTTCGAAGACTTCAATTTTCGCTTAATTTAATCGCTATGGAGAGGCAGTGTGGCAATACGGCGTAGGTTTCTCAATTTTCATTCGAGCCCTGTTTTTCATGTAAATCCATGCTTTCTGGTGCTCATGTGAAAATGGGGATTTACCTACCTACGCCCTTACGTCAAAAGAGCGTACTCCACGGAATTGACAATTTGATGATGAAACTAGGGGCCTGAGGCCGCTACGCGGCCGCTAAACACTGAAAGGGAACTGCTCATAAGAAACCATTGAACAACCACGTTCAAGTTATTTATTATAATTGAATAGCAACTTAAATTGACAATAAATTTTGAAAGAAGATATAACATGCTCTGAAATTTTGGAAATTGAAATTGGAATTTTGAATTTATCATCATTTAATAACAATTTGAATTTATGATCTGGAAAAATTAAATTATCCCGGAAAATAATTTCGGACTTTTCAATGTGAAGTGCCAGTATTGTGATGCCTTGCATTTCAAAAAAGAGGACGTGAACGGCCATTTTAACAAATGTTGTCATAATGGTCTTCTCAGACTTGCCGAGCCTGAGATCAAAGACCAACTTCGCGACCTCTTCTCCAAACCCATTTCCATGACCAACATTTTGAGGTACAACAGTTGTGTGGCTTTAGCATCTCTGTCTGCTTCCAAGCTATATAATTTTGAACCAAATCTTCTGCTATCGAATACGAAAAATCATGGAGAATTTAAGTATTATTGTGACCAGCTTCTCGAAGAAAAATAAAATTTCTAAGGAAGTCTGCAAAGTCGCGAATGGAGAAACGTCGTCTCTCGTTTTGCCCAAAAATATTTATGTTTCAAATTGAAGGCATTATGACTTTCCTCTCTCAACTTACATTCGTCTGTGTCGTTAAACAACGGGACGCGCTTGCTACGGCGCCTTGATACAACTATACATCCTCGACGGATGTCCGTATTGCGTTCAAAAAATTGAAGGCGTTTTGACTCCTGTTCACACTACCTGTAGTTGATTCGATCGACAAACGCGTTGGTCGGCGGTGACGGGGACTTGATGCAACTATTTAAACTTGATGGATGTCCGTATCGCACCGACTGAAGTGCGAAAACACGTATCTCTATTGCGGTGTTTCAAAATTTCCGTTCTTATTTCATCTCTTCCATGATAAACAATCCAAATTTACGACTTTAAATTTTGAACCAAATCTTCTGCTATCGAATACGAATAATGATGGAGAATTTAAGTTTAATGTTTACCAGCTTCGCGAAAGAAAAATAAAATTTCTAAGGAAGTCTGCAACGTCGCAAAAGGAGAAACGTCGTCTCTCATTTTTCCCAAAAATATGTATGTATAAAATTGAAGGCATTATGACTGGCCTCTCTCAATTTATATTCGTATGTAACGATAAACAACGGGACGCGTTTGCTACGGCGCCTTGATACAACTATACAACCTCGACGGATGTCCGTATTGCGTTCAAAAAATTGAAGGCGTTTTGACTCCCTGTTCACACTACCTGTAGTTGATTCGATCGACAAACGCGTTGGTTGGCGGTGACGGGGACTTGATTCATTTTTTTAAACTTGATGGATGTCCGTATCAAAGTGACTGGAGTGCGAAACCACGTATCTCCAGTGATCGACTTAAATTTTTTACGAGAGAACGTTTGTTCGGACCTCTTTGAAAATTTTAAGGAATTTGCTTCGCACCATGAATAATTTTCGCTGAAATTTGCACGAAAATCCGCACCACCGTTTTCATGTAAAAAATCAGATTGCCCAATTAAATTTAGCAATAGCTGATGTGGCTTGGTTCCTTTCTGTTTAACGCGGTCCAATTATCAACCAGCACAGCGGGCCGATTATTGAAATTTATAGACAAAGCTATAGACAAAGAAGACATAGGGGGTATGGAGCGATCTTATTGGTTGAAACGTGTGGTTCTCATAGACTAAGGGAGAAAATGATGGACTAACTGTCAGGTTTCTCGTGGGTTGCCGTTAGTTAGTCCATTACCTACCTCCTATGTCCATTGCCACCACCCGCTTCCACCAATAGGATCCCTCCAAATCCATTTTTTCGTCTTTGTCTATAGCTTTGTCTATCAGTTTCAATAATCGGCCCGCTGGAGCGATTGCCCCGATCCCCTCAGATCCGTGGCGGAAGACGAGAAGGAGGAATGGAAAAAGCGAAAGATGATGACAAAGAGGTATAGCTAATTGTAAGATTTTTCAATTTTAGCCTCCCTCTTTCTGCGGGGACGGCCCACGCTCGACGGCGCCCACGCGCGGGGCGCCGCGGCGCCTGGACGCGGGCGTCGGGCGTCGGGACGCGAGTTTCTGTTGGAGCTCGAGCGCGATGCGAGCGGTGCGCCACGATGCTCCAGCCTGCCCGCGACTCCGTCCGCTGGTGGAAGATGAGCCTCAGCGAGGACTGGCCCCTCAAGTGCTGCAAAGTCCTCATCATCCTCAAAGTCATCCTCACCCTCTGCTATCTCTGCTGCTTGATCTTCTTCAAAGTCTGCTGCAACTGATTCCACCGTCCTCGCACCACCTGTAGTTCCGTTCTCACTCGACCGCTTTTTATCCGCGTACTTAGATTTTGAAAAGGTTTTTGAAAAAGTTTTTTGGAAAAGTTTTTTGAAAACCATCGCGTGCATTCAATAGCAACGCTTGACGTTGGTCCTCCGTCACGACAGATCCTCCATCGCACTCTTCAGGTGAGTACATCCAATACTTTTTGCTAGTAATGAGAATTTTTGTACGGAAAAATCGCGATATTTTGAAATTAAGTTGCGATTTTTTGGCGATAAAAGTGCTAAGACCATCAACATCTGAGCGAATATCCTCGATTTTGTTGCAATTTTATCTCTATAAAATTTAAATTTCATCCCAATTTATCACCATCTTTTGTTCGATATTTTGCAATAAATCGCTGTTGATAAAATCGCGATTTAATTGCAAATTTTCGCGATGAAATTGCAATTTGGCGCAATTTTTGATTTGAAAATGTTGCAATGAAGCGACGCCGATAAAACCGCGATGAATTGGACGTTCTGCCAAACGGAACTATGTGCATTGTGGCGTGATCCCTGCTAAACATGTATTCTTATGGGTCTCAGGGCTCATGTCTTAATGCACATAGTTCCGTTTGGCAGAAATACGTTCAATTCCCCGATCAAATCGCAACTTATCGCAATCACTGCTACTTGGGTTACTCGACCTTCACTGAGGGAAAACCTGTTTCGGCCATAAAGTTCCGGATGCTCCATGTTTGGTTGTCTCGATTAGGTGTCCGCCTCGAGGAACTGATCCCTCCATCATGAAGATTCTTTCATGAACCTTAATAAAAAAAATTTTTTCGGGATTTCTGCAATGGACTCGGTATGCCACGAAACGCATGAAGACATCGACATCTTCATTTTGAAATTGTGGAAAAAAATATCATGAGCCAGATTTCGAAGTTTCTTAACGTAATAACGTATCCTCGGATAATCACTGCAGGTTGCATACGCAGCACCTGAAAAATGGTTGAAATTTCATGATAAAATGAACTTTCAATAATTTTTGGACGGTGAACATTCCAAGAATTTGTTTCAACAATTTTTGGACGGTGAACATTCCAAGAATTTGTTTCTATGTGTCTGCTGGAAAATGAATTTTCATTTTCCAGCAGAATCATGGAAATCATTTTCTGGGATGTTATTTTACCATGAAATTTCATTTCTCAGCAAACTCTAGGAGGTTATTTGCTGAAATGTTCACCATCCATTCAACCCAGAATATTCTATGAAAATTTTAATCAATCAAGTTCATTGTTTCCCTTTTAAGAATCAAGCCGTGTGGATTTTCTTTTTCTTTTTTTTCGGCGTTATAATTAAGATGCGTACTTTCCAATTTTCGCTAATGAACTTCATATCTGTCAAAAATGTCACACGATTCTGCTGATTTCATGATTGTTAGTTGTCTCTATCATCAAGCTGGACGCGAAGTTAAAAACAATCTCACATCAATAGTAATTTTCATTTTAACGAGATGCGGCACTAATGAGATGGAAACAGGGTTATAGAGATGGCCCACATACTTCCACAAAGATATTCGCTCGGATTTATATTTTTTAGCATCCGCGCGAAATGTTTCTCTTCAAAACGAAGTTGACGTAACATTAAAAAGCCCTGGCAGGAGTGGGCGAGTAAGCGCCTACAAATTCGTTTGATACCACAAGCGCTGACGCAGTCAACGTCGCACATTGTTCAAAGAAGAAACAGGAACCGTACTTAGTTTGATTTACGGGCCACGTTGCACCATCGACTTATACTGTCGTGCTAAGGAAGAACGCCTTATGACCCCTCAGCCGTTGCCATGTTTCCTCCGATAAAAACCGACTTCACTGAGAAAATTGCGAATATTATTTTCCAAAATTTTCATAAATTTTGTACTCAATTTAATCTAAAATATCTGAAAGTTTCAAGGAAAAATACGCATGAATGTTGTTAAAAACACATGTTTTCATCAAGGGATATTTGGCAACTCTCGAATGTTCATACGGCGTTCTTCCTTCGCACGGCAGTTTAGGGCGATAAACCGAGTCGCATGACATTGATGCATTTCCTGCCGATTTTAAGATCAGCTGGTGCCAACACTTTTAGTCCATTCACGATGAAATAACTTGAAAAATAGAGAAAAATATTTTCGTTGAAAACTTTTCCAAAATTCCCGAAAATCTATTTTTGTCGAATAATTTAACCACTATTTCCAAGTCGTTGCATCATGAAAAAATAATCTATATTATTTTTCGATAAGGCTAAGAATTTTGGTATCACCCGCAAGGAAACTCTATACGCTACAATTGAAATGGACATAACGCTACCAGACACAAAGCTAGAGACGATTTGCTGAAATATGAAAATTTTCAGACAAAATGAAGGGACCCTAGGCGTTTTTATGGCAACCTGTTTTTTGCCGTTAGCGGTTAACATTAATTTCAATTGCAAATTCGAATCTTCAACAAACTAGGTAATCTTCATTGAAGGGGCCTTTCTCTGTACCTAAGTCCATTCATTCTCGAAATGAGTAAATTCTCTCGCTTCTGAGCTTACTTACTCCGCTCGTCCTGTCCATTTTGCGAGAATAGTATGGACGTATTTATGCTAAAAGGAACTATGTGCATAGGGATTTCGTGAGACATAGTTCATTTTGACATAAATACGTTCCGTTCTGGCAAATACTTCAGTTTTTGAGAGGGTTTTGCAAGAAACTTTGCTCCCTGTCCTGAATTTCCTTCATAGATTGAGGTAAACCTCTGAATGCACAAGCGCAAAGTTAATTTTTTTTTTTTTTTTTTTTTAAAGTAAGGAATGGCAAAAAACTACTAGGGGTTAGATCCGGGCTGTAAAGGAGTCTGTCAGTTGGGGAAGATCGGTAATATTCCTCTACATCCTGCGCAGTGGCGAGGCGTGAATGGACTACATTTTGCAATTCGGAACTATAAATTCTAGCCCGGTTTAAAAACAACGTATGTGCCATTAGTTTCTCTATGCACATAAGTGTTTCTCCAGAAGAGCCAGAATCTATAGTTCCAAATTGCAAAATGCAGTCCAAATGATCGACTATCGATATTTTCCCATTTGAGGCTATGGTGAAGAATCGATTATTGAGGTGTTCGTTGCAAACACCTTGTTGATCGATCCTTTTCAATAGGTTTAAATGGAAGATCAATCGATACATCGCAAATCACGCCACGCAACTGGCCCTGCACTGGAAAAACTCATTCTGTGAGTTCGAGGTATGGGGGTCTTGTTTCTGGGTAGTTCTCTTTAATCTTTACTTGTAATTGTTTGTCTGCGCGAGAAAAATTTGAAAGATGAATTGGATTACATTTTGCAGTAAGGAACCAATATCTTTGGCTCTTCTGTAGAAGCACCTTTCTTTATAGGGAAACTAACGGCATATAAGTTGTTTCTAAAATGAGCCAGGTCTAGCGGTTCCTTATTGCTAAATGTGATCCAATTGATCCAACTTATAATCAAAAACTGAAATCAAAGTGACTTTCGGAAAACAATTTACTTCGCTCGATCGAGAAACCTTCATCCCTATGCTGACCCCACGAGGGTCATCTTTTCATCCCTAAGCAGAGGAATCCGCTAGCCATCATGTTCAAAACAGTGATCAATGCACTTGTCTCAACCAAGTCGCCTTCATTTGAGAGGGTAGGCAACACGAGCACATGGGAGCCGCAACAGTTATGTCTCAATAAGATGGGCGCTACATTGTGAACCATCACGAAACGTGGTATTTAGATACAAGAGTTGCCTATCCTTTTAAATGAAGGCGAATCATTCAAGCTGCAAAAAATCATAAAATTATGTTGCTATTAATTTTCACGCCATGGTGCACCTCTCTTTCCCGTTTCCCAACTTTATTACATCCATTTGACCGCGTTTAACATAAAAGAGCCAAGCCGCATCAGCTGTTGCCATTTAACTGGGCAATTTAATTTTTTACAGAGAAAGTTTAGTTTGTGCGGATCCCTTTGAAACTTTTAAATAATTTGCTTCGCACTTTGCACATAATTAACCGACATTTGCACAAAAATCCGCACATCCGTTTTCATGTAAAAAATTAAATTGCTCAGTTTTTGGCAATAGCTGATATGGTTTGGTTTCTTTCTGCTTAGCTGCCGTGCTAAGAAACATCGCAAGAGCCCTTAGACGTTGTCAAATTTCCTTTAATAAAACTTGAATTTCCGAGCGAATTAAGGATTATTTTTCTTCCTATTTTTCAGATACTTTCTTTCGCAATTTTACCTAAAGTTTCACTTGAAAACAAAGAAAAATATTGATAACTTACCTAATAAGTAATCATTCAACTTGAGGAACTTCGGCAACTCTCGAATGTTCATACGGCATTTTTCCTTAGCACGGCAGTGCAGCAGTTAGGTAAGATTTGAGAGTACGGTTTCATGAACCGAAAAACGCGGTAACTTGAATCGAACGGAACGGGTGATAGGGAACACCGTAGACAAGGTACGAATTTCAGCACTCTGATATATGTTCCGTAACCAAAATTTCACGTAGAGCACGATGCGCACAATGAAAATTATCGAAATCAACTCCTCACAACGATATTTAATGATTCTTGATGCGTGAATTCAAACAACCCGCTCATGAAAACTCAATGCTCTACGTGATTCACATCGCGCGCTAAACGTTATCATGACAGTCTCTGCGCGATGTAAAAATCTGGCAACCTCAATCTTGACGCCTTGGCTCAGCTATAGCAAATTGCCTATAGTTCGAACAACACATGGTGGGAAATGAATATTGCTCGATTAAGAAACTTGCTGAGACCGTTGTCGTGCGCGATTTGACTCACGTAGAGCTTTGAGTTTCTTGTGAGCGGGCAGTTCAAATTCCTCGTAACCAATGTGAAATGAAAAGGTTAATATCTTCGTTAGGAGTTGGTTTCAGTAATTTTCGTTGCGCGAATCGTGTTCTACGTGAAATTTTGGTTGAGAAACATGTATCGGAATGCTTACATTCGTACCTTGTCTAGTGATCCATTGTTTCTCACCTTCTTACCGAGGTGGATAAAGGGGACTTCATTCCGGAAAATTCGAGGAGTTGGCAACGCGTAATAGCCGTGAAATAAATTGTGATGATAGTTTGATTTGGCATAAATTCCAAAACGAACCAACTGGATCCGGCTGCATCTCGTGAATGAGCGGCAAGTCATAAGTGCTCCCTAGTCACTCGGAGAGTTCCACGATAAAAATAGAATTTTTATTTTTATTCTCGCAATTCATCCACGCATACCTTCCGTTTTTTTCTTTTTTTTTTGCTTACTTTTTTCTAATATTTTTTCCTCTCCGCTTTGATAATTCCCACCGTTAACTGTCACTTAGACCAGTCGTCGAAGGCGAAGAGAAAACTGCAAGTTTTGAACTTTCTCTCCGAATTATTGCATCGGATGTCATTTAAGGGAACATATTTACCTACGAAGTGAGTGTTAAAAGTACCGCGTGACCACTGCCGAAGTAGCATTTTCCGACGGAAAAATCGCGATATTTTGAAATTAAATTTCGATTTTTTCGCGATAAAATCGCTAGGATCGTCAACATCTGAGCGATATAGTCCTCGGTCTTGTCGCCATTTTATTTCTAGGTATACAATTGCGTTCGATAAAATCGGAATTTTATCTCAATTTGTCACGATTTTTTGCCGCCGTTGAAAAAATCGCGATTTTATTGCAAATTTATGTGACGAAAATCGCAATATTTTTTATCCAATAATGTTGCAATAAATCGACGTCTATAAAATCAACATACATTTTCTGATCAAATCGCAACTTATCACGATCACTGCTACTTGGGTGCAACACTCTGTTGGAATAGTATTCTCTTTTTCCGAATCCCACTTGTAGAAAGATTTTTTGTGCTCAGTGATTTCCTCTTTATTAGTACTCTGCTGAACCAATTCGACGCCCTTTTTTACTTCCCTGTAGATAAAGCGACGATAAGAATAGGCATAATCAGCTGTAAAAAGTTTCGACTCGTCTTCTAGTTTTGTATCCACGGTTGGTAAACTGAAAAAGAAGGTTGTTAAACGGTTCTTTGCCAATAGGGAGTCACTATTTTTTACTATCAGGATTGCAAGCTCGGAGTGCGCACTGCGGGCCGATTATTGAAATTGATAGACAAAGCTATAGACAAAGGAGACAAAAGAGATATGGAGAGATTCTATTGGTGGAAGCGGGTGGTTGCAATTGACAAAGGAGGTAGGTAATAGACTAAGTAACGGCAACCCACGAGAGACCCGACGGTTAGTCTATCGTTTTCTCCCTTTGTCTGGAGAAACCACCCATTTCAACCAATAGGGTCGCTCCATACTCCCTATGTCTTCTTTGTCTGTAGCTTTGTCTATCAATTTCAATAATCAGTCCGCTGGTCGGAAATGATACGCACCGCGGTATACGAATTTTCAACGATTAAAGCGCGCTTCGTGGTGAACGCGCAATGCGTGAAGTATTCTTGTAGGCGCGCATGGTGTTTGCCGCAATGCGTGAAGTATTCATACGGATCTGTAGGCGCTAACATGAGTTCCGCGCCGCGCAGATCGCACTGTGTTTAACGTTGACGAGACTAGTTTAACTCGCGGAGTCTGCACGTCTAACTTCCCTGCACGGAGACGGGTTCGGGGGGCCACCCCCGAAAATTTTGGGAAACTGACTTGCCTTTAAATGGACTGTAAGGCTACCGCTACGCAAATTTTGTGCGCCTGGGTGCCAGATTTTAGCTTAAATTCTTCCATGGAACTTGAAAATTAAAAGAAAGAAAAATTCTTGTTAATGTGGGCAACCACTTTGCAGTTCGTACAATATTAATATTAAACAAATTATCGTATGGTGAGATGCAACTCATTGCCAGAGAAGAGGGGAAACATGAATCAGAGAGGCAAGAAGAAGACAGAGCGCTGAGGAATTTCAAAAACTAGCCCCCTCCCCATTTCCGACTTGATACGCAGCACAGTGGATCGAGTCAATTAATGAGATCGGACATGAAATTTTTGACTAAAACTGCAAATTTTGATGTTCATTCCGTCACATTTTAAATTTCATGGAATGCTTTTAGAAGAAAATTTCACGAGGAAACCAATGGAACCACTTTTAAAATCTCAAGGTTTTGCATAAACGGAGTTATAAGTGTTTAAAGTTTCCAAATTTTGTCCGACCTCTCCTATTGACTCGATCCACTGTGCGCCGCCCATGTTCCATGTTCACGGGATGCGAAGCAGCCATCAACACTCGGGCTCATCGCTTCCAGCTCAGGCGAGGCGAGGCGAGTCAACACACGCGCTCAACAAAAACAATCAACAGTTGCGTGGCGTGCATTGCGATACATCGATTGTTATGCCATTTAAAGCTACGGAAAAGAATCGATGATCAGGGTGTTCGCAGCGAACACCTTAATAATCGATTCTTTCCCATAGGTTTAAATGACAGAACAATCGATATATCGCGAAGCACGCCGCAACAAAAACAATCAACAGGGCGGATCGAAAACAAAGCGGCGTGGAGACGCGGAGACCAGCGTTTGATATAATTTTGGCTTGATACCAGCCAAAAAATTCGGGTTTATTTTGGAGAGAGGGGGTCGGAGAGAGTCTCGCTTAGGCCCCACTGAGGACACTTGATGTGACAGTCGGCGCCGAAGCCTCTCCTGTGGTTGTCATCCGTTCATCGTATTTTTAAAATTCTTGATTGAATTCCATTAAAAATCTAGGTTAAGCCTCTATTTTACCGCTGGAGCTCCTAAATTGCTGTGAGTAATTTTCTGCTTGCTCAATGTTGTTGTTTTTCCTACCCACCCGATAAAGGGATATTGAGTAAATTCTGCCGTGCTAAGGAAGAACGCCTTATAAACATTCGAGAGTTGCCAAATTTCCTTCGATAAAATTTTCATTTTTGAGGAAAGTTATGAATTTTTTCCTTGAAATTTTCAGGAACTTTAGGTGAAATTGCAAGCAAAAGTATATGAAAAATTGGAAAGAAAATATTCATAAGTATACCAGGAAATTTGTGTTTTATCAAAGGAAATTTGGCAACGCCTTTAGGTTCATACGGCGTTTTTCCTTAGCACGGCAGAAGTTTTCTCGACCGCACGACGACCAGAGTGAGGCGTTGGGTGCAGAGAGGGCGTTTGTTTGTTGCGGTGTTTCAGGATCTCCACTGCTCATTTATACTTTAAGAGATGAAACTATATTGTATGAATTTTCTGAAATTTTTTGTTTTCAGCATTGTAAAATCATGAGAAAAATTCGATTTAATAAGTTCCGCTAAATTTCCAACATTTGCTTTAGTTATAATGGATAAAACGTCAGCAAAGAATCTGAGACGCCGCAACCAAAAACTGCCCTTTTTGCACCCAGCGTTACAATTGTGAAAGTGCCCTAAAAATTACGAAGGTTTAGAGTTTTTTTCTTTCCTTTTTTTTCGAAGGTTTTCAGATTTTAAACTCTTGCAGAATATCGCGACTTTAACATAAATTCATCCAAAAATTTAACAAAATTTTTATCTTTGATTTTACCTTTGTTTTTCTCGATCACTTGGTTGTAGATTTTAGTTAGCAATAGCTATTTCGATCATCCGATTATCCTCAGGCTACATGGTAAACACTGGTAAACTTATTAAAAATATATTAAAATTTATTAAATACTTATTAAAAAAAGTATTAAAAAATATTCAAGGGTGCACCCGCCATGGTCTACCATGTGATTTAAAAGTGCTTACCATGTAGCCTGAGGATGATCGAAATAGCTATCGCTAACTAAAATCTACAACCAAGTGATCGGGAAAAACATAGGTAAAATCAAAAATCCAAAATTCCTCCTGATAAAAAGAGCTTTAACTTCAAAATTTTGATCAGCGCGTTTGTGTTGACCTTCTTGCAAAAGCCTAGCACGTCGCAGAAAATTGCGGGGGTCTCTTGGAACATTGCAGAGACCTAGAACAATTTCCATCCCTGTCTGAGCATTGCCTCAATATATCCCAAGTCCTGACAATATTATAACTTATATATTTATTTCTGTTAAAATGCTAACCCTTTAACCATACTCTTGCTGTGATGACTGATCTTGCTAATTTTTCAGAGGAGGCCAGTGGGAAAATGCAACGCGTCCTTAGTTTACCGCACTCAGAGCACTTTGCGGAAACGAACAGATCTGACGAATTCGTCACAAAAAGGTTGTGCTTCTCCAGTCTCTTCTCTCTGGCTTTTTTCACGCTACTTTCGGGTAAGCCTGGAACTTTGTAGTAATTTCATGATTTTAAGATCTGTCTAAGGAAAAAGGAAGTTATCAGAACCTTTTATAGATTTGGTCCGAGAGACGCGCGATTCTATCAATACTAGGGGACGTAGCCCCACAACCGCTTCGCAGTCAAACCCTCCGAAGCATTACACTGCCGTGCTAAGGAAGTACGTCGTATGAACATTCGAAAATTTCCAAATTTCCCTTGACAAAATATGTATTTTTGACGAAATTTATGCATATTATTCATTTAAATTTTCACATATTTTAGATGAAATTGCGTACACAATTGTCCCCAAATTTTGAGGAAACGTATTCAAAATTTTGCCAGTAAATTGGTATTTTGTTAATGGAAACATGGCAACGCCTGATGATTCATACGGCGTTCTTCCTTACCACGGCAGTACACGCCAGAGGCGTTATGCGTTTTGTGTTACTCTTAAAATTTTATATTAGGGTGATCTAAAAGTCCTACACCATCCCTATACCTCCCAGGGTTCTTTCTCTTTTACAGGGCGATCTCCTAAAAATGTTTAAGGCCCCAAAAGCCCCTCCGCCCCCCCCCCCCCCNCCCCCCCCCCCCGACCTGAGAGCACTCACAAAATTTCAAGACTCCACCTCAATTTATTCAAAAGTTACGAGAGTGATGCTAAGATTGCTAAAAGCTGGTAATGCGGATTTATAGATCACTCTGTATAGTATGATTTTCTTGTAGCTAAGCACGCATGCTCGATCTGAAAAAAAACTCACGTCAATTCGTTGATAAAATAATGTGGTCATTTATTAAAATAAAAACGAGCATATTAAATAAAAAAAGTTGAACACACACGAAAATACAACATAAATTATTGGATCGAGATCAGTCTTATGTTATGTATTCAAAAAATAAAATCACACAAAACAAGTAGGTATAATGGACGGACTGATTTTTGACTAGATAAACTTTAAAGTTAAAAAAATAAAAGCCTGAACTTCCGTTCTTTTACATGATTCCCAACACAGTACAAACAATGCTACCAGGACTATGATTAGCTTCATATAAACGTCTGTTTTGGTTTAAGATTATTAGGAAATTAAACTTATGGTGATTCGACGGTTGTTATTTTTTGTGTCAAAGCGACGTGCGATGTATAGCATAAATTCGTTCCATAATTTCAGTTACTTATCATTTTTTTTCGAATTTTGAGATCGCACTTCTGTTGTCATGAGACTAAAGAATTCATGTACCATATTTGACAAAGAAATTCCACGTATGAAGGGCAGGGTTTTTTTAGTGGACAAATTTCGCATTCGAGTGCAGTTTCGATATCAGTATCGAAAGCTATATTTTTCCTCTAAAAAAAAACCCTGCCTTTTATACGTGTATTTTTTTTTTGTCAAATATGGTACATGAATTCTTCAGTCTCATGACAACAGAAGTACGATCTCAAAATTCGAAAAAAATGACAATTAGCTGAAATTATGGAACGAATTGATGCGATATATCGCGCGTTGCACTGACACAAAAAATGGCAACCGTCGAATCACCTTAAAGGCAGGGTTTTTTCAGAGTAAAAATGTCGCATTCGAGTGCAGTTTCGATATCAGTATAGGCGTCGCATCGATGGTCTCTGCCGACGCCTTGGCGCTCCTTGGAGGAAGTCAAGGTTTCGGAATCTTCAGTCGGGCCATATCCTCCTGGATAGCCTAACAATCGGATTTCAAAATTTGAACAATCAATGTTGAGAAAAGTACAACTAATTCGATTTTGCAGGGTTCCTGTTGGGCCGCTTCGTGACGCATCGTCACCTTGAGATAAAAGAAAATGCCTGCAAGGCGGAGGTGGCCCACCGCTCGAAAAATCACATCAACGCCGCTGAGTATCTGGAAAAAAGAATTCAAAGACACCATATCAAGGAGTATTACGAGTGAGTGACTTATAATTTATTATCAGCCGCCTATAAACTTAGTAGACATGTCTAGCAATTTTCAAAAATAAATTCCCTGACATTTTCCTGAATGCCCTGACGAAAACGGCCAAAAAAACCTGGAAAACATTGAAATTTCCTGACAGACGGAAAAAATAGTTCCCTGAAAAAAAGGGAAAATATTCCTAATTTTTTCGACACGGGTTAACTGATTAGATGTAAGTAAGAATTTTTCCATGTTTTAGGGATATTTTGTAATGAATGTAGCACAATATGTTGGGCTTAAATTTATGCGAGATATTTTCCCCTAACTTTTAAAACTCAAAAGATATTAGCAGAAATTCTGGTTGAAATTTTGGTAGAAATTTCCGTGAGAGTAAAATTCGCGAAACATTCTCCGAAAAATTCGTGTTTTTCGATTCACTGCGCCTTCAACATTTTACTTGATCTTAATGAGACATTTACAAACCACTATTCGAACGTGACGACAGACATGTCGCATAACCGACGAATTGAAGGCGAATCTTCGATTTGCGAAAATGAGACACTATTAGTGTCTAGTGTCACACTAGAGAGATTGCGCTGCTGTCCACACGTGCAACCAATCGCACTTTACAGATGCGGTATTACTTAAGGGGCGATAATCCTCCAAAAAGACACATTTTCTTGCCATCATTTTCGATAATTTACTGTTACCTGCCCATAGAAAAGTCGATTTTCAAACCGATATCCGACTTCACTGAGAGTAGCAAAGGTGGTCAATAGGGCATCCCGATATTTTTCACGCAATTTCGAGCGCAAGTTGATTTTGTTTGGAACGCATTTCTACGTGGGCAATTAATGGCTGTGATATAAGCGAGGAGTAAAATGCGCTAGGAGAAAGATGTTCACTCAAAATATTTTTCGTTTCGCAAGATCGAGGATGCCGTGGTGGATGAAGTAATCCGGCGCGAGTTTCAAAAGATGACATCTTATGGACAGCGATTAGCGGAATGGGGCCTACTTCCTCGGGAAAGAAATATCAGCTCGGTAAAAGAAGTTGGCAAGATTCCACGTTTATCTCCATAAAACACGTCTTTAATTTCAACATTTTAATTTGAGCGATTTGTGGGTTTCGTTTACTCGTATTTAGTGACAGGAAAACGTTCGCTCGCCGATTGCTTTTGAGTGAGACCTAATTCATGAAACGGAACCAAGTGCAAATGGATTTATAACGCAGGGTGTCATCTAGGAGCAGATGCCTTAATCTCAAAGCTTCGATTTTGCATATTACTTTTTCTTTCTTGCTTGAGAAATGTTTTTCTCCGGAGCAGGTTTCCTAAAATCCTTGTTCCTTGATCGCGATTTCCTTATTTTCCTCACATTAACACGCACATTGGCGAGGATTGTTATGTATGTTGCCTATTCACTGATTGAAGGGGGTCCCTCTTAAAAAAAGAAAAAACAATTGTAGAAATTTATTGAAACTAGGGGATACGGCCATTACCACTTCGCAGCCCAACCCTCTGCAGCGCTTCGCACTTTAAACGGAATGCCCGTTACTTTTATGATTTTATAAATATTAAGTTGCAAATTTTTTTTGCATTGCAAAGGAAAGGCATCAACATGGGCCGCTTTTGGTGTCATCCTCGTTGAATTTCCTAACTTTACGATGTTTTGCTCAGTAAGGATCTATATTTTACGGAACGCATCACGCTCTGGTAATTTCCGGTATATTTTCGGGTCTAGTACTGGCCGAAACACGGGTCTTAAGGGTCAATTGCCGAAAAATGCGAATTTTTTGGCACTCGATCGGAAAACCACAAAACCCGCATTTCCCGCCAAAATTGGTCTTCGGACTCATTATCGAGCCAGCATTTACATCTGCGGAAATGAACAAATTATTATGCATTTCTGTAAAATATGGACCTTCAATGAGCAAAAAATTTCAGAGTTGAGATAATTCCGGACTGGCCCAAAAACGGCCCTTATCGATACCGCTAAGGATAAACGCCGTATGAACCTTCATGCGTTGCCAAATTTCCTTTGATAAAAACCCAATTTATTGGGCAAAATGTGAACATTTTCCCCCAAAATTTTCTGACAATTTGGTGCGCAATTTAATCTAAAATATTTGAAAATTTCGAGGAAAAATACGCATGAATGTTGTCAAAAATACACGTTTTATCGATGGAAATTTGGCAACTCTCGAATGTTGATACGGCGTTTTTCCTTAGCTCGGCAGGAGACCCCTCCTTGCCTACCTTCCTCACAGATAGATCTCATTTATTGCGATCGTTTAGTATTGACATTTATTGACCTAATAAATAATTGCAATTAATGGCAAAAAAAAGGTATTTCATTTGATCAATTTGCAAGATTATCTAAATATTTTCGTCACATCTTCGTTCTGTTCGTAACTTGGGCTCGAGTGAATTGGACTCAATACTCCGGGTTCGACTCGAAGGTTCTTGAGTGTTCTGCCGATCAACCGTCGAGCAGCCCTCACTCGTCTTGAAACACTTGGTTCTCGTTCGCCATATTGATATTGGACGTATAGACTTGGCGTTCGGACAGGCCTCATTATTTTTGGCCGATCCATGAGCTTGAACCGTCAAAGTACATTTCGACCGGCGCGACTGACCCGTTCTGCCAAGAAAATAACTAGAGCGCCCTTTGTTTCTCAGGAGAGTGATTTCCGTTTTATGGATGCACTCCATTTCGCTAACGAGACGGACATTCTGGAACGCCGCGCGCCGGAAGGCCGCCACTCCAAAACGGCGCGGCGCGGCGCGGCGAACCGCACAGGGACGCTAAAATTGGAAGGCAACATATTTGTTATGTAACTTGTTATATTTTTACATCAGCAAGTTTCCACGACCCGAAGTGACATGTGCACCCGAGGTTGCCGTCGTTGCGTCGCGTCGCCCTCGCGTTGACACTGCCACGGGGTCGGTTCCAGGCCCCATACTGCCGTGCTCAGGAAAAACACCGTATGAACATTCGAGAGTTGCCAAATTTCTACGGATAAGACATGTATTTCTTAGGAAAGTTATGCATATTTTTCCGTGTAATTTTCAGATGTTTCAGTTCTAATTGCGAACAAAATTTTCTGAAAAATTTGACAAAATATATGACCAATTTTTCCAGTAAATTCAGTTTTTATTAAAGGAAATCTGGCAACGTCTGAAGGCTCATACGACGTTTTTCCTTAGCATGGCAGCATACATGGAGTATCTTGATAAAGAGAGTATCGCCAAGTGGATATGAGATTTGATTGATTCCTCCATCTTGAGCTTCATGGAGCTCTGGGGATCCAAAAATGGCGTACACCGTATAAGTCAATGTACATAGGGTGTCCCAAAAGTACTGCCCCTTTTTCCGCAGAGGGCAAAAGAATGCAGATATCAAAATGCGGTTTGTGTGAGGTTATAGTCCTAGTAATTACCTATAAAACAAGACCAAGTTGAGCTCTGTAGCTTAAAATTTGACCGAGATACAGCATTTTGAAAGTGACGTGTCAAGGTGCCGCCTACGAGATTTTCAACATTTTTTACAAAAGAAAAAACCAAGTTTAAGAATGAAACGGTTTTAAAAAGAAGAAGAAGCGGCCAGAAACATATGGCAACACTGTGTTTTAGGCGGCATTTGGCAACGTGAAAGCGCCCCTATGCAGACCAACGACAGGATTGAAAGTGTCCGCTAGTGCCATCCAAGTTGGTTAAGCTTTCCCGGCACGTCAATCTGAGTTCATCCCTCTGTCGTTTTGGAAGTTTCTTTCGCGATGAGTACCGAATTAAGAAAAGAACAACACCACGTTATTCGTTATTGTTTTCGTCGAGGAATGTCAGTAAAAAACACTTTTAATGAAATGAAAGGCGTGTATAAAGACGACTGTTTGGACAGAAGTAGCATTGGTCGTTGGTTTAAATCTTTTCCTGGCGGCCGCGAATCGACGGAAAGTCCCGCGAAACCGGGCCGACCGTCTACCTCCACCACAGACGAATTAATCGGTACCGTTGCTGCTGTTGTTCGAGGAGACCGTCATTTATCCTTGCGTAAGTTTCAGGTGTTGCTTGACATCTCAAAAAATTCATTGCACCGGATCTTAAAGGACCACCTGCAGATGCGTCGTGTCTGTTCGTCCTAGGGTTCGTCCGTAAAAAAATGTTGAAAATCTCGTAGGCGGCACCTTGACACGTCACTTTCAAAATGCTGTATCTCGGTCAAATTTTAAGCTACAGAGCTCAACTTGGTCTTGTTTTATAGGTAATTACTAGGACTACAACCTCATTTAAACCGCATTTTGATATCTGCATTCTCTTGCCCTCTGCGGAAAAAGGGGCAGTACTTTTGGGACACCCTATGTAAATACAGAATGGCTTAAAATTTAGTTTTATTTGCAAATCGCAACAAGAACATTACTCAAATGCATTATTACGTCGCGTATTTGCATAGTTTTATGGCTAATCGTGTGCTATTTTCGAGAAAAATTATAGGTTGGCTGCGAGTGTAAAACCGTCAAAAGTTGGCAATGACCACCCCCCTCGCATTCTTAAAAACCACACCAAAGCGCCGCCATTTTTGGGTCCTAAGGCCTCCGTGAAAAGTGGAGGGGCGTCATGTCCATACTCTCGCCGTCAAGGTACTCTGCCCATAGAATCACAAAATAGTTACAATAATATACAGGGTGTTCTGGGCCACTCGCGTGCGAGGCTTATTTCTCGGCTATTTTAGGTCGGACGAAGTCCAGGACCGCGGGGACGAATAGCGAATTGACCCAAATTTCATAATCTTGTACAACCCCCCCTCCCCCCAGCCTCTGAGGAGGTAAAAGGCTGACTTTGAGAAATAGGGTTCCCATTAGAACCTTGAGATAATTATAGTAAATCAGAGTGTACGGACAATAATAACCGTAAAAAATGCCAGCAAATCTGAAATCGCCCCATTAATAACCAAAATACTGACTTATATAGTTGGGGGACACATGCCCCCCAAGATAAAATGCTAACACGCTAAATTGGCGTAGAGGTCAGGGAAAAGCGTGTTGGCACAGGTAATCAACCCCAAGGAATTCGAATCTGTCGGCCCTAAGACACCCCGACGATTCGCTGTTGGGGTAGAGTGGGGTCCTGGACTTGCCCCCTCCTCTATCCCCCTTGCCGATGCACATCGACGGTGTAAGTCCGGAACTACGTGCCTCATTTGCGGTGTTCGAGAATCTCCGCTCCTGATTAGACCTTTTTAAAAGAGAACAAAGTGACAGCATTCCTTGAAGTTTTCGCAGAGTCAGAACTTTTTTTATTTTTGGCTAATCACGGTGTCAACAAAAACTTAGAAAAACTGTTTGTTGACACCGTAGATCACCATGCCACGTAATTTTGCAGGTTCGGGGTGCACACAGGTCGGAAATGATTCACACCGCGTTATACGAATTTCCAACGATTAAAGCGAGTACCGTAGTGGACGCGCAATGCGTGAAGTATTCATGCAGTCTCGTAGGCGCTGGGCGTTTCACGCCGACCGCATGGTGTTTGGCGCAATGCGTGAAGTATTCCTGCGGTCCTGTAGGCACTAATATGCTTTCCGCTCCGACCGCACTGTGCTTAACGCGACTAGTTTAACTCGCGGAGTCGGCGTTTTTCAACTTGTTACTACCATTAAGTTTTTGCGCACTCTTTATGGATTACTGTCATTCAAAATTATTTTTAAAAAAATCTACGGCGTAAGTCTGCAATCACATATCTCGTTTGCGGTGTCTGAAAATCTCCACCTCTATATTATTTTTTTAAAGGAGAACAAATTCATATCATTCCTTTAAGTTTTTGCAGAATTTTCTTCGCACAGAGAAGAAAAATCACGGCAGTAATTGAGAGTTGCCGTTAAGTAGTTTCTCATTTAAAAAATAATGTGCGATAGGAAGTCTACAACGTCGCAAACTGAAATAAGTGGTTGCGGACTTACACCGTCGACATACGCAGAAAAAAAATCAAAACTCGTTTAAATCCCTTAAACAAATAGATCCTTTCTTGAATCTCGCCCAATGGGAATAAAATTGACTCCCTTGGCACAAATGTGTGCGATGAGAATTTGCAGGTTTCTGAAATTCGATGAATTTCGTGTTTAAGTGGAAACTATACTGAGTGAACTGAACACGAGGATACCCCTGGTTCATGAACAATTATTGAAGAAGATATAACAAAATGATCTAATCTGCTAAAATACGTGTGTGTAAATGGGAAATGCCGCCAGATGACATCACTAGGCGGTGCATTTTTTTCACTTTTAAATCTACTTTTATACTGCTTCCCATATCAGAAAAAAATTATACAAAATACAGTGAAATCAGCGCTTTAAGCACTTTCAGATGAGGCAATAAAAAATTTGCATGCAAATTCTCTATTCATTAAAAATTGCTGGTTTCAGTGCCATTATCGATGGGCCGAGGGGAGCAGGGACTGGAAGTACGAATTTTCAACAAGCTGTCAAGTTGCGCAAACACTTCAGTGATTCTGGGTTTACCTCTGTATCGTCTCTTACGCCTTCCCAAGTCCTTCTCACGTACCACGATTCTGAAAATCCCACAACGGTTAGTTTCATTTCTCGCAACTATGGGTAAGTATTGAGGCTTCTTGAGATGAATCCAAGAATTTCTTGCTGAATAGCAAAATACCCTCGCTTAAGAAATACGTGTTTGAAGTTTCGAAATTACACGAATCCTTATGGCGTAAAGAAAGTTCAAACTGACTTTTTGATGGTTAAAAATTGGAGTTTGGGCTCGAGTTTTTTACAGAACATGCATTGAGACTAATTTTACTTGAAATCATTAATATCTCAGTTTTTTTCAAAAACTGCACTCATGCGGCTTATCCTCTTACCCACTCATTTTTTTAAAGTACTGAGACCTCAAATTATGCAAAAACATTCTAATGATAGATCTCTGCTCTGTGAGGATCTTACAATTTTTAAATGATCTTTCCTCAAATCAGTCATAAGTCAAACTGATTTCAATCATCATGGAATTATAGCCTAGATTGACTTAAAACATAGGTACAACCACTCAGTGAAGAGGATGCCTGAGATAAATGATCTTGGATTGGAGAGGGCGAGAAACAAAAAACGGTAAAGTCCTGTGGCGTGGCGTGTTTTGCAATACATCGTTTGACCTGCCATTTAAACCTATGGAAAAGGATCGATAAGCAGGGTGTCCCAACGAACATCATAATAATCAATCCTTTACCATAGCTTCAGATGCGGAAATATCGATAGTCGATCATTACCGCCGAGCCACTAGAAGACGTAGTAACAAAACGAACATCAGATTATAATACCTTCTAAAGATGAAGCCTCCTACCACATAAATGTTAGAAAAGTCAGAAATAATTTTTAAAACAGACGAATAATTGAAAATGTCAAGTTTGAGAATGGGGAGGGTAGGGGTAGGGCCTTGCTCTTTTGTTCTCCCAGGCTCATTTTCACAAAAAATGACAGACCTTCAATAAGAACTTCCTTGTCAAATTAAGAAATAACTGTTTGAACATATTCAAGTGCCAGGATTTAATAAAACGCGCAAAATTTGAAAATTGGGAATCCGAACTTCATTTCACCCTTTTCTGGACGAATCTTACTAACTTATGACAGAAGATCGGATTTTAATCTCAACTTTGAATATCTTCATAGCAAGGAAAGTTACTGTCTTTGATTTACCTTAAAACTCTTGTTCTTCTGCGTGCTTTGAATACTCTTATGAATTGAGAAATTGCATGCCATTTGATTTTTTCAAATTTTATGGCCTCTAAAGAAGATCTTCTCCCTCGGATAACCATGCATAATGCTGAGGGATTTGTGTTCCTAAATAGATAAAAATTCTAATGTTTTGCTATTATCCAGGTTGAATTGCAAAACGATATGGGACAAATGAAACATAGAATAACTGTGGATTCCACTAGAAGATTTAATCTGCCTTATAAAGCTCAAGTTACGGTACTTAGACGGACTATAAGGGTAGGTACGTTTCCAAAATGTATGCTATGGTAAGCTCAAGCCAACCTGGCAACCTTATGGGCACTCTGTACAAGCAGAGATACATGGTGCATCATCTAAATTAGGAAAGATGGTGTAATATTCCAGTCAATTTCTATTCACTTTTGATGACTGTCCATGAAATAAGAGAATAAGCAATACGCAACGTGCCGATGGGGAGGGGGTGGGGGCAATACAACTCATTCCAATTTCTGCAACATATTTCAATGAAACAAGCTCCCTATAACTAGCCAGATGAATAAGTTAAGCACCAGCTGGTGAAATGCAATTATGGCGAATTTTCTCGAAAAAATTATAGGTAATGTTTCGACTGAGAGTGCTTATGCGCTGAGATTGCAGTATTTTTAACAATTTTTTATTAATGCAGGAGGTTATAGAAAAAAGATTTACAAGTGAGAAAATACACCCTATCATTGGGAATTGCATTGTTTAACTTGCACTAATTTAATGCCTCGTTAAAGGTTTATTCTAAACTAACGAAAAGCCCGTGACTGAAGTCACGGTTCTAATTGATTCACCAAAAATTTAGTTACGGGGAGCATTAGGCCGATATTGTTTCGGGGATGATGCCACTATTCCACCACATGGGAGCTTATTTTGCCTGAGTGAACAGTCAAAGGGAAGGAATGCAGAAAGCCGGCGCCGGACTGTGGATTGTCATAGATAGACATAAATTCCATCCTCGGGTCCGTAAGTCTTTCAACGGTGAGAATCCTGGATTTAATGCAGAAACAGCGTACACGACTCCTCACGGAACGTCGGCGATAGACATAAATTCCACAGTCAGCGGGAAGGAATGCAGGGAGCCGGCGCCGGACTGTGGAATGTCAATGATAGACATAAAATCCACTCTCGGGTCCGTAAGGCTTCAAGCGGTGAGATTCCTGGCATTTTACCGCAGCAACAGCGTACGACGACTCCTTACGGAACGACGGCGATAGACATAAATTCCACAGTCAGAGGGAAGGAATGCAGGGAGCCGGCGCCGGACAGTGGCATGTCACTAATAGACATAAATTCCACCCTCGGGTGCGTAAGGCTTCAAGCGGTGAGAATCCTGGCATTTTAGCGCAGAAACAGCGTACGACGACTCCTTACGGAACGTCGGCGATAGACATAAATTCCACAGTCAGAGGGAAGGAATGCAGGGAGCCGACGCCGGACAGTGGCATGTCACTGATAGACATAAATTCCACCCTCGGGTCCGTAAGGCGTCAATTGCTAAGAATCCTGGCATTTTAGTGCAGAATCAGCGTACGAAGACTCCTTAAGGAACGTCGGCGATAGACATAAATTCCACACTCAAGGGAAGGAATGCCGGGAGCCGGTGACGGACTGTGGAATGTCACTGATAAATAGTGCACTGATAGACATAAGCCGAGTGTGCTCCTTTGACGTGCCGCATCTGAGCAATGAGTGCGAGAGAGAGAAAGGACAAAACAGCGTATAGACCAATTCAAGTTGAGCCTTAGTCCCCGTTTACGGCCGTTCTTTCCAGGGCTCAGGGTCGGAAAGCACTCCGGTGTTTTTTCGGGGCACCCGGATTCGGGCTCGCCACTACCACCGCGGACCAAATTACGAGGCCCAGCCTGTATTTTTGCGAGTGTGTGTGTGTCCCTTTGACGAGCCGCGGGTTGCCGCATCTGATCAATGAGTGGAAGAGAGATAGACGATAAAACGGCGGCTTGTCAAAGCCGAGTGTGCTCCTTTGACGTGCCGCATCTGAGCAATGAGTGCGAGAGAGAGAAAGGACAAAACAGCGTATGGTCCAATCCAAGTTGAGCCTTAGTCCCCGTTTACGGCCGTTCTTTCCAGGGCTCATGGTCGGAAAGCACTCCGGTGTTTTTTCGGGGCACCCGGTTCGGGCTCGCCACTACCACCGCGGACCAAATTACGAGACCCAGCCTGTATTTTGGCGAGTGTGTGTGTGTCCCTTTGACGAGCCGCGGGTTGCCGCATCTGATCAATGAGTGGGAGAGAGATAGACGATAAAACGGCGGCTTGTCAAAGCCGAGTGTGCTCCTTTGACGTGCCGCATCTGAGCAATGAGTGCGAGAGAGAGAAAGGACAAAACAGCGTATGGACCAATCCAAGTTGAGCCGTAGTCCCCGTTTACGGCCGTTCTTTCCAGGGCTCGTGGTCGGAAAGCACTCCGGTGTTTCTTCGGGGCACCCGGATTCGGGCTCGCCACTACCACCGCGGACCAAATTACGAGGCCCAGCCTGTATTTTTGCGAGTGTGTGTGTGTCCCTTTGACGAGCCGCGGGTTGCCGCGTCTGATCAATGAGTGGGAGAGAGATAGACGATAAAACGGCGGCTTGTCAAAGCCGAGTGTGCTCCTTTGACGTGCCGCATCTGAGCAATGAGTGCGAGAGAGAGAAAGGAAAAAACAGCGTATAGACCAATCAAAGATGAACCTTAGTCCCCGTTTACGGCCGTTCTTTCCAGGGCTCATGGTCGGAAAGCACTCCGGTGTTTTTTTCGGGGCACCCGGATTCGGGCTCGCCACTACCACCGCAGACCAAATTACGAGGCCCAGCCTGTATTTTTGCGAGTGTGTGTGTGTCCCTTTGTCGAGCCGCGGGTTGCCGCATCTGGACAATGAGTGGGAGAGAGATAGACAATAAAACGGCGGCTTGTCAAAGCCGAGTGTGCTCCTTTGACGTGCCGCATCTGAGCAATGAGTGCGAGAGAGAGAAAGGACAAAACAGCGTATAGACCAATCAAAGATGAGCCTTAGTCCCCGTTTACGGCCGTTCTTTCCAGGGCTCATGGTCGGAAAGCACTCCGGTGTTTTTTCGGGGCACCCGGATTCGGGCTCGCCACTACCACCGCGGACCAAATTACGAGGCCCAGCCTGTTTTTTTGCGAGTGTGTGTGTGTGTCCCTTTGACGAGCCGCGGGTTGCCGCATCTGATCAATGAGTGGGAGAGAGATAGACGATAAAACGGCGGCTTGTCGAAGCCGAGTGTGCTCCTTTGACGTGCCGCATCTGAGCAATGTGTGCGAGAGAGAGAAAGGACAAAGCAGCGTACGACGACTCCTTACGGAACGTCAGTGATAGACATAAATTCCATCCTCGGGTCCGTAAGGCGTCAATTGGTAAGAATCCTGGCATTTAAGCGCAGAAACAGCGTACGACGACTCCTTACGGAACGTCGGCGATAGACATAAATTCCGCAGTCAGAGGGAAGGAATGCAGGGAGCCGTCGCCGGACTGTGGAATGTCACTGATAGACATAAATTCCACCCTCGGGTCCGTAAGGCGTCAATTGGTAAGAATCCTGGCATTTTAGCGCAGAAACAGCGTACGACGACTCCTTACGGAACGTCGGCGATATACATAAATTCCACAGTCAGAGGGAAGGAATGCAGGGAGCCGGCGCCGGACTGTGGAATGTCACTGATAGACATAAATTCCATCCTCGGATCCGTAAGGTTTCCAATGGTGAGAATCCTGGCATTTTAGTGCAGAAACAGCGTACGACGACTCCTTACGGAACGTCGGCGATAGACATAAATACCACTGTCAGAGGGAAGGAATGCAGGGTAGCTCCCTGCATTCCTTCCCTGTGACTGTGGAATTTATGTCCATCAATTATCAAAGACAATATATTAAAGATCGATAAACAAAGATCTATGTATCGAAGGGTGGGATAACCCTACCTTTCCTGTTTTATCCTTATCTTTACGGTTACACACTGATTATTCTCCTTTTCTCAAACTTCCTCCATTTAACTCAATTAATAGCAATGCCGTTCCCCATCGTGTTTTATCCATGTTTATCATATTTTATATCGAACAATATGTATATCGAAGATCGATAGACATTACCCTGTTTTATCACTATGTATCCTGTTTAATTCTTATCCACCCCGTTTCACACTGATTATTACCCTTTCCTTAAAATTCCTACCTTTTATCCTGGTGAATATCAATAAATTCTGTCTTATCCCTGTCTATCCTGCTTTACATCGAACGATATATCGAAGATCTATATTCAATACAATATTTTATCCCTACGAATGAAACCCCAAAAAATGATGGTAGGGCTGCAAGGCATGGCATAAGAAAAAAAAAATATAAATAAAATTAGTGGGGGGGGGGGCTACGGGAGTTAGAAAAATGAGCTGGGAGGGGAGGGGTAGAATAAATGCTGGCAAAAAATTAGAACTAACCTGGCAATGATTTAAAAAAAAAAAAGGAAGTATAAAATCCGTTGACTTGGCCGAGAAATGGAAATAAAACATCAGCTGATAGCAAACAAAGGTTACCAAGGAAACCAAGGAATGGAACTTTCATAAAAACAGTTTAGTGGAAAACAGCGAAAGTAGGGCACTTACGTTAATTACTGTTATAAGTAAACGGTAAATGAGATTTAACCGAAAATCTGTACAGTTCTTCATCAGATCAAAATGGACAAAATTACAAAATTTGAGACAGCTAATGTAAATCTAACGATAGTTATCGTGAACGAAAGAATTGCTGACATAGATCCGGTAACTATTATAGGTGGGATTTTAATACTGTTGTATTGATAAATGTTGCAGGCACCTCCAATGTTTGTGAATTTCGGGAGCAAACAAGATTACGACTTTTTAGAAAGTAGAAATATAAACATCAAAAACCACATTCTCTTGATGAAAATGAAGAAGTCAGCAATATACAAACAGGTGAATAATTAAGGAACGTTATTGTTTATATTCTTGCAAAAATAATGCCTATTTTTGTGAGAGGACGAGAGAGAGGAACATAAGATAAATTTTTGATCCCTCCCTGGAAAATTTTTGGAGCAGACAAGCATACTTTCATCCCAAGTTATAGCAATTTAGTTCAATGAAAAGAGTGTTTTTAAAGGAGTGTGTAGTGTGTTTTCGAAGGAGTGCGTAGTGAGTTACTTGGCTTGCACAGAAATTAAAAGTGATGGAAACATTCAGATTTGAGCTCTTAATTGAGGGACCGAGAAGACGCATAAGTGCACTTTTTGAAAAATTAAGATATTCATGAACTCAACTTAAACTAGTTTGAAAGTATATTCTGTGAAAAATTCACAAGTAAAATCCAACCAAAAAACATCAAAAAGTGAGTCTACACTTCCTTTCCACCATGCGGCTCCATGTTATTTTGAAACTTAAAACACAAATTTCTTGAAATGGCAAAAACTGCACTTATTCGTCTAGTCCTCAAAGCCGCTAATCATCCTCAACCTATCTGTGAAAAAGAATGTTCAGAGCCTCCTCCTCTATGGCAATTCTTAGTTTAGGTATTAATTTATTTTTCAGATTAGTGAGGGGATAAAAAAAGGAGCGGTTGGAGTTTTGCTCTATGCAGATCCCTCTCAGCATTATGAATTGCAAAAACAGATAAAGACAATTAAGGAATTAAATCCTACAATTTTGGGAAGGCTGCAGCTTGCTTTTGGGGACTCTTTCTGCGCTAACAACAGTGAGTGGAATTTATTTTTAAATCATTGTTATTCTTTTTCCTTTTTAGAGAAAAAACAATTCTTCACTTTTCTTGCTTTAATGCCGACTGCTATTTGCAATAAGTATATTTATAGTATAAAAAAAGTTATAAAAAAGTTAGAAGCTATGAAATGTATTTTAAGTAGGTACAATTATTATTTTTTTATTCTGCCTTTCTCAGTGATACTAATAGAAAAAACAACCTCTCTCATTTGTATTTTAATCTATTTGATAACTGGAAGTAGCTATTAGGGCTCTTTAGGATTCTTGCACATCCTGTCGATTGAAGGGAAATGTATTACCTTTCTAGGAAACTATAAATGAGGGGCTTGAAGGACAAGGCGCAGAAGGGCAGTTTTTGAAAAAATTCAGATATTATAATGATTCCAAGTAAAACTAGTCTTAATGCATATTCTGCAGAAAATTCGCTCTAAAGTCCCAATATTTCAGCATCAAAAAGTTAGTTTTAACATTCTTTCCGCCATTTGGATCCATGTAATTTCAAAACAAAAAATACGTACTTCTCAAAATAGCAAAAACTGCACTAATGCGCCTTGTCCTTCAGGCCCCTCAAATGTATGATTAAATCACCAACATTTTTCGTCTCCTACCGACAGCAAAATGAAGGAGTTGACGCCTGCAAACACCTTAATTTTCCAACTTACAGGAGACAGTTCCCCACCCCACTGAGATACTTAGTAAAATTTGTTTCAAAGCAATTCTAAATAAAGCTTTTGATTCCAATATTTCATAAAAATGTATAAATTTTTTGGGCTTAAATGTTTCCAAATTTCTGGATATTACCATCGATTCAAGCTTTTGTCATAAGCTTAAATTGCAAAATTAAACCAAAGAAAATATCGAAAAGGGTGGACACTGGGCTCACCCACGAAACATTAACACTGAATTTGAAAGACTATTTTAGAATTGTTATTAGCTTACAGTTAGTAAAAAATTAGGTTAAAAAAGCAAACTCTCACCGAAAATACATGCATTTCCTACATTATTCTACATACTTTTTGATCTTTTAAAATGCAGATTACTTGTTCATAATTTCAAGTGTATATCATTTCCTTCTTCTTTCAGGTAATGTAACACAGGAGTCTCAAAAATCGATTATGGTCGATGTAATCAGTTTCGATGAGATGCAAAATATTTTCAAGTAAGAGTAAAATTTGGTTTTAAGATAACTATTTCATAAGATATTCAATATAAGATGATAACGGCTAAATGTAAACAATGTGTACCTTGATTGCAACATTTAAAAACTTCCCATTGTGATTTATTTTATTTTTTTTTCTTTTAAGGAAAACTGATTCATATGTCTGCTTGCAATTTTATGTGATTTTTATGGAATGAGGGAAGAGAATGCACAGAAAATTTCAATGGAGACTGTTGGTTCGTTTAAAAAAAAAAAAAACATAAGCAGAGACTTACAATATTGCAATCTGAGATAACCATTGTTCAACTTTAGCCATTGATATGCAGAAAACAGAAGGAAAAATCATTAAAAAATTAGTCTACTTTCACAAAATCTTTTTACCACTCTGGGTAATGGAAAGTAGTACCAAAAGTACAGACCAGTTAATATTCTAAACGGGAATAAAGCCTTTTTAACAACAAAAAATACCCAATAATGCAAAAACTCTTATTCCAATAAAGACGATATTGGAGATGTTGAAAAAAAAATTGAGAGGTATAAAGTTGAGCAATCTTTAGACTTCGACAAATCACAAAAAGTCAAGTGCAGTTATTTATGTTTCAGTGCTGACTCACACAAGTGACTAAAACAGCCTCTTATTAAATCGGTGGTTAAATCCAAAACCACATACATATATTCGTTGCACGGTTTCAAACTTTCTGGAAATGCTACACATGTTCTTTTGAGGGAAAATAAATCAATGTTTATGACTTGAAATTTTGTTGGATGATCAAAGATGAACTAGTGAAGAAAACACGAAGAGAATTTTATTCCAACATTTTAGTTTGTCTTCCTCCTGAAAAGTAGAGCAAACGCAGACACTTTGAAATGTTGTGATTAAATTTTGGGTTTTGTTTACTGTAAATTATATACATGTCGCTTCATGGCACTCCCTGGCACTCTATGACACTAAACTGCCATTGCACCCTGTCAAACCACAACCGGTTTCTAACTTACAAATTTAACCATAAAAGATCAATTGCAAACTAAAGTGTCATGAATTCTTTAAAAAAGGTTCCTTGAGCCATTTTCTGATTTGATTGTACAATATTTTACAGAGTCATGTCATTGAATGCGTCATCCAAGAGCTGGGCAAATTTTATGAAACCTTCAATATCCTCTATAAATCAAAATAAATGGAGCATTATAATGTCCTCGCATGTGCTTAATCTCATGCATACATACTACAATGTCATTGCTGCACTGGAAGGTGCCGAGGAGCCTGACCGATATATTCTCATCGGAAGCAACCGTGAAAGCTTGAGCAATTCAGATGACCCCCTTGGTGGCACAGTCGCCATGATGGAAATCTCACGAGTATTCGGTGAGCTGAACCGAGTGAAGGGATGGATACCTCGACGCACCGTCATTTTTTGCAGCTGGGGACTGCAAGGCGATGGCCACTTTAATTCTGAATCATGGGCGCAATTGTTGCATCCATTACTCACTGAAAGAGCCGTCGCTTATTTAAGCGTGGAGGTGGCTGTTAGAGGAAATTCAACGCTGAAAATTCAGTCTGCACCAGTACTTGAAACCGTAATTGAGGAGGCTAGCATGCTGGTGCCCAACTGCGACCCTGCGGAGCAAAATGCTCACAGGTTTACTCTTGGCGAAACTATGCAACACATGGCCAAAGTAAAAAATACGTCAGTGATAGATATCATCCATGGAGAAGGCGACTATCAGATGTTCCTGTTCGAACAAGGCATCCCAAGTTTGGATTTTGGATACGACGGAGAGGAAAAATTTACTGACTCAACGTTTTCATTTCACCGGGCCATTACCGAACTATGGGCCATTTTGATATGGAGTTTGGCAGATGATCCCGTCCTGCCCTTGAACCCTGCAGGGTATTCCAAGTTTTTGATCAAATCGTTCTTCGTTGTCCAAAAAGAGTACGCATCACTGATTGAGAAACACTTGGCTCTGTTCAATCGACTTCACAACGCTATAGTGAGCTTCAACGAGACAGCCAGCGATTTCGGGAAAAAGGTACACAGTATTGATAAAACGGACTGTATGAGGATGCGTGTTGTTAACGACCAACTTGTGAGGTTAGAAAAACAGATGTTGTGTTTCCCAGAGATGCAGAATCAAGGGGCCCATCCTCTGCTGACGGAGGGAAATCTTCCGAGCGTTGGTTTTGGAGTGCTGCAAGATTTACTCGAAGAATCTTTGATGTGGCCGGAAAGTACCACTATTCAGAGACAGATCCAGCAAGAACTCACTATGCTATCTTCATGCATTCAAAATGGAGAGCTTCTGTTGAAAGATGTTGTTGTTACATTGACACAAATCCAGACATAGTACATTTCTTGGGGACTACCCAACTTTTTCTTCCATCATAAACAACAGAGAATTAGAGCACACAAAATAAGGTGCATAAAAACACAGACACATACATGACTTTAGAGATCATCATTATGTGAGTTTGTACCATGGATATTACTGTACATTGTAGTTGTATACCTTTGCTACTCTCCCAGTGGGAAAAAAACTAACTTGCCCTATGAAATCGAAGTGATTAATTTGTAAGATTTATCTAGTAGTGCTTCTTTATGAATTTGAATAGGATCTCAAAACTGTAAAGGTGCTCGCAGGTACCAGCCCAGAGGGACCAAATGTGATGTCCCTGAGAGTCCCCTTACTAGGATATGACACTAAGACTGAATATTTAACATCCCTACAAAAAAGAGGAAGATTAGGAAAAAAACTCCCTCTGATGAGAGCCAGGGCCCTCTATTGGCGGCAATGCGGTCGTTTGAACGACTGTAAAATGGACGGATTTCTGTCAAAAAGAACTATGTGCGTTATGACATGAACTCTGTTATCCATGTATTCTTATGGGTCTCAGGGCTTATGTCTTAAAGCACATAGTCCTGTTTGGCAGAAATACGTCTAAATGCAAGTTCGGCGAGCAGTTTTTTTCAGATAAAGAGGCTGCTTCCTAATTACGAGTTTATTTTGGGTTAAAAACCTAATTATGTTGTTCTTCTTCCTCACAAGTCATTCTACCCTACCGACTTCTACACCATCAGTGAGAGAATAATAAACTGATTTTTTAAATACTTGAAACCTGAGGTTCCTCTTCACCTGATAATTGTCTGGACCTTCTGCTGGTAGTCATTTAAAACTGGTGAAAGATGGTGAATTGTTATTATAAAAAAACTCCTGTTTACTAAATTGTCATGCATCACAAGAAGCAATTTGTAACTCATGCGTTCGGATATACACTCTTAGGTAAATATTTTGGAAATGCTGATAAGACAGTCTCTCCTATAAAAGTTTTCGTAGTTGTGGATTGGTTACAGGTGTTGTTCAAAATGTGTGGGGGTGATGCAAGACCTTAGAGAGGTTGTATATTAATTCTTTTTTTTTCTCGTATTCTATAGCTATATTTTTGGAATAATGAGTTCTGTCACCATTGATTAATTACCTGTCACTTTTTTACTTTTTGTGTAATATATTTCTACTCTTACACATAACTTTTTCCTTTTTTCGGCCTCTGATGAAGAGCAGTTCTGACATTTCTGGGTAGAATTCAGTAACTTTAAACATTATTATCAGAGCAAAATATCTCTTAGACAGTGCAAAGAAACAGTTGCCTCTTACTATTTCATGAGCAACAGCAAGGCACTTGACTAGAGAAAATTATCAGAACATCAAAACTTTTACGAAAATTTTTGATGTATTAACATTCCACTCATAGTTCAACACTTGACATGCGGTATCAACTCACAAAATCTGATTAATACCTTCTATCAGGTGTTGTACCCAAGTTTTGCGATAAAAGTTCCCATAGTAGTAGGAAGGCACCCGCTTTTCCTTTTTTGTTGAATCGCGTCAAAATGTCTTGGAAGAATTAAAAGAGGTGCAATAAGATTTAGCATAATGATCTTACCTTTCACAAGCGTGAATCCATTTTTTACAAGAAGGCAACCAAATCTCCGAAAACATTCTCTCTGGTGGGGGCTTTCGGTGCTTTGTTTTGAATCTTGACGAGCTGTCTATGGTTTGATGGAGGGTGAGGCATTTTGTTATCTGGACAAGGTAGTGGCAGGCTGTAGAAAAACCTGTGTTTTAAAGCCTTGAAACAAAGCAAAAGGGACAACTGTAAATTTGGGTTTAAGTTTAAGAGCTTTTATCATGAAAACATCTTGTTTGATGAAGGTAAGTAACTTATGTAAATCTTATTCTAATATTATTGTCAAAAAACATGCAAAACACCTCGACTTTATTTCATTATTGAGATCTTTTATGTCTGGGCAGAAGTATAATTTGATGGAGAGATTAGAAAAAGCTTATTTGGTTTGCAGTTTAAAAGAGCACATGAAATTCCGAGACAGGATGATGTTCTTCTTTTGGTGAAGACATAAGTACATATCTTTTTTCACAGATCAAAAATTGATCGAAAACTCAAGGCGTGAAGTATTTTAAAAAATGAGAGGGTTATGAGCATTTAATTTTTAAATCCTACATTCCTAAAAACTGTGCTCCTTGAATTTTGACAAATCTCCTACTTGTTCCATCCGATGATTAGAATTTAACCAGTTCAATTATGAACGTCTGTCTTGTTATGAGAGATCAAGGAATTCATCTAAAACATTGGTCAGATCCATAAAACTGTCGATTTTGAGATCCTGCACCTTGATTGAACAAAAACTTGCTTTCTCACCTCAGATGCAGAGAGTCGGTCGGCAGCATTATACAGCAGCAATGACTGGACCAAACTACGCAGTTCTGGGTTAGCATCCGGAAGAAGAACATTCCACGAAATAGGTTTCCATTTCGGAAAATGTATTTTTCCAAAATCTGGTAATTTCTTCATGTTGGGCCAATTTTTTTCAGAAGGTCTCCCGAGGCTTTGAACCACAATGCTCAGTTGCTCTATGTCTGTTTCGCCCTGAAAAAATCACAGGATTGACATGTAGCAGTCAATTTGTGCAGCTGTCCACTTAAATTTTCACCTGAGTCACCAAAACCTGCTCAAGGATGTCTTTTCTTTGATGGACATAGCTTTTATTCTCCTACAAAACACTAAAACTCCTGCCCCTTTCTTTCATTTGTCAAGGCATTTTAAATGATTCTTGCCAGGTCCACTCCTACCACAGATTGTCAATTTGATGGATGAACTTAGGCAATTGTGCGCCTTGCTCTTCTTGGCTCTTCAGCCTTCCTGGTACCTGTGTAGAATAAATGCTTCTTTTATTCACCTCATTACTCAAGATACCCTGCTGTTTGCTGAGTTGGTTAGCAGGGTAAGTAACAAAAACAGAGGCCTCTTAAATAAATTTGAAAAAGTATTTTATTCCTTGTAACATAAAAAAATCAGAAAATATGCCCCCATCAGAGACAAAAATTCATAAGCCTCACTTCACAGCTAATTTCTATGAGAAGTTTGCTTGAAGGATTTAATACATACATAGATGAATGAATAGCGAGAGAAGAAACATTAAGTTAGATGTTAAATTTGATGTTGGTGATATTACCTCAGAGAACAATCATGGCTCTGTAAGTAACTGATTTTTTACCTCTGGTGTTTTAAACAAAACATCATGCAAGAAATATTTCTTGAGGAGAAAAGTTTTACTATCTATGACTGCAAAATCATTCGATTTAGCCCCACTTAAACTCTTGAAACATTGACACTTAAAATATTTTACAAGAAAAAGGGAAAAGTATGTATGAAGTCCAAATTTCAACTTACAGCGAACAAAGGAGCTTTGTTATTGATTTCTGCAATGATGCATCCAACAGCCCATATATCTATCTTCTCATCATAATTATTAGATCCATAGAGAGACTCCGGTGCTCTGTACCATCGTGTGGCCACTCTTGCCGTGTACTTTTTGCGGCTCCCATCTTTGCCGTCCTCCTCATTGTACAAAAGGCGGCTAAGACCAAAATCAGCAATGCGTAAAATACCATCGGTACTGATGAGGAGGTTGGCTGGTTTCAAATCCTGGCTTAGCAATATAGATATGAAGAGAATCATTGATACAATTTTAAGATTACAAAGATAGAAGTTTACTATTACTTTGAGATGATTCCATAGGAAAAATGTTAAAAGACTAAAATGTATCACCTATGATAATGAATTTTTCCAGAGGGAGGCTGACATCATTAAATAAAGTGATGCTGCCAGTTGATGAATGTATCTTTTTGTAAGTTACCACTTCTCGTCAAAAACCTGTAGGCAGCAGCTTTATTCGGCCCTCCACTGAAACCCTCATATGTTCGTGAATTATTGAGAACAGACAGTAAGTCGGAAAGGTACCTAGCCAATGTGCATCATAATAAAATCTCAATACAGAAGGAAAAAGCTCATTCAAGCACAATTTTCCCTCAAAGAGGTATGCTGTTTGGTGGAACACTGGCTACAACCATTCAGGAAGACAACTGCAGACGCATTTCAGGTCTAATTGGACCCATCATCAGTGCAGCACAGCCTTCCGTATTTTCTGCTACCAAACTTCGAGCGGTCATGAAAATCAGACCGAGACTTGGGCAAGCGGTTGGGCCCGCGGCAAGTGAACAAGGTGATTTAGGGGTCTGCGCTGCACTGATGATAGGTCCGATTAGACCTGAAACACGTCTGCAGTTGCCTTCCTGAAAGGTTGTAACCAGTGTTCCACCAAACAGCATACCTCTCTGAGGCAAAATTGTACTTGGATGAGCTTTTTCCCTCTGTATTGAGATTTTATTATAACGCATGTTGGCTGCATTCCCAATTTACTGTCTATGCAACTCATGTGTATACTGCAATCAGTTTGTAAATTATAAAGATGATGAAATGATGTTGGTCTCAATCCATTAGAGGTGATTTGGACCGAGTTTAACAGAAAGGAACCAAGCCACATTAGCTATTGCCAAATTTAATTGGGCAATTTGACTTTTTCCATGAAAACGTTTGTGCGGATTTTTGTGTAAATTTCAGTGAATTTCCTGCATAGTACTAAGTAAATTCCCTGAAATTTTCAAAGGAATCCGCACAAACCTTCCTTTGAAAAAAATTAAATTGCCCAATTAAATTTGGCAATAGCTGATGTGGCTTGGTTCCTTTCTGTTTAACGCGGTCCATTTAAGCTTTAAAATAAGACCAAGATCAGCTCTACATCTATCTTAATTTCAGGATTACAGCAGCAGTCTAGGAACTTTTGGGACACTGTGTTTACTATGGAATGACATTAACCAGATTTCAAATTGTGTGAAGTTGAAGAATAAATGCAATTTAGGTTCTGACCATGCCGCACCTAGCCCATAGTTTAGAGGGTCGCTGGATGTTTTTCTTATCCAAATGGCTCTCCATTAAGTACAGGAGACTCAGAAATACTTTGGTTGGTATTTCGGAGCTTAGTATAATAAACAGCCCTGACCAAAAAGGTTCTTGACAGTCGTGTACGCTAGAAACTGTTTCTCACTTGCTTTTTATGAGAAGTACCTTAAAAATCACGAGTGCAACAAAGACAGGTGACCGTTTCTCCCTTCTTACGCACATAAGTTCAAGGGGCAGTTAGATTAGAGATGAGTGGGAAACAAGATTTCAAAACACTCCACTGATCCTAGACTCCTGTTGTAAACACCCTATGTAAGTTCCTGATCGAGTGAGAAAGCAATGAAAATTTGGAACATTAGGTTTTCTGTGAAAATGAGGAAAAAGGACCCACCAAAAAATTGAAAATAAATATTTACTTACTCTGTGAATGATGCCATTCTGATGGAGATAGCTGACTCCTTTCAACAGCATCGAGCAGTAAGTTTTTTCTTGCTGCAGCGTTAATGGCTCTTCTGAGTAGTGAACCATTTCCAACAATCCAGATGGCATGAATTCAAAAATGAGGCAGAGAGCAAAGTTGTGAGGGAAGAAGTCGAGTAACTCTATCACCTGCAAACCAAGAAAAAGTCAAGTGAAAAAAGGGATTTGGTTTCATGAGTTGTACATGTTGAAATTTAAAGTAGTGAAATATTTAATATAATGCTGAATGTTTTTAGAAAAAATCAAACAGAGGAGTATGGATGATGGAGGACTGCAAAAATGTTCAACCTTGCTTGGCGCAAAGTGTGACTAAAGTGATAATCCTCAATTTGGCTCCTTACCTCCTTTGAAAAGGGCAGATTGAACATTTATCATGAGGTGAAAAGGGGATTTTGCTCAGTGGCAAACACGCCAGATTGTGAGAAAAATTCAATAGTTTGGAGCTTTCTGCATCTTTGAAGCCAAAGTTAGAGTTCAACTGTTTCATCGATTTTGGATCAGTGGCATTTTACAGTAACAAATAGTGTAAAATAGGGTGACTTTAAATTAATTAGCTGAACCTCAAGGAACCTGAATCTTCCAAGATGAATGAATCCTATTTCAGGGTGAGAAGGGAAGAGGTAAAATTGAATATTCAATTTAAAAGTTCTACAGCAAGATTTCAAAAACTGGAATTTATGGAGATCTCCGCTCCTAAAATACTTGATAATGATATCATCTGCGTTTTTAATAGGTATAATAATTACGAATGTACTCACATATTTACATTTTATCTGCTGAAGTATTTTCAGTTCTCGAACATAGCTGATTAGAATATCTGCTTTTGAATTCTTGGCGATCAATTTTTTCAACGCAACCTTCCTGTTTGTGGTTTTTTCAACAGCAGCAAATACTTGCCCATGCGCTCCCTCTCCAATGAATTCATCCACAGAATACAGATTCATTTCCTTGAAAAAGATGCCACAAAAATTAAAAAAAGATAAAGCAAGGAATAATCAATAAAAATGGTGGATCAGGAGACTGGCAAGTCAAAGACCAGTGAAAAAAGATTGATGTACTCTTTGCAGAGAGAACACAGAGGATTGATACCATCAAGAAACCAGTTAATTGCCACTTAAATTTTAACTTAGGTAGTTGGGTAAAATTGTTTTATTAAGATGAAATTACACATCCTCTGCTGAGATGAATGAAATACATAAGAAGTATACATAAAAGTGTGTGTGCAATAAGGTTTTTAAAAATCAAGAATTTTGATTTCTGTCACCAAGTTTTTTTCTCTATTATTTGGTTGTATTAGTGCACTCGTACACGGTACAAGTTTTAACTTTTGGGTGCATTTTAACATGAGAGTTTTAAATCTGTTATTTTTCTCATTTTATGCGATAAAAAGCTTAGGGAAAAACGAAAGACTTGCAAACATGAAACGAGGGGCTCGGAGGACAAGGCAGACAGGTGTACTTAGTTTTCGCTATTTTCAGAAATATGTGTTACACGTTTCAAAATTACTTGGATCCTCATGGCGGAAAGAAAGTCCAAACTGACTTTTTGACGGATAAAAATTGGAATTTGGGAGCAAATTTTTCACAGACTATGCATTAAAACTAGTTTTACTTGAAATCATTAATATCTCAATTTCTACCAAAACTGCACTCATGCGCCTTGTCCTTCAAGCCCCTCAAATGATCAATTTGAGAGGCAGTGTTTGATTAGTGTTTTGACAATGGAGCTCTTACATGTGTGGGGGATTCACAATTTAAATACTTGTGCTTAGGTAATATTTTGCAAGAAACACAATGGTGCCATTGGTTTTCTCTGAAATCGACCCCGAAGCTCAAAAAAAGCTCTCACAGTTCAGACTGTAATGGAGGGCATATCCTATGCTACATAGGTACTTTGAGAGTCCAATACATATGCTGTGTTGCTGTGGTCCCGCCTTTGGAGGCTTCAAACAAAGTAGCAACACTGCTGATGTATTTTCTCTCTATCTTTGCATGAAGAGTTTGACTTGATATAGAGGTGGACTTTCAACGTAGCGTGGGATATCCCCTCCATTACAGTCTCAACTTAGAGAGCTTTTTTTGAGTTTGTTTTAGAGAAAGCCAGTAGCACCATCAAGTTTCTTCCGAAATTTTACATATGTATAGGGCAGCATTTAAATCGATAATTCCGACACACGCAAGAGCTCCATTTTACTTACCTCCCTAATAAAATTCCTCCTTCTTACCAAATAAGTAGATCTATTTAAGTTAACCCAGTATATGTTTCGCCATACTGTAAAGTCCTCATGATTTTCCTGGAGTGGAAATTGAACTGGACCTAGGTAATGTTACTGATAACTTACAGATGACTAGCCAACTTGATTGAAGGAATCTAACCTGAGAAAAGACAAGGAGTAAAATTACACTTATGAAATAGAGCTTTTAGATGACTTCAATATAATTACAATACCTATCCGCTTCCAGATTTACTTTAACAGCTAATAATTCAAACTTCCATTCAATTACTACTAGCCAGAAGATGCAAATGAGAAACTCCTGTAGGTAGTAACATTTCTTGCTATTTTTTCCTTTCTTCCTTCTTGATGACAGCATCAGGGATAAATCAACAGTGTAAGTCCGCAATCACACAACTTGTTTGCGGTGTCCGAAAATCTCCACCTCCATGTTATTTCTTAAAAGGAGAACGAATTGACATCATTCCTGGAAGTTTATGCAGAATTTTCTTGGCACAGAGAGGAAAAATCACAGCAGTTTTGAAGAATGCCGTTGAGTGGTTTTCCGTTTAATAAATAAAGTATAACAGGAAGTCTGCAACGTTGCAAACTGAGTTATGTGATTGCCGACTTACGCAGTCAAAATTCTTATAGAACTGTTCCCCGACAGCATAGCGACGGTGAAACTACAAGACCACATATTTCGTTTCCAGTGTGTGAAAATCTCTGCTCCCATTTAATTTTTCTAAAGAAAATCAAACCATGTCATTCTTTGACGTTTTTACAGATTTTTTATCATTCAAAGGAAGAAAACTCACAGAAGTTTTCAAGAACTGACATTGAGTAGTTTTCCATCTAAAAAATAAAATGTGACAGGAAGTCTGCTCCGTCACAAACTGAGGTACGTGGTCCGGTAGTTTCACTCTTGATTTAAGTACGCACATTCCCTACTTCAAGAGTTGATGGTCATTGCACTCAGAGAAATGCATCTTTCAACTGCAGCAAGCAATGTAAAATTTGGGATGGCTGCGGGGGAGTTCAGTCTTGAAAGTCTTAGAACATTCCCACAGCATGTCTCAAGGAATAAAATTACAAACCAATGGCGGTAGACGCACTCATACGACAGTATGTTGGAGTTTTTTTGCCAAAGTGCGTTAAAAAATTCAGCATAAAGCTGAAACGCGTCTGCAGTTGCCTTCCTAAATGGACGTTACTAGTGTTGCTCCAAACAGCATATCTCTTAGAGGGAAATTTGTGCTCGAATGAGCTTTTCCCTCTGTATTGAGATTTTCAGCTTAATGTTGAATTTTTTAACGCACGTTGGCAAAAAAACTCCAACATGCTGTTAATAAAATTACATACTTCCTTCAGTTTGTAAAAAATACAATTTTGACGCCCTCTTACCTGATAAGGCCTTCCTCATGCACAGCAACATTGCTAGATGGCTGTTAATATAATTAAAGTGGTGAATGACTGGATATTGCATTCAAATAAAGAAAACGCGCAGAAAACACTATGAACTGAATTTCACTGGTACCTAAAAACGTCCTTAATGCTGTGCGATTTTAAATTAGAAAAGTAGATTAGATCGTAAAAAGATTCTGTGCAAAAATGATGCCGTTGTCATGTGCTCATGCAAAGTAAACAAATAATGCAAACAAAAAAAAAAAAGGCGATGGATCGCATTCCTTATCGGTTTCGGTTCTCAGTGTTGCCGAGTGGTGCACTAAAATATGCACTAAAATGCTCCTTTGCACTCCGCACTGGGGTTTCGGGTGTCGTAGACGATAATCCGGGCCGGGTATCGGAACTTGGCTGATTTGAAAACGCCTTCAATTGCGGCGTGATACCTGCTGCATTCCGGAGAGTTCGAATAGTTGTATCATTGCGCCGTAAGAATGTGACGGAAGATCAAAATGGAAGTAGCCTGCTCCATGCACGCTGGGCTTGTCGATTTCCTTTGACATTTTTGCAGTGGTGAATGCATGGCTGAAGTACGTTGCAGCTAGAATTGTATTTTGCAAATGCGTAGTTTTTACGGGAGGATTAAAACAAACAAGTGGTTAGAAATAAAACAAAAGAATATGAACTATGCAAGACGATAATCCGGGTGTCGGAACTTGGCTGATTTGAAAACGCCTTCAAATGCGGCGTGATACCTCCTGCATTCCGGAGAGTTCAAATAGTTGTATCATTGCGCCGTAAGAATGTGACGGAAGATCAAAATGGAAATTGCCTGCTCCATGCACGCTGGGCTTGTCGATTTCCTTTGACATTTTTGCAGTGGTGAATGCATGGCTGAAGTACGTTGCAGCTAGAATTGTACTTTGCAAATGAGTAGTTTTTATATGAGGATTAAAACAAACAAGTGGTAAGAAATAAAACAAAAGAATATGAACTATGCTAGACGATTATCCGGGTATCGGAACTTGCAGAATGCATATACACTCAATTGTCTGCTGGCTAACCCCGTTTGTACTTTGGTTTTTTTCTAATATTCATTTCATCCTGATCCTCTCCTTAATCCCTAAGTAGCATGATTTTTCAAAACATTTTTCATAAGCTCTCACAAAAGCTGCGTTAAAATTTTCGGGTCAGGAAGCACTTTTTGGGTATTTTAAAATAAAATTTGAGGAAAAAAGCATTTAAAAAGACTCTTAAATGTCACTTGAGTTTTTTAACATTTCTCTTAAACATTTTTAGTGTTGACATATTAGGAGTTTTTTTAAACACTTTTTTATTTTTTTACCTACGGTAAAAGCCAAAAAGCGTTTCCTGATACGAACATTTTAACAGTTTCCTTTGGAGTTGTCTTTTTGAAACTTAAGAGTTTCTTAAAACTTTTTTTAACAGTCGTTGCTACAAGGAAAGAAGTACAAGGCGGAACGCATACCGCCTGCGGCGCGAAGCGCCTCTGGAGGTAGGACCGCGAGGCGGGCAGGGGACGAACCGTAGCCCCCTAGTGCATTGAAATCCCGCACTCTTTAAAAAAAAAATTTTATCTTGCTCTGGAAATACCATTATTTCATTTCGCTTGTCGCGTTGGCCTCTGCTATCGCCGCATCCACGGTTTCTTTCCTTCTCTTAATTCCAGTCCAAGAGCTCCTTATTATATGTTTCCGTTGTATTTTTTATTTTTGTCTGTTTTATTTTTTACTGTCCCAAACCCTTGTGCCGAGGCCGCTGCAGGCCCTTTGCGTCCTATTTAAATAAAGCCCTGGAAAATTATCATGTACCTATACTTACAAGAAATCTCCGTAGATCGATGTTCTTCTCGCCAAGTGTTATGGGTAAGTATAAGTTTACTTAGGTACATATTGTCTTTCTCGAAAAGCCTCGCACTTCCATCCTCCAATGTTGGTTACTTTATTGATTCAAAAATCTCCGAAATATCTCCTTCAAACGACGTGAAATTCAATTTAGTCGGGCGAAATTTTCTTATGATTAGTCCAAGCTCCGATTGTGAGACTGAAGCAATGTTAAAATTGAATTTGCCGCTCACGTTAGTTCCACAACAGCAAACATCTAAAATCGACCAATCAGCGTCAACTTTCTTTTCCGATGATGGGGTTATGTTTATTGTTTATTAATACTCCGTCTTTTCTCTAAATTTTATTAGACTATTTTCTCGCTGTTTAAAGCGAATGTGTTGTTTCTAATGTACGGAAAATCATTTCCTGATGTTCAGTAATTAGTAGTTTTTACTTCTAGATAGTTATTTCCAGCTTATCGACGATTTTATTCCAAAATGATCGAACGATTCCAACGGTGCCCTGTTGTTCCTGTTTTCATTGAATTGTAAGTTGTCAAATGAATTTCAGATTATTCATGACTTAGCCGATTCAAGAAGCTTTGACTGAATTATTATTCAAATATCTCATGTTTGTGGCACTTCAGCAGCCTCACTTAATAGTCCCCCAAAGTGACCCTGCTATGATGGTGCCTGATCCCTATCTAGCTCCTGTTGATCCGATTTCAAAGTGATTTCAGAGATCTGCTTGCCAATCTTACCTGCAGTCGCATGTCTTTGTTAAAGATTGCAACTGATGCATGTTAGCTACTTATTTTATTTCATTTTAACCCACAAACACCAAGGAACTGTAGTATCTTCAAATCCCTCTAGAAGGTGCATTACCTTTCTACGCAGGCTGAGTGCCAACTAATACAGTGAACCTAGGCAATACCCAGTCAGGAACAAGGCAGGCTTGCTTTATCTTAACTGTATCAGGATTTATTTTAATAATTAATTTTCCTCTAATTTCGTGTTTGTTGATGGTTTTTGAAAAGTATCATCAGCTTATGATGATCTCCAATGCATCAACGATCAACCTTGGTAATTTCATTTTTTCCTGTTACTATTCCATCACATCAAATATTGATGAATTGTGTAAACAATCCTCATATTAGTGGAGAAAGGCAAGAGATTAAATATTTGGAATGATCATTTAAACTGCAACAGTGATTAGGGGATGCAGAATACAGAAGCTACGAAAACTAGAGTTGAGTAATTCTTTTATCTCAAAACACATGAAATCAGTGGCGAGGCCGTGAATGATTGATTATCAGTTTTTCCTCTTCAGAAGCTGTGGTAAAGAATTGATTATTAAGGTGTTTGTTGTGGACACCCTATTTATTGATCCTTTCCTATACCTAAAACGGCAGATCACTCGATATATCGCAAAGCACGCCACGTCACTGCATGAAATCCAGTGTTTCAACTTCAATAGGTGTGCAATATAAAGTTAACCCAAGAATAAAGTTTGTTTGCTAAAAGTGGCCGCAAAAATATTGCCCCTGCTCAATTTTCCTGCGTAATCCCTCTAGATTTAATGCTTTATGGCTGTTTCAAAATTGTTATGGTTGCTGAAAATAGTATAGATGGCCCTGACAAATTGAGCTTGGTATCTTTGAACTGACGTAACTTCTGTTTAGTTCGACATGTTTCAGTGTTTTCTGTTTCAATCTGTTTATGAAACGTCCCTCTAAGTAATGGCACTAACATGGTAGTTTTTTGCACTAAGGTTTTTTTTCCATTCTTTAAGGATGATCGCGCATCAATGATGAGACGACAGAAGCATGTATCTTGATCGTTGTGTCTCAGAATTTCTATCTCCAAATACTTAATTTTTCAAGTATCATTGATGTCGTTGATGTTGATGTTGATATGTCAGCAATATATAATATCAATGGTTTTAAGTGAGGAGGTTTGAAACTTATGATTCCATCTGTCAGCTGCAAGGTTTGCGCCCTGACAGATGAAAATTATTTTTTTTAAAGGCGTAAATATTTTTCCCATGAATGTTCCTGTATTGAAATGCCATCTCATTCGATCAAGTGTTCAGAGGAATGAAATTGCTTGAGATATTATGATTGCATGAAGTACTCCACCTTTAACACTAAACAAAAGTGAGTCTGGAGAAAAAGTTAATGTCCAACAAGTAGAGAAATTTATTTTTTCTTTTCGTTCCTCTCCAAACAGAATTCAACATCGGGGATGACAACTTTTCTAATTTATTAGTTGGACTCTCTCTCTCTTAGTCTCTTTGACTATTTGTTCCAATATGTGTTGTTGGAGATGCTAATAATGTCTGATAAAAATGTTTCATAATCAAAGGAAGTAAAAAGTCATCTTTATTCAACTGTGTACACAATTTTTTTTCCAACTCAACCTCTCTTGTCTGAATTTTTCATCTCTTTTAAAACCATTTTTTTGTCTGTGTTTTTAGGCATGCTGCAACGAAGAAATTCTCTATCTTAGAAGCCAAGGATGTTGACATCTCAAAGTTCACCAACAAGGAGAAACGTGGGAGAAAAAAGGTAAATGCTCCTGATATTAAATGTCCCTGCTGTAAGAAAAAGTTCACTGACAAACTTACATTGATTAAACACTGGCTGAAGCAGATAAAGGATTCCACTGAGGAAGAAGATGAAGCGGCAACTATCGACCTAGAAGAAGGATCAGTAGCTGCTGCTGTAGTGGCCCTCAAAGATGAACCTCAGGAGGGACCATCAAACGTAGACAAAGCTGATAAAGCTGAGCCTATCGATCCAGCCCAAAATGCTGTACTGCCCAAAAATGACTATGATTTGGACACACCATTTGAAGATCTCCCTGATTTCAGTATGGACGATTATTATGATAATTACGATTCGGATGACTATTTGCCAGAAGCTCTGAAAAAGAGTTTAAAGAAACGTAGGGTTGAGCCAAAAAAACAGAAAGCTATCAAAGCTTCAAAACCACACAAAGAGTCGAAAGCGCTGCGTCACCTCAATGATGGTGATAGAAAAGAGGCCCTTTACGAATGTGAGAAATGTAAAAAACGGTTCCAAGCAAAAGGTGCAGTCAAAAAACACATGGTAAAACTCTGTTATGTGCATCTTTATGGAGGACCGAAAATTACCTGTTCGATGTGTGATGAGAAATTTGTGCGGAAAAACGAGTACAAGAGACACATCAAGTTGAAACACAGCATGGTGCCAACGTTTTCTTGCGACTTCTGTCCAGAAACTTATGCTAAGAAGTCAGAACTGAAGAAGCATATCAAGACGCATCCGAAACCGTGGAAATGCAGTTTCTGCACAGCTGCATTTAAAAGGAAACAACACTTAATAAATCACAGTGTAAAACACTCAGATGTGAGACCATTTGTTTGTGATGCATGCGGGGCAACATTCAAACTGAAGCAAAATCTGGCTGATCACAAGAAAACACACGGCAACAACAGAATCTACATGTGTCATGTTTGCAGTGGGACATTCAAGACTGTCACCACTCTTTATCACCACATGAAGACACACTCAGATTACAAACCTTTTGCCTGTGACACATGCAATTTCAGGTTCAAAAAGAGGCATGATTTGAAGAAACACATGCTCACTCACTCAGATGTCAAACCGTTTGTGTGTGACCTTTGCGGCTATGCCTCTAAACGAGTTAGTGACTTGAACTCACACAAGAAAACAGTGCACTCAATATTTTTCAATAGTTCTCGCAATACGCACATCACAAATAACACTCACAACGTGATGAATAACACTTCTCACAACGCAGGTTTCATTGTCGGCAGCAACAATGCTATTGCAGCAACAGCAAACACTGGTGTACTGGTGGTGATGAATAATGCTCTTACTGTGACGAATAACAGTGCAATGTCAGAAGCACATCCCAATGCCATCCCTGAAGCTCACAGCAGCAATGCCACTCTCATGAATGTGATTCCAGAGGCCCACAACAACTCCCACAACAATGCGCACGCAGGTGCTCACAGTGGCGAGCATAACAACGAGCAAAATAACCCCCATAACAATGTTTTCAGTCATATAATATTCAGTAACCCTTATGGCAACTTTGTCAACCAGAATGGAAAAATGATCAGTCTATAAGCAAATATGTCAACTGAGCTGCCAGTTTCTCTTTTCAGCGGGGAATCTGCCCATCAGAAATAGATTAGTGGGATATCTTCAGATCTGGAAATTACAGGGAGTTATACTTTGGCCCAGAAGGCGGGAAATTTGTTTCAAAGGTTCATGAATTTAGTTTAAAAACTTGCATTTAAGAGAGTTATTTTATCAGATTGTTCCAAGAAGAGTGCAAGCTTTTTGCTTTTAAGCAAAATCCAAGAAAATAATTTAAAAATGCAATGCATTTTCACATTTGTATATTTTAAAGTGTAGAGGTGTAGGTCTTTTGATTTTTCTCAACATTTGACAAGTGGTTAACATACCCCCAGAATCACAAATGTATGTCTTATCTCAATTAGTACCCCAACGAAATAGGTAAAATTTTCTAATGATCAGGAAAATGTTTGGAATTTTTTTTTTTTTTTTTTTTAACTTCTGCTTGTATCAAGATGATTCATTGAGTTGTATTACGATCGTTAAGCCTCATAGCTTAGTAAACAGAGAAGACCTGACATCATCCACCATGGCAGTGCAAACCATGGTTTCTTCCAAATTGGTTTCATCAATCCATTTCAAGCATCTGTCGAACAGTAATTAATCTTTCTGGATTATTTATAAAATTACCCTTTCACAAAGAGAAATCAGTAGCAGATATGTTGTTTTTGGAATGAACCATAAAAGTTGGTTTCTTTTTTGTCATGCCGTCCAGTTATTATGTCAGGCAGTAAGAATAGTCAGGTTATCAAAATAATTAATTATCTAACCTGCTCCCACTCGAATTTTCATTTTTCTAGAACTCTAATTATCATTTTAAATCTTCCAGACCAACCTGCAAATTTTCTATTTTTTCCCAAAATATCATTGAATTAATACATTTTGAAGGTGAAACAATCAAACCACGCATCTCAGTTAACAGCGTTGCAGACTATCTATTGAGAAACTACTTTATACTATTTTTACTTATTTACTTTATTGTACTGAATATTTTTTTATACTTTATTTTGTAAATGAAGAACTACTTCACATAAATTCTTGAAAACCTCCGTGATTTACCCTCTCAAAGCGAAGGAAATTCTTTGTAAACTTCAGGAAATGATATTAATCTGTTCTTCAAAGAAATAAAATGGAAGTGGAGATTTTTAAACACTGCAAATGAGATACATGGTCTGGTAGTTTCATTGTCGATTTGTTAGTATTCTTTTTATGAAAGAAAATGTATGAGACAGAACTGAAATGCCACAACAGAGTCTGGTGTTGATTGAAGCTAGCTATTTATTAGACCAGTGCTTTTCCTTTTTCAAATATCCCTTTCAATTTGCAAAATTTCAAATTTATCGGTACATTCTTATTTTTACCTTGCACATTTCGGAGGAGATCTCGTAGGAAGACTGTCACTTTAGTTTTTTGCATTGCAGGCCAGAGATAATTTTTTGTTTTTTTTCTATTCATCTTTATACCTGTGTACTGTAACGGGCTACCATAACCTATTTGATGTAGGCTCTGTTTTAAAAACTGATCATCCCTATAGGAAATTTTTTAAAGAAAAACGAAGGTGCTCTCCAGCTTCTATCAGCAGCTGTCACAGTTTAATTTGAAGATATTGATGGATTTTTCATCCTTATGTAATTTTTTGTCGCTTGCTTTATTCTCTTTATAGGTATGTCATGGTAGATATTCTTTCTTTGCTGTAGGAAAGGAAAAAAAAATAATTATGAATTTAGGAAAGAATTATTGAATTCTCACTGTTCATAAGTAAAGAATGTAACTAAAAATATAAATTCTGTATATATTCTATTAAAGCACGAGTCTCCATCATTGGAGCATTCTCTAATCTATATTCTATATGTCATTTTGTAAATAATGAACCTTTTAAAAGGAATTACAATAATCTTAAGTGTTTAGCCATTACCTTTTGTACCATTGACACTCATAAATTAGGCTCTAAAGTTAGCATTGTTTGTTCGACGTTTTGTGTAATTATGACTCAAAAGCCTAGACCTGGGTGACTATTTATTTGCACGTACCTTTTACGTGAAACATGAATAATTATATTGGTCGTTTTAGTTTCAGAGGGTAAAATGCTAAGGTTGTAAATACATCTATTTAAATTATTATTGTGAAAAATCGAATTCTCAGTAGATACGCTGTCAGACTGCTTTATCTTATTATCTTTGATTTTGTTGCAAGTGTTATGGGGCTCAAGGCCCCCTGTAATCTTCTCAGTAAAGAATCTGCATGCATTTTTATTATCGGATATTCTGTAACCACCATCTGTTGTGAAAGAAAAAGTTAAAACGTGTTGCTAAGGTAAGCGTCCTCTTGGTGAAGAACACAGACTCTAATAGTAGATTGTAATTACGAAGCTTAACCACCCAAAAGGAAATAGATGTTCAAAATTCTTCCTATTGGGTTCAGAGGTAGGCTGCACACTGAATATCTAAAAGGTTGTGAAGCTACTGTTCACAATCAGTGGAAACAGAATCAGTGTTGGTAAATTGAGGCTGACTCTTGACTGCTTCAAACATAGCAATTAATTAGTCAGTACAGCTGATGCAAAATGAATGAAAGGCGTTTGAGAAAAAGTGCTGTTGCTCATTTCCATGTAATTTTGCCTTCTTTCAACTTGATACGAATTGCTATTACTGCTCTGAGCACACATTTCTCCTCATAAAAATAAAGTTGCAAGAAATCTAATTAATAATTTAAAAATTCTAAAATGTAAGCCAAGATACGTGTAAGTTGAAAAGTCATCAGTTTATTACTTGATGTATTGTGTGAAACATTTAAGTTTTCCCGTCAGGTTCCTTGTGACCTATCTACAAAAAATATTGGGTTGGAATCCCTCCTCCATCCTAGTGTAGGACGTAACTTTTCAAGGCATGCTCTTGGTCCAAATGATAAATGATGTTTACAAACTGCTCCATTTTTGACATATTTCTTCCCTGACTAGAATTCTATTTTCGATCAACAAACAAAAACACTTGGTCTTAAACAACATTAAATTCAGATGGTTTTTTTTATGATTTTCGATGCACTTTTGTAAATTATCTTCTTGAAGTTGGAAACATGACATTCTTTTACAAAGAGACAATTTTTCAACTTTTTTGGTGTGTATTTCATGTTGAATTAGATTTAGAAGCGCACACATTCTTTCTTCAAGTACGTTCCTCTCTTTTTCCTTGCCTCTCTTCATTTTCTGTTTTTTTCCTTATCACCAAAAATTATGATAATGAATCATAAATCTGACAGTTATGCAAACGAAATTTAATTTTAAAATCAAAGATTGAAGTTGTCAACTTCATGTACATAGTAAACTTAGACTTGCTTTTCAAGAGCCCATCTTTTCACTTACTTACTTAAGTATGCTAACAATTATTTATTAAAGTAGCAGATAAGGTTTATCATATTGCTTATCTGTCATCATTTCCTTTATATTATCTCCGTAACTTATATAATGGTTGTATTTGGACAATTATTATTATTACTTTGTTTTAATTTTGCTGAGGTACCTATTCATTAAATTTTGTACGTATAAAGTAAAGTGTAAGAAAATATTATAGCTATATTTACCTATTTAATCAGTATTTTTTATTCAGTTGTTCATCACATCACTACTGGGCCTAATTGGACAGGTCAAAATTTTATTTGGTAGCAAGAACTGCAATCTAGTGAAAATATTCTGGACCATAAGGTAATGAAATTCTTCTTTAGCTAACAAATGGAGCCTCCAGTGAGAGAATTTGTCTTGGAGATCACACGAAAAGACAAGTATTAAGTTAAAAATTACATTGAAAAAAGTTACAGTAAAATTATATAATAAGAGGAGCTGAAAATTGCATTTTGGTCACTTACTAGTCAACCTCCAAACAAGTTCAGTTTTAAATTACCAATACTTAGATACCTTAAAATAAAGAAAATGCCTTTCCCATTCACCAGAGGCTCAAAATGGAGGAGGAAACCAAATTTTGAAGAAAAAAAAAAAGGAGACCTCGTTAAAATGAATCAGTTGTTTTTATTTTAACATTTTAAGAGGTGATGGGTCACCTGAGTTTACAATTTTTACAAAAGTTGCTATAAATTCTTAAATTCAACTTATTGTTAATTTCGGTGGAGAATCTGACCAATGGATTTAGCTTAACTACAAATGAAAAAACAGACATACATACAAATCAAATCAATCAGCAAGAAAGTTATCAAGTGGCAAGAAGAAATATTTATACTGCAGCCAACTAAAATTAAATATCAAAAAGTAAATAAGTAAAAAAATTACAAGGGTAAAAGGGACGTATTTAAACAGCACGAGAGAACAGCCACTATAAATGTGTAGGGCAATTTCTTATACTCTTATATAAATTTCCTTTCATGAAATACATGCAAGTGAAAACCTAATTACTGGATGAAAGCAGTACAGAAAATTTACTTGAGTAATTAATGACAATACTTATGATGTTAGAAAATTGTTCCGAGAGGGCATTTTTTAAGGGTGTTGACTGAATAATAACTTCTCAAAAATGCAGAGAGGCATCAGTTCTTTCCTGTGGAGCCAAATCCTTTTTCGCCTCGCTCTGTGCCATCAAGGTTCTGAAATTAAAGCAATATAAGAAATGTATGCAATGAATTCAATCAACTAAATTTTGCACAGTATCTTGTATTATGATTATTGGGGAAAAGCTCTTGACTGATGACCAATTCTTTAAACGATAGTTCCTTCTAGATGCTAGAGATTGCTCTCTTGATACTTACAGTAGAGGAAACTCTCGTCACAACCCCATTGTATAGTTATCCTAGCTGTAGTACTTCTTTCATTCATTCAGTATCGGAGTAAATATTTGGGATGGTTCTCCGGACTAAAATATTTCCAAACTTCAAACGAAACAAATCTGCAGAGGGCGAAATGCTCTGTCCTGTGTGAAGGAAACCTATCCATGGCTATGTTAAAAAAGTGTGAAGGTACCTGAGGGTGCGAAAACGCTTGCATATTCTGTTTTCTGCCCCTTTTTTATACTAGAACTAAAAAAACATTTTTTTTTAAAAAATAATTTTCTATGAATTTTCAAAACTATTCACAGAAAATATCAGAATTAATTTGATCAGTTTTCTAAAAAAATTGGAACATTCTCAGAGATTTTAAAACGATGCAATAGTGATACACATTTTAAAAAATTTAGTCATCAATATCTTTTGCCCACAATATTATATTGAAATTCTGTTCAAAAGAACACACTGAATTGTAGAACACTTTGAATCTTTCATGGAATCAATTGAACTGGAGGTGAAAGGGCTTTTAGGATGCAAGCTGTAGGGTTTAAAATTTTGAAAACCCTGGAGTCTTCAAATTTTACAGTGCTTACCTCTTCTTCTTGAAATTACAGTGAGACCTCAATCAATCGGATTTCACAAGGCTGACAAATCAATCCATTAAATCACCATCCAATGAACCAAGGTCTGCTGTATGTATTCTAGATGTTGCAGACGTTGCACTATTTTAATTCTTACATCAGCCGACTTTTTTAAGATCAAAACTCCTCCTCACAGCTTTCCCCAGTTTTGTGTCAGATAGCCTCTGCTCTCCTGAATTCTTTTAGCTCAAATGCTTATGATTATTAAAAATATGATAAATTGGATGAATAAGAGCGAATCCATTACCTGTACTTCTTTCAAGACTGGATAGGAGATCCTTTGACAAATTAGTTGTGCAATTCTATCGCCAGCTTTGACTTCGAAGGGTTCGTCTGAGTGATTGAAGACGACAACTCCGATATTTCCTCTGTAATCCTCATCAATAACACCCGCTGAAAATTCAAAATTTGATAAGTGCTAAGTGTAATCATTTCTACGAATGTTGCATGATCAGAAATTTGCAGAATTACTGGAAAATTGATTCATTTTTAAGAAAATTTAACATTAAAAAAGAAAATAAATTAGGAGAATAAACAACAGACCAATAGGATACACATTCATGAACAGAAATGTACAGGTTGAATTGACTGACATCGAAGCAACCTTCTTTCTTTTGGGCACTCTGAAGAAGAGTCATGAATTTGGTGTTACCTAAAATTTTTACTCTCAGCTTGCTTTCAGACTGAAAAGGTACCCAGCAGGGTTTCTTGACAAATTTTCTCTCTGACTCACTAGGTTTTCCTTGACCCTTGGATTTTGTATTCCTTTTACTGCAAGTACCAATTAAGTAGGTAGAAACTTTAATTTCAGAGTGGGTTAGAATCATGCGCAGGAGTTAGCGACTGTCCTTATTACATGTCTTCTCAACCTGGCATTCCTGGTCGCTAGATACACTGTTCAGAAATGGGTTGTACTTCCTGGAATGGCACTCCTGAAGTCGACAGGCAATCACACTGCTCGCTAAGTTACCTGACCTTTCTAAATGGCTGAAAACCCTGCTGTGTGCACACGGATGCAACACCCTTGAAGTGGGTTTGCATTTTATTAACGGAGGAGCTTCCGCATGCCACGGGGATTTACAAATTAAATGCTTTTTCCAACCTAAAATTCTGCAAATAACTTGATGGTGCCATTGATTGACAATAGAACGAACTCTTGGGCTCGAAAAAAGCTTTCAAAGTTAAGGCTGAAATTGAGCGGATCCCGAGCGTTGTAAGAGAGTCCATCTTATCTATATCCACTCAAACCCTCCATGCACGAATATATTAGCAGGGTTGCTTTGGCTGAAGGCTGAAAAAAACAACCCTGCCAATGTATTTGCTCCCCATCTGTGCCTGCATGAAGAGTTGGACAGGATATAAAGGTGGACTTTTTCACATTGCCAAGGATCTGCTTTCAAAAGGTCTCAACAGTAAGAGCTTTTTTGGAGCTTGAATGTTTTTTTTTAGAGACCAACTGGTGGCATCATTGTTCTTCTTGAGCGAATCTACTTAGATACATAAACTTTCTTAAATTTTTAAGTCTCGTGGCATGCAAGAGCTTAATTCTCCAAAAAGTAAAAAATGTGACCGTTTGATCTTGAGTTCAACCTCAGTGCAAAATTTTTTATAAATGACTGTATCTATCTGTCCAGCCGAGCTAATTGGAATTTTACTGTCAAAAATACGAAAGTACTTAAAGTGTAAGATGTGGAAGATAATATAAATTAATCAGTTTTTTTTTTTCTTTTTTTTTTTGCAACTTTTAAATGACTTGCTGGCTAATCCTGTTACAATTTCTGTGCCGTTTTCTCTCTCTCTATTTTAAGCCCTGGGTCCCTCCATTCCTATCTTCGATTCTCATCATTCCACCATCTGTTGACTGATGGCATGATGTAAGATTAGAAATACATTTTTACCTCCAACATCGATGTGATTTTTCCACGCCAAACCAGACCGTGGAGCAATTCTGCCATAGCATTCAGAGGGAAGCTCAATTTGCAAATCGGTTTTGACAAGCTCCTTGCCGTGTGCAGGAATCACATAATCATAAGCACTGAAATCAATAGATAACATACAATTAGAGATGCTTCTGAAGGTATTGCTAAGGAAAAATATGAGTCCCCATTTTCTGGAGGCACAATTCTAAGACAGTGGGTCCTAATTTTTCCTCTTTTTTCTGTGTTCAAAATTTTTTCCCTTGCAATATCTGATGCCATGATCTGACATGCGTTGAAATATAGAAGATTGTGATTGAAAAAATTAGATTGATGACTGATAAGATTAAGAGTAGATAGGTGCTTGCGTAATACCAGTCTCTCAGCTTAAAGATTGTACCCATGATCAAAAGGGCCAAGCTGAAATAATTTCATCCTCAGAAAACAACCACTCAAAGAGCTAAGGCTGTTCCCAAACTTTCATTTCAGCTTCAGCAGGGTGTCTGGCGGAATTCTCTCTCCCTTCTACGTGTCTTTCGAAGTTCTAGTTGACCCTGGGCTTTCCTGCCTCCCTGCCTTAGATGGGTACAGCCAAAAATAGGGGTTGAAAACAGGCTTGGCCTGCTTTCCCTCTAAAATATACATTGGCCAAAAATTTCCGTTTTTCCTGTCTGTTGGTGAGGAGGATGGATGATGAAAGGATGTAAGTAAAGAGGGAATATAAACCTCCCTCGGCTCCTTCTATGCGTCAGAATCACAAAGTTAGTGGCTAGGAGGGTTGAATCCTCCCACCTTTCATGAAGAAACAGATAAATCTTGGGAGGGAAGAGCCTCCTATGGTGTAGTGGTTGTGGCGCTAGCTCTATGATCAAGAAATTCCGGGTTCGATTCCCGGGCAGGCAACCCAAGTTCGATGGTCTCAAACAATGGTTGCCTGGGACTGGTTGATAGGGACAGAGGCGGGACGGGTCTAAAGCGCAGGATTAGCCCTTGCGGGCTATTTGAGGAAGTAATAAAAAAAAAATAGCGAGCTCCGGCTACTGAGGTTAAGTGTAGTATAAAATAGTTAGGAGAAATATTGAAGGACAAGAGCAGGTAGAAAATTCATCAGATTTCAACTCTCTCTTTCCCTCATGAGACAAATCCACGATCTTCGCCAGATGTTCTGGTCCATTGCCAAATCAGGGACAAAGAGAACTGAAGGTAAAGGGAGCATGCGTGCATGTCGAGGAAGCAGAGAAAAATGCTGCTAAAAAGAAGCCGTTTGGAGTAAAGGACTTGCTAGATTCGTAATTCTTCTCTTAGTCATCCCCCAAATTCATGGAAAATGGGGAACAGAACTATGAACTTCTGATGTCACACATGCTGGATTGCGCTGTTCTGTCATGACCGGTTCACACGACGGTCCCAGGTTTCGACCAATGTTTGAAAGAAGAGGAAGACTTCTAAGCCTGTAAATTTGAAAGAGTGAGACGGTGGTAAGATTGTTCAGATTTACTGGAAGAGGGTGAAAGACTGTATTTTCTACAACTAACCTTTTGAGATCGTAACCGGCTGCTTTGTCTGATCCTTTCACAGGTGCGAATGCCTTCTCTGTTAACTTGGCGAATTTCAGTGTTTCTTGATTTTCAGGCATTGTGATACGGCGGACTAATCGCTGCAATAAATTATACACTTTGAAATATGAACTATGGCAAAATACTGAAGAAATGAAGAATTAAAAAGGCCAGTGATCAACAAGATTCTTTATCTGCCTTGGTGCCGGCGCGGGAATTCAGAATTCACATTGTGAAAGGCGGGAAATGGTATCATTAATTCAAAGATTAGATAATCGATTCGCAAATTTCCGATAAGAGATCGCGCTAGAGTCGGTTATGGTTTATACCTTCAAAACAGGACGAGTCAAGATAAAAGTTATTACTACAAGAAATGTATATTTTTAACTTAAAAATTATTTTCAGTTACATTACATTCGAACATTGATAGAAAAACATATTGAAACATAAAAAGTCATTACGAGTTTTCCACTCCATTTTAAATTTCAAAGAGGTTTCGATTTTCCCGCGAAACCATTAACCAATTAGAAGAGCGGCTACATTTTTAGCTGTGACGTAGAAGAGTTCATTTCCCCACTTTAGTACCACAACGGTACCACCTACTGTATTCTTTCTATGGAGTGTTCTAGAGCGTACCCGGTGGCTGGTGGTAGGAGAAGTTACCATCATGGTTGCTTTTTTTTTTTTTATCTTTCGTACAATTAACCTCTAAAGTAAGCATGGCGAGTGCTGGTAAACTACTCAAACTATTTCCGCGGACAAGTTCTAATTACCTGTTTAGTTTTAATCCCATTGCTAATATTAAGTATCGTCATGACTGTTCAAAGTGCTTCAGTGTTAAATTTTGTCACATTACTCCTCATAGGAGTAAAGTATTTGTGTTCCAACATCAACGCTCCCTCTTCCACACTAGTTCTCGTTTAATGAAAAGAGACTATTATGAAGTTCTTGGAATCTCTAAGAATGCCTCCGCCAAAGAAGTGAAGAGGGCTTATTATGAATTAGCCAAAAAATATCATCCAGATTCAAACAAAAGTGATCCTAATGCAAGTAAGAAGTTTCAAGAAGCGACGGAGGCGTATGAAGTGCTGAGCGATGATACCAAACGAAAACAGTACGATCAGTGGGGCTCAACATCTGAACAAATGGGTGGAATGGGTGGACCTGGACCAGGAGCTGGTGCAGGTCCAGGTGCAGGTAACTTTAATAGTTGGAATTTCTCATCAATGAATCCGGAGGACATATTTCGTAAGATCTTCGGTGACCAATTTCGCGGTGACGAGGATTTTGGTGATTCCGACTCAGACTTTGGTGTAAACACAGCTCAAGAAATCATCATGAAACTTACTTTTGCGCAGTCAGTGCGTGGTTGCAATAAAGACATTGTGTTAAATGTGACTGATACATGTCCAAGGTGCCAGGGAAAGCGAAGTGAACCAGGAACCAAACCTGTTAAGTGTACTCAGTGTAACGGAACAGGAATGGAGGTTGTCAACTCTGGTCCATTTATGGTCCGCTCCACTTGCAGACGGTGTCATGGTGCCAAGGTTCACAACCCATACCCATGCACAGAGTGTGAAGGCAAAGGAACGGTCAACCAAAGAAAGAAAATTACCGTGCCTGTACCAGCTGGAGTTGACGACGGTCAAACCGTTAGGATGGTAGTCGGTCGCAAAGAACTGTTTATTACTTTTAGAATTGAGAGATCTGACTACTTTCGAAGAGAAGGTGCTGACATTTACACGGATGCTGTCATCTCAATTTCACAAGCTGTTCTGGGTGGTAACATTCGTGTCAGGGGTGTTTATGAAGACCAAAATATCTTGATAGCCCCTGGAACATCCTCACACACCAAAGTCCGGCTCTCGGGTAAAGGATTAAAGAAAGTCAATGTCAACGGTTATGGGGATCACTATATTAATTTAAGGGTTCAAGCACCGAAACAGCTAAGTGACAAACAGAAAGCTTTGATGCAGGCATATGCAGAACTGGAAGATACAACTGAAGGGACTGTTCATGGCTTTGTGATTACAAAAGATGGTGGTAAGCAGTGCGTTGCAGAACCGCAATTTTTGTTACAGCGAATAAAGAATGCCCTCGATGACAAAGATAATCAGGATATCATGACTGAAAAAGTAAAAACTAGTAATTCATAGAAAGTTAGAGAAATACCTAGTTACGCTTTGCCCTTGAATCAATTATTTTTCAAACTGTTAGAATGAATAGCATGTGCTACTGTTGAAGAAATATTCACAAGTAACACGCACCAAATTTATACTTTAGTCTGCTACCAGCTTGCCTGTAAGTAATGCTTTTCATTTTCATTCCTCTTTTCATTTTACTAGGGTTTCAAAGGTAGTTTCTTTTTTTTTTTCTTCTCTCCTCAAACAAATTATTTTAATCATTGTTACTTACCTACTATTATTTTGAAGTAATGATTCTTGTGTGTTGTGTGCACACAATTTTTTTTAAAGGCTGTAAATATCTGATTTGTTACTATGTAAATACTGTAAAAATTAAACCACAAGATTTACTGTCTTTTTAGATGTATGACTTCTCATTTCAGCTTGTTAATTGCACTGTAGCACTTCAGTGGGGTGGAAAGATTTTTTCTCAAATGAGAATAAGTTATGGGCAAACTCCCTTCTAACTAAAAATGAATATTAATTGAAGGGTCTTATTGAGCTTAAAAATAATTTCAATGTGATAAGTTCATGGACTGTCCAAGGATATCCTTGTGAAGTCACTAGGTAAATTTTTCTGAACCAAAAAACACGGTTGTCAGGAAATTTTGCCATTACCAAAGCCTAACCTTTTCAATTTTATTGAAACTTTAGCACTAGTCTCAAGTGAGAGGCTCGGAGGACAAGTGGGACAGTTCGCTATTTCAAGAAATACTTGTTCAAAGTTTCCAAATTAAATGGAGCCCAATAGCAAAAAGAAAGATCAAACTCACTTTTTGATTCTTAAAAATTGGATTTTATCAGTGAATTTTTCACAGAATATTATTTTAGACTAATTTTAGTTGAAATCATCGCAATTTATTGCCAAAACTGCAGTAATTATCACACATCCCCTCCGAGCCTCTCAATTGTACTCATGCTCCCAAACAAACGTGATTTTTGAAACAGGGTGTAGCTGTCGCATTTTCAAAAATTGTGTTTTTAACATATTATTTTTTGATGATAGTGAATGCATCTTTCTATCAAGTTCTTTCAAAATTGCTTTTTTAATGTTTTTTACCATTTGAGTGTCATACTAGGTACTGCTATACTTAAATGGTAGCACTGAGCAGTTTTTTGGAGGAAAGGTGCAAGTACCCACCAGAATTTTAAATTTTTTTAAGTATTTGTTGCCCAAGATTTCTTCGACCCTGCTTGTGTAACCTTAGTCTTTGCACAGATGGTATGTGGAATATTGGTTAGTGTTTTGAACAGTCATGCATAGAATTTTCGAAGAAATCAAGGTTTTTCATGTTATCTAGAATCTTGATTTCCTGCAGCTACGCTCTTTTTCAAATAGCCTGTTGGATATAGGCAGAGCTAAAACTAGGACTTCATTTTATCTAGATAGATAAATTCACACATCCAATATCCTTGAAAAATCAGGGCGAAGTTAGAATATTACATTTTCAAAAACCTTGGAAAAGATTTTGAAGTTCTAAGAAACATGCACCCTTGGAAAAACTGATTCTTTTACAATTGATCACTTGAAGTTCAACTTGTTTTAGACTAATCTTAGGGATTTTTTCTTGTATTTTTACTTTTATTATTATTGTCACATTTTATTGGGGTATGAACCTGAATTTTTTCATCTAAATTTCCAACTATACCAACTTAGGGGCACTTTTCTGGGAATCATTCAACTCCTTTTACAATTCTCAATCACCAACAAATAATCTCGCAGAAGGAGATCGTGTAGTGCCCTGTGTGAGAATTTGGACAGGAGTGCTCCCAGAATTTCCTTCAACAATACTGTTGAAACACTATTTTGTCATTTCTGCAAAATGGACTCCAGAGGATTAAAAATAATAATTGGTCAAGCCTGTTGTTCGATGAAATGACAAAATAAAGCCTCACATTTTTTTTCTTAATTTTTTCCTTTTTTTTTTTTTTTTGTCTTCAGAATTTTCTTTAAAATTTTGGCTCAAATTCTTTCGAGAAGTATTTTGAAGTGAAAATCCTGAAAAATTCTAAAACAACAGAACGCTGTGATGCAGGTCTGTCATTGAGTACGGTCTTTTACTGTAAGACATCCAATTGCAGGACTTTTTTTTCCTCTCATAGAAAATTTGTTTAGCCTGAATTGCTGCACCACAGGCTTTGAAAAACCTGCTAAAAAGCAAGTAAAATTGAGGGGCTTGGAGGACAAGACGCACAAGCACAGTTTTTGCTATTTCAAGAAATAATTGTTTGAAGTTTTGAAATTACATGGAACCTTATGGCAGAAAGGAAGTTGAAACTGATTTTTTTATTCTTAAAAATTGGAAATTGAGAGCAAATTTTTCATAGAATGTCAAAAAAAATCATTAATATCTCAATTTTTTTCAAAAATTGCACTCACTTATGCGCCTTGTCCTTCAAGCCCCTCAATTCACATCCATATAACTTCTGACACAGGGTAGCTACTTACCCAAAACTCATGTGAAGTGTTTGTTTCCTTGATTTGGATTTTCCGTCGCTCTATCGATATGATTCTTCTAGAGGTTTAAGTTACTCGCGCCTGGTAAGTGCTACTTTCATTATTTGCCACCCTACCCTATGAACTTTTTAAAAACCAAGCACTTACTTAGTGATGCAATATAATGGTCAACTTGGCTGCCGGCCTACTTATGGTTTTTGTAACTCTCATGGTAATCAGGAAGGGTTCATGAATACATCTGGAGCCCCCCCCCCTCCCAAGAAAGTCTGATTTTATTAGGGGAAGACATTTTCCCTGAGCCTCAGAAATTTTTTGGTTAAGGGCCTGCTGCCTTCAGGGCCGGATTTACCTACTTGCCGCCCATGGGCCGCCTATATTTTGCCGTCCCCTTCTCATTCGTTTTGAAACATCAATAAAAACCATCAAGTGAACGTGCCGAAGGCGGAGGGGTGCCTAAGACGCGTTTACTCGTGTTGGGCACATTTTTTGCGAAAGCCTTGTCAACGCACTACTAACAAAAGTTCACGGTACTTTGCGCTAAAGTTAAGTTCCGTAAAAAAACCTATCTCTGTGTGGGCAAGGCCTTCCATTTATAAGAAATGAACGAAAAATTATGAAAGAACAATCATAAATGAGGTTTAATGATTTTAACTTCCACCGCCGCGCCGCGCTGACCGCATTGTGTTCGGTGCAATCCGTGAAGTATTCCTTCAGCCTTGTAGGCGCTACGCGTTTCACGCCGCGCCTACCGCTGCTGAACGCACTGTGTTTGACGCAATGCGTGAAGTATCCATGCAGTCTTGTAGGCGCTAATATGTGTTACATGCCGGCCGGGGGTTTTTCCTTTTATCTCAAGTCCTCGTCATTGCTCTCTGCGTCTTCACTTGACTAATTAAAGGTGATGTCTCTTGTACCACCGAAAGAAGACAAAATTAGAAATTACTATACTCTCAAGAAATGAACGATTTTGTCGCCTTATCTCGCTTGTGCTTTTTTTCTGATTCCGATTCTTGTTTTTATACCTACTTTTGAAAAAATTGCAAAATTTGCCGCCCCCTTTTGCCGATATGGGCCGCGGCCCATGTGGCCACCCCCTAAATCCGCCCCTGGTTGCCTTCGCCCTTTCGAACAAAAATTCCACTGTATGTTCTTTTTAAATAATATCGATCACATCATTGGGTTTTTTGGACGGACAGTGGAAAATCTGCAGGCACTTTTTCCATGAAACTTGAAAACCGAAATCTGAAGATGGGAGCGAAGATGGATCATATATTCTGTTTTCTATTTTTACTTTTCTATTTTGTGTATTGTTATCTGTTTTCATTTTTCTATTTTTTTCTTGGGCCCACCCAAACAAGCTTTGGCTTAAGGGTGAGCGCCTCTGTTTTTAATCTCATTCTCTGTAAATCTGCCTTTTTTGCCAAATAAATGCCTAATAAAGAATTGAAATTGAAGAGTGTTAGGAAAACTAGTTAAAATTATTTGAACCGACACCTAATATAATTTGAGTTTTACCGCCATCTACAAGATAGAAAGAAAAGCCAATCAGATTTTAGAGCTGCGTGAAACAACAACATGGCTCCCCGCTCCAAACAATAACATAACCTCTCTCAGTCCCTCCCCTCCCCTCCTCTCTCCCAAGTATCAATCACGAACTTGATCTACGAATGTGTGCGATTTCGTTATTTTTCTTGTTAAATTTATCGCTCCCTCGTGCACTGAATTCAAGATAATGAAGCGGATACTCAGGACTTTAAACAACTAAAAGTTCATCATGTTATTAACGCTCGTTTAAAGGAATGTGTTTTAGCGGGCCACGCCGGAATGCTATTCGTGCGGTAAAAGGTTCTTTCTATTCTTCCGTGATAAGTACAAACTTTTCTCAATTTTCTGTAAGGTACTTGTCACCTCTAGCTCTCGAAAATTTAGTGCATACTCATTAGGATCGTCTAAATGCCTGCACCCTAAGTGTGAATCAACACCGTTCATAAGCCATGTCGCTGGTACCTGTCAACAAGCGAAGAGACACTATTGACAGTGCAACGTTCAATTGTGAAAGATGTCTTCGTAGCAACAAGACCAACACTGTCAAGCAATATTATGTGAACTTGAACACAACAGTTAGCATGTGCACCATTTGCAAGGTAAAAAGCTCATTATCAAGCTTAATTTCAAATGAAAATCAAGGTCTTTTATTCTTATCGTGGAACTGCGGATTTTTTCATCTACATGTCAGAGTTTGATCTCTGTTCTGTACAAGAATGTCTTAATAGGATAATTGTAGTATACTATCAGCAAAAGCTTAGCAGTACATATTACAATAATTCATCTAAATATTTTACTTTGTCTGAACATATACAGTAAGAGCTCATCCGTCATATATTGAGACAAATCGACGGTGTAAGTTGGCAATCACATAACTCGGTTTGCGACGTCGCAGACTTTCTGTTATACTTTATTTTTTAAACAGAAAACTACTCAACAGCAATTTTTTAAAACTGCGGTAATTTTTCTTCTCTGTGTGAAGAAAATTCTGCCAAAACTTCAAGGAATGATGTCAATTTGTTCTCCTTTTAAAAAATTATACAGAAGTGGAGATTTTTAGACACCGCAAACAAGTTATGTGATTGCTGACTTACACCGTCGAAATGTCCAACTCTGATCAGCTCTAAATCAGCACTACATGTTAGGTTAACACGTGCAATCAGATGGTACCATTAATGAGTAGTGACGTAAACAATACTTGACCTGAGTCTCAGTGTACGATGAGCGAGCGTTAACCTGAGTGGTGCTGATTCATAGCTTAAGTGTCAGAGATTCACATTTTCTCAAAGAAGGAACTGAGGACAGGAAATATGCATTGTTGTTAGCTTTGGTGATACCTAATAGTTAGAATGAAACCATGAGCCTGTCTCGCAACCTTAAGGTGCTTCGATGGACACTATACTTTGTGTCAGATCAACACGCAATACATTGCATTGATTAGTTCCATTTCCTCAGCTACTTGTCATTTTTTCCGAATTTAGAAATCACTCTTCTGTTGCAAGGAGACAAAAGAATTCACCTACCAATTTTGAAAAACTAATTCAACTTAATGAAGGGGGGTTTTTTTAGAGGAAAAATATCGCATTTGATACCGATATGGAAACTGCACTCGAATGTGATATTTTCCCTCTAAAAAAATCATGTCTATATTAAGTTGAATTTGTTTGTCCAGATGGGTCAGTGAATTCTTTAGTCTCTTGACAACATAATTGCGATCTCAAAATTCAAGAAAAATGCAGAGTAGCTGAAAAAATGGAACCAATCGATGCAATATATCCCAAGTCGTTCTCACACAAAAAATGGCGTCCATCAAATCACCTTTAGACAAATCCCAGAGCTCACTTCAAGCTTCATCCCTTGCCTGCCTGTTTTCAAGGCACGGACTGTAATTTTTTACCATGAACAGCAGATCTTTTGACCACGCTTGCCCCTCTTTTAATGTACCCATCTGTTTTAACTCCTGTCGAACATAATCCTCTTCTAATTTCTCTTCCAGGGCTCATACTTAAAGGAAAATGAAGTCATTGTCAATCAGTCTGTTCAAAGATCAGTGTCTCTTCAGAGCTTTCAAAAATCATCAATTCTACGTAAGTTTTACTTTTGCTTTTTAAGTAACAAGGGCCTGATCATTTTACTTCAATATTACTTGAATCAGAGACCTAAATTGATAAATAGCATTGTAATGAACATTTCATTTTGATCAGTCAAATTTAGAAAAATCAGAGGGTTGTTCCTCTCAAATATTGAATTGAATATTAAGTTGAAAATGTTGATGGATATTTCGTTGGAAGACCAATGACGATCCAAGCGAGATAGACATGCAGTCAAAAGTTTGAAAATGAGCTAAGACAATGCATAGTGAATCAGTGCAATTTTATAGGTTTCAGCCCGCTTAGTATTGCATGCTTTCTCATGCAAACTCGTGAGGAGAAATAATTTTCTGCTTTCCAGGGCTTGAAAGGAAACCCCCGAAATCTCATTATTTTTGGTAATTTGAATGAATGTCAGTTTCGTTCTCACCCAGTTTGAAGAAAATCACTTTTATGTAGAGTCCCTTTAAACCCAGAGTTAAGACAACTCACTTTTGGTTGGGCTGAAAGTGGCCTAAAAAAAAATCCAATTCTGATTGGTTCTCGCTCATGGAGGCCGAAACGAGTGCACCAAGATGGCGGTACCTCGAATGTGAACAAGAATAATGAAAATATTACCTAATTGTGGTTTATCAAGAGTAAATTGTTATTTCCATCGGTCCAAAATGAAAATAGATTAAGAAATTATTCACAAACCAATCTCATTTTCTTTTTAATTGATCAATTTGTTGATGTTGTTGTTTTTGTGTGACAGACATCGCAGGATTCCTGATCCTTATCCCTCAATATCGTTCGTTTGGGTGCACTCGTTTCGGCCTCCATGGCCAGCCAAGGCCGGCTGCGAGTCAGCTGATAATCGAGTTGTCTTAACTCTGGGTATAAAGGGACTCTACTTTTATGCAGATAATATTGGTCTTCACCCTAATGGTAATTGTTCTTATTTGATTTAATAGCTTTTCTCCTAAAAGAAGCACCTGACAAAAATTTCACGGAACAGGAAGCCAAGGAAATATTAGATTCAGCCTTTCAAAGCTACAAACGATCACGAATGCGAGAAGATGCCAAGCTGAATGACTTCTTTGCCCTCGTGAGTCAACTCCTCCCCAGTCATGCAAGTCACTTCCCCACCCATAACCCAGGCACTGTAGCAACAGTGGAGGCTAATGAATTGAAAAACAATGACAAAGAGGATGTTTTCTACTTTAGTAATGGCTCATTGTTGCCTAAAGCTGAAGTAACAGATGATGACATTGAGGCAGCAATAACTGCCCTATCCTGCAACAACCGTAACTCACCACAAATAAATTATGATGACCTTCGAGATATTGATTCATTCCTAGAATATTCAGCGAAACTCGAAGAAACGCTGCCTATTTTAGGTGGTGAACACCTTGATTCACCCATTTACCTGAATAAAATTGACCAAGCTCTCAGTGACATAAACAATACTAATAATGCTATTAAGATCAGTGTCAATATGGAGGAATTGCAAAAACGTTTGGCACCTCCAGTAGCAGAAACTCCCAGCAAGATAGATGAACACAGAGTGAAAAAAGTGGGAAGATTCCTAGCCAAAACTAGCGTCCGACCACGTGACTTGCTCCATAAAGCTCATGGGCTGCACGTATGGAAAGAAGGAAACGGGAAATTGCCTCTCTCGAAATTGAGTAAGAGCCTCGGTAAAATAACTTCGGCTGCCAAAAATGAAATTGTCAGCAGTCTGAAGGTTAAACCAGACATTTCCTCTGCTTCAAATAAGGGTAAGAAAAAGGGTAAGCGTGGAAGTAAAGATGCTAGTGGTTTCTCGTGGCCACATGATTTTGACCAAGACTTTACGTCGCAGCCAAATGATGAACCTAATGCAGAAAACTGGAAGATGTTCAAAGGATTTGAATTCACGGAATTCAAAACTGAAGCCCTTGCGAATCAATGCAGGAGCAGAGGAAAACCAAAGAAAAAGATTGACCCCAAAAGGAAAAGTGCTACAATGATTCTTTATGAAAAGCTCAAGGAAAGGAATAAGGTGTCCTAGCATTTTATGGTGCATGACTTATTCACCACCTCAGGGAAAAAACTGATCTCTTTTTTTTTTATTTCTTAGACTAATTTTTGTTAAATTTTTAATAAACCGTTTTACTTTGTCATATACTTACATTTTTTCTTAATTTCCAGTAGTGTCCGAGTTTCTTTTGAAAACCCTCATGGATGTGGATATGTGAGAAAAATTAGACGTAATGACTACAATTCTTTTTGTTACTTTCTTGCTACCCTAGGGTAGAAGAAGTATTATTTTGTTAGGTAGCCAGTGCTATGGGTTAAAATGAAGTTGTTGACTCACAAGATAAAACTGAAGTATTTATTTAATTTGTCAAAGCTTTTCGGCATTGGCCATTATCAGGACTTAGCAAAAAATTTAATACAATTTGAGGAAATACATTATTAACTTTGAGTAATATTAGTTCATACAAACGAAACTTGTCAATGTTTGTGATGGTTTATCTTTGTCTCTTAATATATCCAGTTTATCTCTTATCACCTGGGAGTCACAGTCATGTCGCTTTCCTTTAGAGAGGGGTGCATATCTGATACAGCTCATTTGCTGTAGATCTACTACTCTCTAATAAGGCAGTGAGGAACAATGAAACTCTACTGAATGTGCAGACAGAAGTAGTAGATCTGGCAGCAAATGAGTTGTATCAGATATGCACCGCTCCTAGGTGGAAAGCAAAACGACAGTTACTCCTAAGTCCCACATGATAAGAGATAAAGATAATCCATCGCAAACATTGACAAGTTTCACTTGCATGAACTAATATTACTCAAAGCTAATCATGTATTGTCTTCAATGGACCACTAGACAAGGCACGAATTCAAGCATTCTGATACATGTTACTCAATCAGAATTTCACGTAGAACATGATTCGCGCAACGAAAATTACTGAAACTAACCCCTGACGAAGATATTAACCTTTTTAATTCACATTGGTTACGCGGATTTTGAACTGCCCGCTCACAAGAAACTCAAAGCTCTACGTGAGTCAAATCGCGCACTACAACAGTTTCAGCAAGCCTCTCACTCGAGCACTGTTCATTTCCCACCATGTGTTGTTCAAATTATAAGCAATTTGCTATAGCTGAGCCAAAGCGTCAAAATTGTGGTTGCCAGATTTTCATATCGCAGAGACTGTCACGATAATATTCAACGTGCGATGTGAATCACGTAAAGCATTGAGTTTTATTAAGCGGGTGGTTTGAATTCACGCATCAGGAATCATTAAATATCTTCGTAAATAGTTGATTTCGGTCATTTTTGCTGTGCGCATCGTGTTCTACGTAAAATTTTGGTTAGAAAACATGTATCAGAATGCTTAAATTCGTACCTTGTATAGTGGTCCATTGTGTGTTTTTGCTAAGTCCAGAAAATGGCCAAGGTCGAAAAGCTTCGACAAATTAAATAAATACCTCATTTTTTTGTTGATGTGAGTTGACAACTTCATTTTAACCCATAGCCTTGGCTACCTAACAAAACAAAAAGTTACTTAAATTGCTACTACCCTAATGTTGCACATCAATACTTTCAAAAAAAGAAAAGAAAAAAAGATTGCAATTCGTTCAAGATAGTATGAAAGAACGATGATTTCTTTCCTAGATTTCAATAACCTCAGTCTATTGTTGATAATTCTGTATGGACTTGATTAAATTCTGGTGTTCTTAACATTAATTTAAGACTGTTACAATGATTGGCTTTGGTAATTTCATCAAGTAGATTTTTTGCTTTTGAGTGCTTACCCATTATTGTGTTTTATTCTAGATGCATTCAGTGGCATAAAGTGTTGCAAGTCTTCGTAAATTGTGAACTTGTCGAGCACCTTTAAAGTTCTTGAAAATGAACAGATTACACAAGACAGTTCGTACCAAACTGTAATAACTGATATGTGTAATATGTATGTTCATTTTTGATCAATTTAAAAGCATATGATGAGTTTGCAAATAGCGACGATTAACGAAAACTCCATTTTTAATACCACTGAAGATGAGGCACTAAGCCTGAATGTGCATATTTAATAAAACACAATAAAATGCAAGCTCTCCAAGAAGAAATTAAAATATACATAATGAAATATTTACGAGTGCAAAATGCGAGCTAAAAGATATCAGTAATTTCTAATTTCTTGAAGAAGTTCCTAAATGGATCTGTTTCTGTGTACGTTAAAATGGACCATGAAGTTTATGATGCTTTTTTGTCATGATCCTTCGATGCATCCTACTTGGAAATATTTTGGGTAATTCAAAAGTAAGGCACCGCTGGCCATGACGGGGATGGCCATTTGAAATTTTTGAGTTGCCCCCCTCCGCCGAGGAGATCAAAGACTAGAAAGTACATACCTAAAAAAGTTTCCTCCTTGATATGAGGAAAAACGTCTTAAACCGCAAATTGATATCATAATTAGAACTAAAGTTATGGCCAGTGGTGCGTGACTTTTGAATAACCCTATATATTTCTATGCTCGCCATCTTCTCTAGTTAAGAATGGTATAACTCCCTGGTTAAAATTTGTAGTTTGAAATAGCTTCACCATGGAAGTTAAAATTTTGTATTTAGGCCCTAAAGCCCCGCAATACTTAATTGAGGATTTTCTTTTTCGGGAGGTTGAATATGCTAATAGAGCTGGACCCAAGAAGATGTGATTAACCACCATAAACTATGTAGACCACTCATGAATTGCGCTATGTGGATACATTCAATCTTTGAGCCTCCTCTCTTTTACACTCTTGTCACGGATGTATCAGTTCTCTGGAAATTTTAAATCATGCTTCGTAATACTCCCTCTTCAACATGAATTGGCATTTATTCAAAACTAATACCAAAACTATCTTTAAATCTGTTGAAGTTTCACGTTTCACACCAATTTTTCCGTGTATCATTAATGCCGAAAATGATCTCTGTTTTTGTGGATCAGCCTATTTTAGACCAAAAAAATCAAAATTTTCTCTAAAATTGGGCGTTTTCAGAGAAATTTACTACAGTGAAAAATCTGTGCATCATACAAAGCAGTTTTGACGTACCTACTGTTGTAAATCAAGGTCATTCTTGGATCCAGCATTCAAATATACACTTACAGTAGCCGTCACATCACTGAAAAATTTTCCCCTCTGTTCTAAATAACCAGGCTGTTTGTATCTAAATGCCGTCTTCCGTCTGCAAACATCTTGTCTAAAGCTTATTAAATTGCTTTGCGCTGCGAAAGATGGGAAATATTTTTTTCCAGAACTGATCCAGAAAGATAGAGATCATTTTTGGAATTAAAGTTACAGTCAATATAAAAATACTTATCAACTTTGGTAGATACCTGCATCTTTAAAGAAAAATTAATTGCTTATCACTGTTCTTTGAGTTTTATGAAATAGTGAAAAAATAATAAGGGGGTCAAAGAGAACTAAATATTTGTAACATTGGTTTATTCCTCATGCTGACAAACATGACATACGTGCTTGGAACGACCTATTGGATGAAATCACCAGCAGAGTTGTGCAACTTTCTTAAAACAAAGATATTTCAAAGCTCAATGAAATTGTAAGCTAATTACAATCAGTATTCACATCATTATTTCACCTCAGAGATGAGAAACTAGAAAGAAAACAGCCAATTAAGATTTCTTTTAACATTAATGCGAACATCGCAGAGTTTCTCAATGAATCATAATCTACGGCAATCAATGATAGCACTAACATACATTAGACTTCGATAATCGAAAGGTTTAACCCTCAGAAAAGTATAAATTAACCATTATTTCCACATTAAATTGAAAAGTTCTGTACGAAACCTAGCTATATAAATTTGTGAGCAGGTTACAAAAAACTTAAAAAAAAAATTAGAAAATCATGGAGACTGACAGCCAGAATCTCAGGCATAAAAGCAATGATAAGTTTCGGAAGAAACTAGAAAATTCGGCAGCTACAGCTTCAAAAGGTGAGAATCTCTTCTAGTTTTTCACGAGCTTCAAATCACAAGAATGTTCCAAATCCGAGGTATCTCTTCATACTTTCCCAGTAATAACGGTCCCAGTTTTCTTTGGTGGAATCATATTCACTGAAAAGCGAGAAACAGTTGAAATATAAATTACACAGTTGGTGATGACGATTAGGTCTGTACTATTTACCATTTAATAAATTGCTGGACTCAGCCTTGAGTTTTCATCATAATTTCACACACAATTTCAGCAAATCGGACATATTGAAAATTGCCAAAACAAATTTGAAAGCAAAATATATGAGTTTGGTTTGGTGACTAGTGTTAATCATAAACACGATTCATTTCATACCTTCTCTAAGTGCATTAGTTCTTTTATTCTGAAAATCAAGCTGACGAACATGCTCTGAAAGATTTTTTCATCCTAAAATAGTTGCTTGTCTTAACTAACAAGGGGAGCTTCCCAAGTGTAACCGGAATTTCGAGTTGAAATTTTGCATGAAGATACTAGAGATGAAATTAGGGATAGCGTATTTTTTTGTTTTTTCAAATGGGGCCGGGAAAGCCCTCAAAAATAACGCGAAAGTTGCGGAAAAAACGCGTGCGCTATGCGAGTGGAGCCCCCTGTGAGGGCGGCTCCCAGCGGCACAAGGTAAAGATAGGTGACAGAAGCAGCTGCCCCTATCAGCATCGCATGGCCAAGTAGGAGCGCGCTCGCCTCGATGGCGGGAGATCCCTGGATTGAATCCCGGCTCCGACTCTAGCTTTTTATTTTACTTTATGCTTTTTCACTTACTTTTTTTTGCACCATTCTCTCCGCCACCCAACATACCAGGGAGACATCGTGACTGAAGATTTTTTACATATGCTGATAGAAAATCTTCAGTCACGACGTCTACCTCGTATGTCAGGTGGCGGAGAGAATGGTGCAAAAAAAAGTAAGTGAAAAAGCATAAAGTAAAATAAAAAGCTAGAGTCGGAGCCGGGATTCAATCCAGGGATCTCCCGCCATCGAGGCGAGCGCGCTCCTACTTGGCCATGCGATGCTGATAGGGGCAGCTGCTTCTGTCACCTATCTTTACCTTGTGCCGCTGGGAGCCGCCCTCACAGGGGACTCCACTCGCATAGCGCACGCGTTTTTTCCGCAACTTTCGCGTTATTTTTGAGGGCTTTCCCGGCCCCATTTGAAAAAACGAAAAAATACGCTATCCCTAATTTCATCTCTAGTATCTTCATGCAAAATTTCAACTCGAAATTCCGGTTACACTTGGGAAGCTCCCTTTGTAAGTTTTGTTCTCTTTTCGAGAAAATTTTTAATTTTGAGAGGACCAGTTTTGAAAAGGAGCCATCCTGTTGAGATGCATGTTTTTTTACTTGAAACTTTGATATGTTGTTTGAACACAGAGGTCTTCATCTGTTTCCTATTTATTTATTAAGAATATGGGGGGTTGTTAAATACATACCTTTCAGGAATTCCAGTTTGTGAGACTTTGACCAGGGTATGATCTTTTTGCTGCTCTATATCTAAAGTGACAGTAGAAAAATGACCGTCTGGCCACCTTTTAGACCTCCACCTTTGAACAATTTTTTTGCCAGGCACCTTCACAGAATTTAAAAAAAAAACAAAGCATGAGATTCAAATACAACTTCAATTATGCACCTGAAAAGTTTATCTCTTTTCTTAAAAATACAAGTATTCTTTGGTGTTTCTTTATGTTCAATAACTTCTCAAAGGATTTGTTAGTGTACTTTTCGAAGAAAATACACTATTGCATTCTCCCATGATGTTGGACCCTGACCTGAGATCTTGTGAAGAGCACTGATCACGCATGGAGAAAAAAAAGGAGATGTATGCATTTCGGGCATCTTGGATTTTTTTGATGACGTAGGTCGGTACAGAGACTTTAATCATCAATTTTCTCGGAAATGGTGTAATTTATGGAAAAAAGTCATTCCATAAAAAGTGCTTGAAATTATATCATGAGTTGATTTAAGCAAAAAAATGGGACATTGTGGTTCGTTTTTCATACTCCGAATTCCGGATTTTGCTGGCCAGGTTGTACCGACCTGTCACAGGGTAAACAAACCTCAAGATGCAAACACCTCCTTTTTTTTCTCTATGCTGATAACAGATCGTAGAACACTCAGAAAGGGTAAGAACCCTTGATCCTGTACATCCAGTAAACTTGATTCTGTATTTTGTGTTTCCTGTTCAAAAGAAATCGGGCTACGAAAATTTTTCTCGTGATGTTGTGCACCAGGGTTTATCGTGCAATAGTCTTGATCCTGTATTCCTGTGTTTCCTTTTTATACATGTGTTTATGTATGGTTGGTTGGTAGATGCGTTTCTTTGGTGCTCTTGACATCTGAGCCACTAACACCTTGGAGGAGGGATCAAAATAGTGTAGTACAGAATTTAAAACATTTAAAAAGTAGGGTCACAAAAGGGTAGTACACAAAATTAAAAGATTGATTACTTCATTAATGAAGGGCTTGAAATTACACTAAAATTAAATTATTTTGAGTCATGATAGAGGTATGTAAAATCTTCAGGCAGATTAGAATATAAAAAGAGAGACCAGTCTCCGTACCTGGTGGCGATAAGTTGTTATGTATATTTGTATTTCAAAGCCATCGACTGGTCTTGGGGATTTTTCAAGGGGGAGAGGGGGGAGATCTATGTTCATATTAACTACAAACTTTTAGCCATCATTAATCTATTTTGATTTGGCCCTTTCAAATGGTTAGTGTGCAACAAAACGAAAACACTCCCTCAGGGAGTGGAATTAGCATAAAATTTTTCTGCAACGGAAGTCAAATTGTTTTGAGGATAAGCCCTCTACCAAGTGTTTGTGTAGGACTTCTATTCAAATTATTTTTGTTTTTACTGCTCCAACATTTCTTTTGTTTTTGTTTACTTACTAGTTTAATGAATTCTCCATAAATATTTCCATTGAACATTTCAAATTTGCCACCCTCTCTGTTGTCAAGCACGGCAGGGCTGTGAGTGAATGCTGATACCATCTGAAACACAAATAGCTAGTTGCAAATTGAATCCTCATGGAATGGATCCTATCAAAATTTTACTGGAAACATAGGGGACATGTTATGTAAAAATTTCCAATTTCAACTACAGTAAAATTACAATCTTTCATAATGGTAAATTTTAACTCCTTCCTTGTCAAAACCGAAATGAACTTAAGTCCAAGTGGGTGATGAAATCATTCCATTGTTTATACACTGAAATATTTCTTTCAGTAAACTGAATTTTCCTGAATAAATTCACAAATGCTGTGCATAAGATGAGGAGGGATCTTCGGCAAAATTCCTTGATTTGTTGGGTACAATGTATTTCTTGGACTTACCTTTTAAATTCTATATCTCCAAAAAAGGAGTTGATAGTGAACTCCTTTCTTCATTTTATGTTAATTATTTACAATTCACTCATTGTTAGCGAAGTAAAAAGGCGCTATCTAAGCTTAATTCACAGGTTTTTTTTTTTTTTTTTGGTCAGAACAATGATGTAAAATGAATATCACAAATGAATATCTGGAAGAAAAATGGGTTCTTTCACATAGGTGTACTCACTGTTAGTTTCTGTACTTTATTACGCATTGTTTGTTCTGTACTTTGGGATTTTGACGTAGTATTCATTTTGATTTTGAAAATTGAAAGTGAAACAATAAATTACTATTCCACTCTATTTTATTCTAATAATAATAACTATGAAAAATTATAATCAAGCTAACTCAAATCACCAATGTAATTGCTACTGCGCTCTTAAAGGAAGTCTCTTTGCAGATATGTATTTTGCTCATTTTAGTCAAGGTAACAAACACATTTAAAAACAAGCTTAAATTTACCTGTGGGGTTGTAAGAGCATTGTAAAATTCGTCACCAGTGCAGATGAAAGTTTGAGAGAAATTTAGAGTAGACGTTGCTACTTTGGAAGTGTCTATTTTTTTCGATTCAATCACATTGTTCATCAGAGTCTGAAAACGGAAGAAATATTTTGAATTAAACAAAGAACACCTAAATGTGAAAAACGCAACTTAAAGGTAGCACTGCGTATATTTCTATAAACCATTCATTTTTAAAAGGTGTGTCAAAAAATAAACTAAAAAAGCTTCTGCAGTTAACGAATTAAATATTATTTGAAATACTAAATTTTCTTTATGAAAAATAAAACGAAATCTGACAACAAGCAGACTCCTTGCTTTCCAAAAAGAAAAACTCCGTTCTATTCAGCTCAACTTGATCCAAATAATCTAGCTTTAGATTGATCAAATAAAAAAGATGAAAAAAGGGAAATCCAGCAAAGATATAAAGAAAAAAAAAAGCTTAAGAAAAAAGTTGGATGAGAGACCCAACAGGCATTTGAAAGAAAATGAGTAACCTTACCTTTGCATTGTTTATAGATGTAACAGATTTTCCTTTATTACAAGATTCTTCCTTTTTAGGTAGAATCATTCCTTGCGAAAATTCTGATAAAAAAAAGAGAGGATAAAAAAATTAGCTGAGTTGGAGGGAAATATTCGATTAAAAATCGGTATCAATTTAAATGACAACTTATTTTATGAGAGAGGCAAAAGTTACATGATTTACTTACGATATTGCAACAAGGTTAACTTTGCCAATAATTTTGAGTATCAATTTTTCGTTTTCCTTATTTTGTCTTATGAGATGAGATGCTAAGGATTGCTCTCTGGTATCATGTTCGCATCATATTCATGATGGGGTTGCAATGCCGTCTTGGATTTGGCAGGTTGCTAAACTGGACTCATCAATGAATGTGATTTACGGATGAGGTCAAATGGTTGGAGAGCCAGACAACATTTAGTGACAAAATCGGCACACGGGTTTATACCACTTAAAACTGCACTGACGAGGGAAGCAGTTGTCTGCCACATATTGGCACAAGCTACAACACAGACAACCATTTTTCATGTCAGTGCATGTAATGCTTTTGATATGAGTGGTTAAACCTTCAGTCACAAGTTTGTCACTAAATGTCGTTGGGCTCTCGGACTACAAAAAGATTCAAACCGGTAAAGGTTCCTCGCTGTGACCCCAACTTAATATTCTGATAAATTTGACTGAGCTGAACACTCTTCCTCTCAATTTGGCACTGAAACACATTAGAGTTCATTTGATGTCTCTAATGCCAATTTTTGAAATGTTTTGGCCTTTACTTCTCCTTAGATTAATGTGAACGCAGCACTATTTTACCATCCTGTTTTAACTCTGGTAACCATTCATTCAATAAAGAATCCTTACCTTCTTTCAGGGAGCTAATATATGCTGCTAATTGTTCGCGAATCTTGCTACGACCCTCTTGGTACATAAAGTCTTTGACTACTTCTCCCTCTTTGGATGGTTCTTTCAGAGATGTATTTACCTTTATGAAATCAAAAAATATCAGACAGATGTAATAATGGAGGATGATTAACCACTAGAATGCGAGACAGAGGATGGATTTCATTCTTAAAAATCACAGGGAAAACTAAATATGATTGCAAATAGCAAGGCAAAAATTAAATGAATAAAAGGAAAGGCAGCCATTACTCACCTTGCGGAACAAGCAAAACAGGACAACCTTGTTTTGCGAGATACTGGCTAACCTCCTTTTAAATCACAGAGAAAACAATCGTAAAAATGAAAATAGAGCTGTTACACAATCCAGGAATTGTCTCGAAGGTGAATGTTTCTAGGGTAAATTTAAGCAAAAAACTGTTGTACAATTTTTTCTGAATTTACTTTCTTTCTGGGAAGGAATCTGAGTAACAACTCTCTTATACTAAAAACAGAGTGAAACATTTAGTCTCATGAGGACAGCAATGTGAAGGCAGCCTTAAAAAAAGTGAGGGCTACTTTGAAAAATCTGAAAGTGAAAAACTTTTTGCTCCCCTGACACTAAGTTAGGAATATGCCGCCTGCAGCCCCTGAACTTACTTGAAAATGTGAGTGATCAAAAAATTTGAACGTGATGTTACTTCATGTCGAACTGGAAAGCTATCTACAGAAAACAGTCAAACGTTGTAAGTGATGATATTGCCAACAAACAGCACTTCTTCAATGATTTAGTGCATGTCTTTGCAACAAATCTAGAGCAGGTTATTTTATTGTATCACAAGATTTTTCATTACTAGGCCTCAACTGTTAACAACAGCACCACAAGATATCTTGTGAGCATTGCTGAAAAGGTTCAACAATACAAAAAAAGGACTGGAAATTTCTTCGTTATAACACCACATTGAACAGATGTTATCAAAACCAGATCGTTGTACTAAATGACAGGAATTAACTTGAGACTTCAATTAACTTATGTCAAGTGAATAGTGCGTTCACCTCAATGTCTTTTGATCAATTTGGACTGGAGATACACAAATCAGAAACTGGATTGAAAGAAAATGATATTATCGAACTAGAGATACTTAATTTGCACCAAAAGAGCGGGTTATTTAACAATCATACTATACCTCAATTTCTTCCACTGAATTTTCTTCACTCAAATTTGGAATGGCAACCTTGCCTTCAATTTCTTTTTCAACGCCACTGATATGAGCCTTCCAGTTCAAAGTGATATCCCATTCATAGAAGAAAATGAGTTTACCTAAAGACAAAAAACGAGAAAGAAACTAATTATTTAGGAAAAAAAGACAAAAAAAAAAGAAAAACCTGTCCTGATGACACAACCATCAAAACAAAATGCTACTTTTTACTGAAAAAATAAATTGTACTTATGCTTAAGGTGAATCTACAGTGGTACATAGTAAGAAATTTTTCCGCACAGGGAGCGCTACCGCTGTGTTTTGATTTTTTGGTCCACGCTATTAGAGTCAGTACAACTCCACGTGGGTCCTTACGCTTTCATGAAAGTCAAAGGAATTTCTGTTACAATCGAAGAGTTATGAGTTCTAGCCATAACATCCTGCTTCCTATTGACACTAAATATACATGAAAAATAATATCTGAAGCTCTAAAACTTGATCCCAGGAAAAAGTAGGGTTAAGCATGATGACCATGATGCAACCAATGATGATGCTCTCAGCAGTTGCAGATATCTCTCTCCCATCGTGAGCCGTCTCTCGCTCTTACAGATGTCCAATTAGAGAAAATGGGATCAAGTCATAGCTTTTATTGTTAAACTTTCTAAGCTTGCATGTGTTTCTAAGCATTCTAGGAATTAAATATATCTATTGTGATATTTAAATAATCACTGATTTCCAAGCCGCATTTTAGCAGCACGACGTGGTGGATTTTTTTGGAACTACAACTGAAAATTAGAGCAACAGTCAAATTAGGAAGACCTGAAAACTCTGTCTGCAAAACTGAGGATTTACCAATCTCTATGTTGATTGAGAGCCTGGTTATCACTGTCATTTGACAGCTTCCTTGATATTTTTTCTTCATGTGAGGTATATTCTACATAAATTTGAGGCAACACCTTGAGTTTATTACTTTTTCTTCAAGAAAAAAAAGAAAAGAAAAAAGAATAGGTTCTTCAAATCTCTATATGCGATATGAAAGTTTCTTTAACAAAATTTCACCTTTAATTACTCCATGCATAATTACCTTATGCACTTCTTTGAGCTTCTTTGATATGATAAATTAAGGAAGAGAAAACCATTGAGAAATAGAGGTACCTTTTCTGTTGTTTGCAACCGCTTCGCCGTCGCATTTCTCCACTTCTGTAATTTCAACTTGCAATGATTTGCCATCAATTTTGAAGTTGGTAAATAAATTTTTTATCTTATCTTTAGACCACTGACAAGCATTTTTTTCAGTCCTGTAACCAATAGTAAGATTAATTAACTAACAACTAGATGATCGATTACTTGTTGCAGAATAAATTCAGATTGATTGTTTTCAAACTTCTTTTTCCAGATTTGTTAAGCTGGGAATGACCTCAACCAACTATGAGTAATTTTACTCATCTCATCTTGTTGCTAATCATCAAAACTAGATGATTTCTGCCTCTCTAGTCTTTTTAATCTTACCTGTTCTTAATTTGTCTGCGAAATGGGTCCTAATTGCATGATTTTTCTTATGTCTTCTTTGCCTAATAATTTTTTTGACTTTGAACATTTTTGTCTCTGACTTCATCTTAATCTTGTTTTATGTAATAACTGCCCACATATTCTTATTGCCATGTTATCAAGGCATGCGAATTGAATTACCTGACTTTAAGTCTAAAATGTCATGTTTGTAAAGCGTATCAACCTGTGCTTCCATGAATAAAAAAATCTAAACTGTATTGTATCTTATATTAATTGTAAATTTTTTTTATTTCAGTCTTTGATCCTAATATATGATGGTGTAGCAACCGGTAATCTGCCGTCATTCCGACTGTACTACTCTTGCACCTAATAGCATATTCTTGACCAAAGTGCAAAACTACATATCTTCATTGCGGTGTTCCAAAATTTATACTCCAACTTTAATTATTCGACGAGAAACAAGCCAATTTACTAGCTTGAAATACATATAGAGAAACATTCTGCTGACAGGGAAGAAAAATCAAGGAATTATTCAAGAAATTATGTTTACCAGTTTACCAAAGGAAAAATAAAGTATAACAGGAGGTCTTTTTTTCTTTTTCTTCTTAAATTCAAAATAGCCTATCGGCTAATCGCATTCCGTTCCTTTCTGTCTTCACTTTATACCTTCCCTCTACCTTCTCCCCAATTGTTACTCTGGTATGCCCTTTGTTTTAACATCAAATTCCTTTTGAATGCACCCAGTCCCAATTCTTTAAGTTCATGACACTTAAATTTAAGTCTGCATCATAGCAAATATAGATTCATGGTTTCGCATATTGGCCATCAATATCTCCCAGAGAGAAAAATGTCACTTGAGTGAGCTTTACCTCTTTTTCATGAATAAATCAGATTTTTACAGATTATTTAACAGCCGTTGAACACCATCTCATCTCTATCTTAACAACGACTTAGTGTGTTTAACCGCTCCTAATTTTCATTTAAAGAATTCTTGAAAAGATGGACAGACTATCCATTGGACAGGTAAGTATGATCCTGTTTTTGCAGATTAATAATTTTTCAAAGGAATTTAGTCCATTTCAACGAGAGGATGAAAGTCACAATTTTAAGGGTCAAGCAGCTCTTGAAGCACAATGAACGAGTAGAATTCTAGTAGATTGTTACCAGTGCCAGTTGTTCACATTTGTTGCATCTGGACGTTCTTCTACAATCCACCTTGGGTCACCTTCACCCCATTTTGCCATTTCTACAGCTTTCGGAAGAGGATCTGCAATAAAATAAAAAGATAAAAGATTATTTGAGACAAAACATAGGCTTCAGATGCTCTAAATTTTGGGTCTGTACTTACCCTTCGAAATCATGCTTAAGTAGAAGGACTCTCCACTTCCTGAAACATCTCTTCTAGAAGGATTAAATAAGTAAAGGCTGAAAGTATTCAAACACAAATTTCACTCCTCAATCCAATGCATTGAATGTGCTGGTTTGGCAATTTCCAAGTCCAGATTTTTTACGGCTTCATTTAGGATTTCCAAATCAAAAGAGATTATTGAGATGAACTCAGCTGAGTTGATCTTCCGAGTATTCTCTATTGGTTGTTTGTAGAAAATCGAAAGTGAAATCAGAATTATAAAGAAATTTGTTTAGTAACTCAGACATTTGCTTACTTTCAAATTACGTTCACGATTCAGTTCATTTTGGGAATAATACCATTAGCATATAATTCGTCGAAGTAGACCATGCTTACATTAGAAATCTTCACCTTGGGTACCTACTTGAAATAATTACTTGCTTGGTATAGGTGTGGCATACCAAAATGAAGGGCTACGAGTTCTCATACAATTCTTTACGTCCTATCTCACGAGAATTTGCCTCTCTATTCACGGGCTGCCAGAAACGCGCACCTATCCTATTTTAAATCTCTAGAAATTGTAACAGTCTACCTATCTGTAGGCATTGATAATGCCTAGCGGTCTTCCTTCTTTCCACTATGACAGAAGGTAAAGATGACCTGACAATACACAAGTGCACAAGGACCCAATTTTTTAGGTTCAAAGCCAAGAATGCACTACTGCGTTAAAGTTATGGAGAGAACTTGAGGAGCAGATTCTTTTGGTGAAAATAATGTATGCCCTAGATGAGGATATAGAAACTAGGCATGTTCTTAGTTACGAGAGCCCCAGGCACAGCCCAATTCTTGACGAGAAACTACTTACGATGACTGGTGTTCCCTGCGGAGAAAGTAATTTTACTGAGTGCATTAAGTGCCTTGTGCAAAGATTTTCATGAGATCCATTCGGGCAGCAGATGCAAGTTTCTGGCCATGTCGTACCGCCACTCGCTGTGGGGCATAATTATTATTGGTTCTGGCCTAGAGCCGCCTTCGTAGAGTTTATAGAAATTCGTGTGGTAGAGGAGACTCGAAGAGCTAGTTCATTGCATGATCCGCTTTACTTGGCGACAACACGAGAATGTTTGATTTGGTAACCTAAAATTCAGAGCAAAGTGGAAAAGATTAGCACCTAACACTTACCTAGAACACAGACACACTTTCGATTACGGTCTTCCCGAGAGACCTGATGAGTCTGTATTAGTTGATAACTGGTTAAAATGACAAAATTTGAATTTGCGACTGTTGGTGGCAATCAGTTACCGGTAAAATTGACTTCAAGTCGTCGAAAGCAGGAGGAAATATTGGCAAACGAGACTAAGAATGAAAATTTGTAACTCACATTGAATGATTGAAAAAAAAATATGCAGCGATAAATTGATAAAACATACGCTAGGTGGCGTTGTGATAACATGAAATTTCCTAGCTTGCCAACTTCACCAAACCACCTTGTCAGCGCGATACACGGATTGCAAACACAGGACTTCTAAATTCAGTTTTATTCGAGATAAGATAAAAGTTCTACAAGTTAGTATTACATTTAAACGCAAATGGAAGAATATGTGTGATTCATAGTTTCATACATTCACCTTCCTAAACTTGTGGAGGTTTGACGTATTCATGGTGGAATCGAAGATATGTTGGTAATGAAATTGCCGATTTCAGGTGTGCGGCCGCATGGCACATTTGCCCTGAAAAACCGCAATCCAGAGTATTCCAGAAAATTCTTCGCTAGATGTGCCTTATGCTGCTGTTGAAGACATGGAAAGGGAAAAGGAACAAATAAATTTATTTTCATGGACAAAGTATGCATTTTTTCATGTAAAAATTGCATTCCAAAGGACCACATCGGTATCATGGCATCGAAAAATCCACGTTCAACATTTCCCCTCTTCCTCTCCTGGTCTGCTTATTTTCTCTGTCGAGAAATAATTTAAAATATAATTTCCCATGACTTAAAATGACGAAAATCCATGCCACCGACTTATTTTTTGACGGCTTGTAATGTAACTAAGAAAAATCAATGATTGTTGTGCTCTTCTACCGGCCGTGTAAGTACTGGCGAAGTAGAACGCTGAAGCGCCTTCATTTTATGGGATGCCACACAGGCAACCGGAAGGCAGGATTAGTCGCATCATAGCAAGGCGTTTTTATCTTGGCTCTCATTGTTCATCGATGTTGTATCCTTCATATGGAGGCTCTGAAGAAAACAGAGGAGATACAAGATGCATGCAATTATAATTGGAGGCTGTTCACAGAGGAAATTCTGACCCAAGTCGAAAACAAGAGCCCAAGGTTTTGATAAGAGCGTCCTAAAGTCGGTATGTCGGTAGTTTCAAGATGATTACATTTCGAGAAAATCGCGTTCAGTGTAATTTAAAGGAGCATTCCTAAACGAGAGGCATGGAGGACAAGGCTCACAAGTGCAATTTTTGAAAAAATTGAGATAATAATGATTTCAAGTAAAACTAGTCTTACCAAATGCATATTCTGTGAAGGATTCGCTCCCAAATCCCAATTTTCAAATACATATCAAAGAGTCAGTTTGAACTTACTATCCGCCATAAGGATCCATGTAATTTCGATAATTCAAACACGTATCTCCGAAATAGCGAAAACTGCAATTGTGCGCTTTGTCCTCCAAGCCCCTCATATTATGTTACGCTTTTTTCCGGAATTTTTGACACTCCAAACCCCCCCCCCACCCCCTCTTTAACCCTTCCGTGACGTGAGCGGCCAAAAAAAGGAATAAAAAAAAATTTAAAAAAATTTTAAAAAAATAAAAAATGCAATAGTGTATTTTTTTTTGGAAAATACACAAATCATGAGAGGGGTGAGCTTGTAAATGATTCAGCTGTACACGGTACAAATCGTGTTCTGATGGTCAAATTCAAGAGCAGGCTNGGGGGGGGGGGGGGGGGGGGGGTTATCGCAACTTCGCATCGAACTGAAGTGTAAGCATTCATTGAAAATGAAAAAGAAAAAAAATGAAAAATATCCTAAACGCCGCTTTCAAAATTTGGATAAAAAACGACACAACTGAAACTATGCTTACCGATTCAATCGCACATTTTAAGCAAGGTTGAAATCGATTATAGCCCTTTTTCGGAGTCTCNGGGGGGGGGGGGGGGGGGGGGGTTAGCCCCGGAGTCTGGGCTAATTTGATGCTAGCTGGGGTACCCCGGCACCGCCGCCGGAGGTTTTGCTCCCTACAAATTACGTAGGTATCACATCTCTGAAATTCGTACCTTGCTGCCCGGGCCAATGATTTGCCTTCAATTAGCCGGCTATGCAAAATGACTGCCATGACGCACGAATAGTGGTATCAGAATTTAGCATTAAGATTACGCAGTAGGTTGAAGGCGCTCTTTTGGGCAATTCTACGAAAACTGTTCAATTCCAGTCATGATCGTTTTATTTGTAAAATGTGTGATGAAGAGTCTCACATTTCACCTGATGTGAAGGAAAGTGAGCGTTTTTAACGAATTATAACCATTATAATTGGATTGCATTTTGCAAAAAGGAACCACTATCATTGCAATGTTACTAAGATTGTGCAACTTCTTTTGTCTTGGAGGAAAAACCCGATTATCCATTAATAGTTTCTATTTTACTCGCTAAAAACTGTAAATTTAAGACAAAAATTACCATCTAAATTTCATAGTTTTTCACGATTTCCGCAATTTTATTGCAAAAGATGAAGTTGTACAATCTTAGCATCATTGCAATGCTAGTGGTTCCTTTTTGCAAAATGCAATCCAATTGTGTAATTTGATGGCTTAAGCTTCATTTTCAGCTTTTACTGCTTAAAATGTCACGACCGTCACTGTCATGGTTGGTAGGTTGCAATTTTTACAACCTCATAACTTTTTTTGGTCTGATAAATTTTTCTGATTTTTGTACTCAGTCCGACCCTGTCTATCAATAGGAATAGGTTTATACTTTGTCTGTTGGCTCTATCGAATAATATGGAGTGACATGCATGTGTTTTTTGATAGACTGTGAATTTTGGCAAAACCCGGAGTGTTCTTTATCTATGCAGAAAAACTGAAAGCGGACATTGAATGGACGATGTCATCCATATAGGTCCATAACATTGTTTTAGATTCGATGCGTATGGAACTAGATGAAACAGACATTTAACATACATGTCATCTATCTTTCTATTTAAAAAAAAATTGATTTCTTGTACCAGTGAGGTTTGGATATCTATCAGAGGCTGATTTACGAAATTGCGTTTCGAGTGTATAGCGATACGTCTGAGGGTTTGCCAAATTCGATTTCCGCCGATCCTATTTTTCAGGGAGGGATCCTTCAGGCTTGGTTATACAAAATTTTAGTGAATATGTTTGTGAGGGTTGTTTGGAAACACAATTACCTAAATAAAGAATAACTTAAAGAGGTACAGCCACCTGATTTTTGTCAACGCCTTTCCTAGGATTTTATGTGAGAACTTAGGCCGGCGCCCTTTGAATACTTCGTCATCGATTCGTTTTTTATGAACTTAGAACTTAGACTGCTGCACTGGAAAAAAAACACATCGGATCTAGAGTCCAGACTCTTAAAAACATCGACAAGAAAAAGTACTCTTGATTCAATCAGAATCTAGCTTAAATCAAGGACCAAGCCTCTTAATTTAAGCGGATTTTATTTTGATTCAAGCAAAAATCCGATTGAATCAAGAGTATTTTTTCTTGTCAATGTTTTCAAGAGTCTGGACTCTAGATCCAATGTGTTTTTTTCCAGTGTGGTGCTCCGATGCGATGATCCTAAAGCAATCAGTAACTTGGGACATACTCTCTACAAGCTTTAGGTCCTGCCGCACCAGGATCCGAATTAACCGTAAGGAATTTACATTATTTTCTGATTGGACTTTTTTCTAACACTTCAGCGAAAAAAACACCAATATGTTGAGATGCGCACTCGAATTTTTCCTGAAGCGACCATGAATGAAATGAATTTGCTGTTTTCGTCGTTCTTAGATCAGAGAATAAAAGGAGGAGCGCCTATCTCACATTTTAGGACAGCAACGTTGTTATGTATTTAATCGATCAAAGCGTTTTTCGGGAAATTGACAATGCCACCATAAAAATCAGTAATAGTTAACCTCATCGATACAGTAGGCAACCAGTAGACAACGCAGGAATTAAGTTACAGTGTATGAGAAAAAAAGCGCCCCCAGTTAGTGTCGAATTCGACAAATAATGTACAAATTTCAATTTAACTCCCGGATGCAACAATACGGGCTCCATGGATATCCGTGTTGCATACGCACGAAAGTGAAGGCGTTTTGACTGTCCAGGCACTCACAACTTCACCCCGCGGCTCACGGCGCGCGCGGCGCTAACGGTGGAATTTACTGCGAGGTTCCACGATGGCAGAGCGTTTTCAGTTCTTCGTTTCTACTACAAAAACATCTCCCACGAGCGGATGGTTGCATACTGGTATAGGATGTATTTTTTGTGCTTCAGTTTTAATGTGATATCGTGATGTCCTGAGCATGATTTGTAGTGTAATCATTCATGTTTAAGAGATTTCTTCAAGTATAATGAAGCACCGGAGGCACTCGGTGATTTTTGGTCCTCGCAATTAAGCCCGCCGCACAATGAAACGAGCCTTTCACAAAATTGCACATGCAATTTTCGACTAAAACTGCAAATGTTCTTCACATTATAAATTGTAAGGGTGATTGTTGAAGAAAATTCCATAAAATTAGTGAAACCTCTTCTAAAATCTTTGCTTTCCTTGTTAACATCGATATGAGCTTTTAATGTTTCCACATTTTGTATGACTTCTCTCATTACCTCGCTTCACTGGCAATGAGTGCCGCTGGTGCGGCGGCTAGTGTCTGATGTAAAAACGCCCTCTTTCCCGTGCTTATGCAATACGGACATACATGGAGCCCGAATAGTTGCATGCGGGGTTCCAGGCTCTATAATGAAATTCGTTTAGTATCCGTCTCATATGCGACACTAACTGAAACTTCGATTTTTTTTTAGCAATTTCTTCACATTGTAACTTACACGGGGTGGTACTTGAAGTAAATTTTACGGGAAACAATGAAAGCACT